AGGAGGCGCTCGGCTTCGAGCTTGACGTCGCGCTCGTGGACTAGCTCGCGGACTGCTTCTCCGTTCCTTAGGGCTAGTCTTCTTGCTTCTTCGTCTATCACTTTCTCTCCTCTCCTAGCGTCCTCTCTTGCTCTTTCTCTTTCTCTCTCGCGCTCTCTATCGCGCTCCCTATCCTTCTCCTTCTCTCTTTCCTTCTCCCTCTCCTTTTCCCTCTCCTTCTCCCTTTCCTTCTCCCTTTCCTTCTCCCTCCTCAAAGATGACGTGGACCCCCTCCTCTCGCGTCGAAAACTCGACGTACTCCCCCTCCTCGCCGCATCCCCCACCCGCCTCGCCAACCTCCTAATCGCTTCAATCTCCGCAACCAGCACTGAAGACCTCCTCCTCCCCGTCTCCTGCAAGGCCGGAGTGGTGGTGGGGGGAAGGTATATATTCGCCCATCCGCCCTCATTCGGCTGGGGAGTAGCGGTGGCGGTGGTGGTGGGGGCGGGGAACGTCCATGTTGGCGCGGTGGGACGGGTGTAGAGGTGTGCGGGGAGGGGAGAGGTGGTGGGGTGAGGGAGGGGGGAGTGGATGTGGATTTGCGGGGAGGAGCGGGTGGAGGAGGTGGCATGGGAGCGTTTGGAGGAGCGGGTTGTGCTGGAGTTGCCGTTGGGGGGCTTTCTGGGGGTAGGGGTGTAGAAGCACATTGCGGTTGTTGTAATCGTTGTTGTTGGACGGGGCTGTTCGTTTGGCGGTTGGATGAGTGTGCGTTGGTGGACGGGATTGTTTGTATTGGTGATGGGTTAAATCCTGGGCATGACGAAATGAGAGTTATGTGATGATGAAATTGAAGAATAACGAAGTATCTCTGACGAGAGGGAGAGAAGAAAACTTATATCCCGTAGCGGCTCTTGTTGGCTCACTCCGTGGCGTAGGAGCCGTTCTTGAGACACAGAAACGAAGGAAAGTAAGGAGAATGCCTTTGAGCCATATGAGACCGTTTCAAAGAGGAGCAGAGCAGTAAACAAAGATGCCAACAGAAAGATCAGAGCCAAGTTTACCTGGGATCCCTGGCTCCTAGAAGGATATGAGGATAGAACGATCCTGATTTCTTTGACCACGATGATAACTGTTCATGCACTTTGCCGCCCAACCAGCAAACAGAGCGAGACACTGATGCACATTCCCGTAAAACGTATCGAATTGTATGTACATTGCATCCCAGAAGGGGATGTAGATTAGAGCATTCATAGCTTGGCGTTTTTAGCCTTCTTCTGCGTACTCTTCTGCCACGCAAATTCCTACATCGTGTCAGTTCAGCTCCACCCACCGCATTTGCGCGAATTTCGCGAGTCCATAAGCACTCAAGGGGGGTTGAACTTACCAACTTCTTCGCCTGACCCGCCTCAATGATGATATTAATCACCACTGGCACCGTGGCCTTAAACCCCTCCTCCGTCGCCTTCCGCAGCTCCTCCGGCGTCCTCACCAAATACCCCTTTCCCCCACACATCTCTGCCATCTTCTCATACCCCACCTCCCACCCCAAACTCGTGCTGCGCAGCCCCCCTGCCGCGCCCTGCGCCGTCTTGTCTTGTAGGGCTAACCAGGCATCGCTATCTGCGCTGTCGCCGTGGTAGACGCCGCCGTTGTTGACTACGAATACTAGGATATCCATAGTGTATCGCGCCATGGTCTCAATCTCTGGCATCGAGAATCCAAATGCCGAGTCACCCTCAAGACACACGATCTTCTTCCGCGAAGACGAGCCAGACTCAGCTTGCGGATCGGGCAGGTTATACGCACAGTGTGCTGCGATGGCATAACCGAGACCTACACCCATCGTAGCATATGTTCCTGCATCAAGACGCAGACGAGGGTGCTCGACATTGAAGACGCTACGTGAGATATCCATCGTATTAGCGCCCTCGGAGACATACACAATATCCCCATTCTCGGGCGGCGAGAGCGCATTCAGCGTTTCCTTAATGACAGCGAAGGTGCGACCGTAGGTCATGGGCAAGGTGTCGACCTGTGCAGCTTTGGCGGCTGTGGCTTCGTTCTTGACGGTGCTCGCGCGGATGGCTGAGATGTAGGGGGTGGAGGTGTTGTATTGCCAGTTTTGGAGACCACTGCTCAGCTGGGAGGTGACGAGGTTGATGTCGCCGATTATGGAGAGAGATGCGTCGCCGTTGTTCTTGCCGAGTTCTTCGGCGGAGATATCGACTTGGATAATCTTGACGTCGGGGTTCCATTTGGGCTCTTCGCCGAAATGGAGGATCCAGTTCAGTCTTGCGCCGAGGATCAGGACGACGTCTGCGCCTTTTAGAGCTGCTGAGCGAGCACTGGCTGTGTTTGATGGGTGGGAATCTGGTAAGACACCTTTGCCCATTGGAGTTGGGAGGAATGGAATTTTAGTGTCGTTGATGAGCTTTCTGATACCGCCCTCTGCCTGGGCATATGCTGCGCCCTTCCCGACGATAACAAGTGGTGCATTGGCAGCTCTGAGCAGTTTAACTGCGGCTGCGATTCTCTCTGGGTCTCCCGCAGCTCGAGCTGGTGAGGGCACGATAACCTTAGATATCTCATCGCCTTCCCCTTGAATCACATCGGCGGGTAGATCCACAAACCCAGTCCCTCCTCTCCCATACCAAGATGTCCTGTAAGCATTGGAGATGCTCTGAGGAATCGACTCTAGCGTGGACCGCACCGCCAATTTTACATGCGGCGTAAGAAGACTGACGGCATCCAGCTCTTGAAAGGCACCCTTGGTGACCAGGTGAGACTCGCTGGAGCCAGCCAGTAGAAGTAGAGGCCATGCGTTTGCTGACGAGTTGCCAATTCCTGACATGGCATGTAAAACTCCCGGACCCCCTACTACCAAGCACACTCCAGGCTTCCCTGTAAGATATCCATATGCTGTTGCTGCATAGCTCGCCGCCTGCTCATTGCGGAAAGCTATAAATCTGATCCCAAGCTTGATTGCCTCCTCGGCGATTTGGACTACTGGTATCCCAACCAGGCCAAATATAACTTTGATGCCAAGCTCATGAAGAGCCTGGGCTATCAGTTGGGCTCCTGTCGGCGCAGCCATTTTCTGCTATATTGAAAGAATAAGTGGCGCCTGCGCTGACTGTATATTATATATGTCTCAAACGCCGTTCCAGCCGAGGCTAGCGATGGCGTCAGTGATGCCCAGGGATGAGCTTAGGCCCTGAAGCGCAGTGCGATAAGCGATAACGCTTCGTCGCAACAACCACGACGAACTGACACGCAAGCGGTTCGGAGGATCTAACAACCGCTCCTCATGTGCTGGCAGAAATCGCAGTCGTTTCAGAGTCACTAACTTGCTATATCGATCGAGAACCGTCCTGCTCTTTTACGAGACAACTTCACAACAACACTTACGGACTACTGAACTCCCTACTCGGACTCCGAACCCCGCATCTCCACACCCTGAACTGAGCTTAGCTACCGCTCTCGTCGCAACAATGTCGGAAGCCCCAGCTCAGTCCTATTCTACGGACCCGCATCTGTATATCTATACCTCGCTCACCGCTGGCTCATCACATATCGTCACAGCGACATCGAGGCTCGAAACCATCCTGAGGGCAAACAGAATCCCATTTAAAGGTATCGATCTCGCAACAGATGAGAAGGCACGCATGATATGGGGACGCCGCGCAGGAAAAGATGAGAGTGGGCGCCAGCGAAAGCTCCCGGGTTTAGTCCAGGAGGGCCTGGTAATCGGGGTTTGTTGATCTGGCCCGCTTATATGAACTGCGCTGACTTGCTCAGGACCTGGTGGAAATAGAAGACTGGAACGAATATGGCGAGCTTAAGCAACATGTCCGCATTGTCGGGGTGTCTTCGACGCCGCCAAGACCTCCTGGATTTGGTAATCCCATAAAGGCTGCTGCTGCTGCTGCTGCGGCTGCGCCAGCTGCGCCAGTTGCTCCCGCGGCACCAGCTGCACCAGCTCCGCCGACTGCACCACCGCTACCAACCGGTGCGAAGCAGCCCATTCCTCTCGCCCCCGAATCTAAACCAGTTCCTAAAGAGGCAGAAGTTCCCAAGACGCCTGCAGCTGGGGGAAATTCAATGACACTGGCGATGCGCCAAATGGGCGAAGAAGCCGCACAGAGGGCGAAGGACATGAAGAAAAAGACACTGCAGGCGAAGCCTGAAGTATTTGTTGGTAGTGGAACGGGGGAGGCCGCAGCAAAGGATACCAAGGAGTCGGCGACGACAGAAACCCCGCAGATTGTCGAGCCTATTACGATATTACAAGACCCAAAAACATCGGCTTGGAATGTATCCCCGGCAAGCACACCGCCTGTCTCGCAGCATGCGCTGAATGAAATGAAGTCTCTCCAATCGCCAACATCTACGGCTTGGAAGGTGGCAGATATTAGCTTGCCAGTCGCCAAGAGTGGAGAGAGCGCGACGTCAACTGCATCGGCTGAAAAGGCTAAACCAGTTGAGAAAAAGGAGGTTGCTGCGGAGGAAGATGATGATGAGGACGACGATGACGATGACGAAGACGAGGAGGATGATGATGAGGACGACGATGACGAAGAAGATGAAGATGATGAAGACGAAGACGAGGAAGATGAGGAAGATAAGGATGAGGACGATGACGAAGATGAGGACGACGATGAGGAGAAGAGGAAGAAGGATGAAGGCACTGCGAAGAACGAACTAAAGAAGGCCTAGGTTGACCCCCTCGGAGTAGACACGGCCTGTATATAGGGATCAAGCCATATCTGGACAGCGGCATGAGCCTGGCGAGGTTGTAGTTGGATTTGGGATGTTCAATATTCAATATGAAGGGGCCTCTGAAACTACGATCTGATCCTTGCTTCTAACATCACGATAGTTTTACGTTAATTCAGTATTCTCGTGTGATGCCATAAGTTCCAGTCCAGAAAGTGAGGCATAGCGTGACTGTGGTGTTCCATAATACCAGCAGTAACGGTGAATTAAAACAACCTCTGCCTATAAATCCCTTCTTCGCATACAATAATCATACTGAGCCAAATCTCCAAAAATCACGGTTGAATTGGCGGGTAATCAGGGATACCCCAATTCTGGAGTTCAGGGGTCACTACTGGCGGATATTTATAAATCCGGGATTGCCTCATGAAATAATCCTAGGGTGGTCAGCACCACTTCGCGATAGCTTCAACGACCCATTGGAGTCTCATCAACCACCAAAATCTCCAACAATGGCGCCAGTTGCTAAAGTTACTAAGAAGAACCTTGGAAACGTTGTCGTCATTGGCGGCTGCGGCTTCCTCGGTCATCACATCGTCAACCAGCTCGTCGATAGCTACACCTGCAAGGTGTCCGTCGTGGATCTCCGCACTACACGCAACCGCCGCCCCGAATCCGATGGCGTCCAATACTTCGACGCCGACATCACCTCGCTCGAATCTATCGTTACGATCTTCAAGAAGGTCAAGCCAGATGTCGTAATCCACACCGCCTCTCCCGTGGCCATCGCCGAGACGGCCAATTCCTTCCTCTACAAAGTCAATGTCGAAGGCACCCAATGCGTCATTGACGCCTGCCGCGAGACCGGCGTCACCGCGCTCGTCTACACCAGCTCCGCCTCGGTCATCAGCGACTCCGTCACTGACCTCATCAATGCCGACGAGCGCTGGCCCATGCTCAGAGGCAAGTTCCAAACCGACTACTACGCCGAGACGAAGGGTCTGGCCGAAGAGGCCGTCCTGAAGGCAAACCACACCGGCCCCTCCGACCTCCTCACCGCCGCCATTCGCCCCGCGGGTATCTTCGGCGAGGGCGACGTTCAGATGCTGCCCAATATGCTGGACTTGTACTACAACAACAAGACCAACTTCCAGGTCGGCGATAACACGAACCTCTTCGACTTCACGTACGTCGGCAACGTAGCGCACGCACATCTCCTCGCCGCGCACCTGCTCCTGGCGACAGCCAGGTTGTCCGTTAAGCCGCTCGACCACGAGAAGGTGGATGGTGAGGCGTTCATCATCACCAACGATGCGCCTATATACTTCTGGGACTTCCCGCGCCAGCTGTGGGCGATTGCTGGCCACAAGAAGGGAACTGAGGGTGTGTGGACAATTTCGAAGGATGTCGGAGTGCCATTGGCGACGGTGGTCGAGACATCATTGTGGTTGATCGGAAAGAAGAGCAAGATGACACCCAGGGGGATACGGTTCAGCTGCATGACGAGGTATTACAATATTGCTAAGGCGAGGGAACGGTTAGGCTACAAGCCGATTTTGACCACCCGTCAAGGAATGGAGAGGTCTGTGAAGGCCTTTATGGCGGAGAAGGAGAGCGCGGAAGCCAAGAAGACGCAGTGAGGAGGATGTATTAATTACTAGGGCTGGAGCATTATGTGTCATATGTCATGATGGTGCCGGCTTACTGAATATAATCATGAGAGCTTTCAAACTCAGAACTGAAGGTGCTGAGGTGCCGTAAGATACCAGATACTTACCACGAGAACATACCAGGCATGCGGCCCCTCTTTCATTATGAGGTTATCTTTGTGATTTTCTGTGAAATTGAGTCCGGAGATGAGCATGGAGCTACCACTTGGATCTTCCAGGACAAAGATGAGATAGTGTAACCTACCAAATCTAGCAATTCGCTATGGCATCTTGTCGACCTGGATTGTACGTCCTGACCTTCCCCACGACCCTTCAATAAACGTGAAGACCCCTGAGTTGACCGATAGCCCACTTCGTGCACAGACCCCTACTAAAACATCCAGAACCCGCGTGGACCGTCGCACGGATTCAACCACGGACTACCACCAAATATTTCGACATTACCCAAATTGACAGACCAACGTTGTCTTCGAATCTTCAGCGCCTTCGTTACACGAGCACAAAACCTTAATTCCTCTCCAGCTCCTCTCGATGACCAATTGAGGCCGCGCCGCATCCCCAATTGTTAAAGGAGTCGCCAGGCTTACTTACACAATGGACCAAGCCGAGATCCCCTCGCTTCTCAGGAGCTTGTCGAGCGAAGAGGATGCCCTTCGAAAGATGGCAGTCTTCAAGCTGCAGTCCTCAATTAACGATCCTTCTTTCGCCGACGTCTTCATCTCCACTGGTGGACTCAGCATCCTGCGCCGTCTTATCATGTCAACTGGCGGCAACACCCTCGCATACTCGCTCCAGTCGCTGAGCCGCCTTCTCGAGGTCGACATGGGCTGGGAAATCTTTGAAAGCGCAGGAGCTGGAGAATTGGTTGAGCGCGTAGTGGAGCTGATTGTCACACATCCCCTCGTCAACATCCTCCGAGGCGCCATGTCGATACTGGTTGCGATTGTGAGCCACCCACAAACCACACGCGGCTCGATACGAACCCCAGGCGCGTTCGGTTTCCGCACGCTCAAGCCAGCAGTAGCCGTCTACCCGCAATTCTTTGAGATGGTGGTGTCTCAGCTCAACTCTGCGGACCACGCGCTCTGCGCCAACGCGCTTATGCTGCTTAATGCACTTATGAGGGATGCCATAACGAATGACGGTGGAAAGGATGGGACAAGCAAGAGCAGCGGGACAGGAGAGGAGTGGCCGAAGTTTATCAAGAGGCTGCAGGACCTTGGTGTCGTAAAGGGAGCATATCGTCTGATGCAGAGCTCAGCATTGCAGGATTTAGCACATCCGTTACTGGAGTTCCAGGCCCTAACGAAGCTCTTGTTGAGGAAATGGAGGGATATGAGGGTTGATTTGGAACGGCCGGACCATAGGAGGGCGCTGAAGGGAATACACCTTGCAAGTGCACCTGAGAAACGAGAGCATGTGACACAAATGGGCCGAGTGGAAGAAGTGAGCGACGCGGCGAAGAAGGGAAGCCGCAAACACAACCCGGAGAAGTGGCGAAGACTTGGCTTTGTTACTGAGAGTCCGGCCTGGGAGTTTGATCCAATGGGCTACCTCGGCATGATGGATCTGACAGACTACGTACGGAAACAAGAAGACAACTTCCAGAAGATCTTGCTTGAACAATCCTCCAAACCTCTTCACACTCGCTGCCCGATCGCCCGTTGCAGTCTAGCAGTTACAGCTATCCTCTACGACCATTTCGGTGCCGACAAATCGGAAACCGAAGACGCAAAATACTACCAAATGCTGGAAAGCCCACAAAACTATGACATGATCTTCCGACCCCTGGTCTTGCAATGGTCGCGACTCCACACTGCCGGACTTCTCGCCTTCTTCCGCCTATGGAAAGCTACAGGCGCAGTTCAAGACGATTTTGACAAAGTCGCCGAGCTCATCCGCATCCTGATCGACAAAGTCGTCGGCTCAGCACCACGCACCAAAGACATCACAGAAGCCGAGGAAGAGATTGCGGAATTTGAGTACCAGCGCCTACGCGAAGTGCAGATGGAAGTCCTAAAGTTCTCATTCGAGGACCAATGGGGCCATCACCTACAGCAAGTGCGCGAGGAACTCCACAACGAGTCCCTTCAGTTCGTCAAAGAACAGCGCATCCGCTGCCTCCTCCAAGGTTCGTGGTTTCCTCGCAGCGCCACCCGCGGCGATTCCAACTCCGTCGCCTCGGTGCGCAGCAGGCCGTGGCGCTTCGCGCGGCTTAGCCACAACCGCCGCTTCTTGCACTATGCGGATTTTGAGGCGCAGGCGAGCTACGCGCCGCCACTAACGGAGCTTGGGGAGAAGCTGGATGTGGGGACTATATCGAGCGTGGTGTCGAATGTGACGGCTGGTGGAGAGGATGATACTTCGTCGATATCGTCGAACACGAGCACGCTCAAGAAGGAGGATCTGAGCGCGCCGCCGAAGCGGAATACGAGGAATAAGATCACGATTAACTCCTATCTTCCTACGGAGTCCGCAGATGAGGAACAGGTCGAGAGGGTATTGCTGACGCTGGACCCGCAGACTCATAGTCTGGCGAGCGAGTGGCTGGATGGGCTTTTGATGTTGTTGAATCAAGCGCCGATTACGGCGGAGACGAACAAGCTTGTGGGACTGGTTGTGGACTACGGGCTGAAGATTCGGCTGCTGAATGTTAGGCTTGAGGATGGGATGGAGGCTGGCGAGGGCAAGGGGTTGATTCCTAGCAGGGAAGGGCTGGATGAGGATTACTACTATGAGGTCTGAGTTTGTGCAGGTGACGTTCTGATTTTCGAACATGCGGCGATGTGGAGGGGTTGTACTTGGAATTTTGGCTTGATACCCGGATTGAAGGAGCGGAAAAATGTATTGAATGAATACTACTACCATTAACTACTCAACAGAGATAGTTGCACCAGTTTTTTGTCTTCATACGATGAGCTCTTGCAATTGAGGTACAAACCCAGTGGGTTCAAACATCCAACTACCCCACAACAAGTCCCATCAAGTAAACCAGCCCTGGTATTTCTTATTAATCATTATAGTATTCGTCTCCATACCATTAAAAACACTTGACGCTCATCAGATATGTACAGTATATACCAAACCCTTTCTCTCAACCAGCACACCGCCCAATATCAGACCTTGGCATTCCATCTCCATTTATACCCCATGTAGCCAGCGCGAGAAATGCTGCATGCCATAAATGACAAACTCAAAACACCAACCAAGAACCAGACCATGGCTTGGGGTCCCACATTTGACTGAAGTGAGCTTCCTATTGGAATTGAAACAAGCGTCCTGCGAGAGATGTGTTAGCAAACTCAAACTCCATAAAATATGTCCAATTCAGGGGGTGGAATAGCCCGTACGCAATCGACACAACAGAATCCATGGCTCCTATCCAACGCGCAAAATCATTGCCCCTACAGAGCTGCCCGACGCAGCCCATAGACAAGGAAACGAAGCTCCCAGTCCCAAAGCCGTATAGGAAGACGAAGATGTAAAGTGCCACCAGCGAATTGAGGCCAAACGGCAGCCAAATAAAGAGCATGGAAGCCAAGGTGAAAACTGCCATCAGAAGAAGCATGTTGAACCGGCCGACTTTGTCAGAGAACCAGGACGGTATAACACGTCCAAATGTAGAACCACTGTAAGAAAATATCAGATTTGTTTGGTTTTCCCTTTTTGTGTTGGATGTGAGGGACAAACATGTTCATTGTCATGATAAGGTAGAAACCTGCTCTTTGTCCATACCCAGCATCTGCTGCATAAGTTGGGATTAATCCAAGGCCAATGATGAGTAACAGTTCAAAACCTAACCAGCAAAATTGTCAGCATTTTCACTTATAATAAACAGTTTTATCAAACTCACCAAATGCACTAATAGTTAGCCAGTTGAACGTGCTGTCCAAATAGCAACGAACATTGACCACGGCGCTGCTGCTGGTTGCCAACAACCGACTACGGCAGAACAAATTGCCAGGGACCAGGCAGAGAAGGACAATTAATCCGAGTGTCCGCATAGCCATGGGCCAACTGCTCTTTTCAAGGAGAGGTTTCAATATTAGTGGGAACGTGATACCCCCAAGAGCTGAACCCAGCATAGCCAGCCCAGAAGCTTGTCCACGTCGTTTCTTGAACCAGTGGCTTATAACACCCTGTGAGACTGTTATGAGCGCAGCGGAGGAGAGACCCCCCAAAACCCCAAGACACAGCATGAACCCCAAATAATTTGTGCATTGAGCGAGAAGGAAGAAGGTCACGAGGTATCCAATTGATCCAAAGAGGAGGATGTAACGCGCTCCGTATCGATCGAATATAGCCCCTGTTTGTATCGACAGTGCAAGTGACAAGAATATAAATACCGACGGTATCCAGGCAATCTTACTTGGACTTGAGTCACTGAGTTGATTCAAAGACCAGTGAAGTTGGAACAATCCCACGGATGCTTGGAAGCCAAAGGTTGCAAAAAGCAAGAAAAATGAGCCCAAAACCACAAGCCAGGCGCGGAGGCCTCCATCTGGATATGTCTCGTCATCGTGTCGTTTATCTATCTCGCTGGATGGGTTCGTTAGACTTGTTGTTGTCGAACCTTGAACAGTATTAGCATAGCCCGATAAATCCCTGGCTAATGTGACGTTCATCTTGATATTTGGGGTTGATTGGGCATGTTGACGTGGGTTCATGTGTGCTGGGAAGTTCGGAATTCTTGAGAGCAGGCATTCAACAGTCAAGGGGTGATAAAGCAAGCTGATAAAGGGACTTTATTTCAACAGTTTTGGAGTAGCAGGAAGTTTCTGGAAATGTTTTTTGGGAAACAAAGAAAATAGGAGCGCTTAAGTGAATTAACTTACTCTCGCGGCTGGAAAGCAACTTACATGGTCACCATTCGACCAATATAGCCACAAGACACCATAAGCCAATTCTTTCTGCCTCATAGCCTACCATTTGTAGCAATATAATCGTTATCCTCAATTCTCAATATTAGAATTATAGAAGGGCAACCTTTGCATCGCCAGATAATATCATCACAACAGAGAAGACACAGGGAGCCTCAGAGTCACCAAAACGCACACAAGAGGAGGGACAGGCTAGCTACGGCCGTATGAGATACAACGGAGCAAACTAAAGAGATATTCCAAAAATGACAAGTAACATGACTCGCTATTGAGTATTACACCTACATGAACCCTCACGATCAGAGCAACGCCCTGGTATTCGGCAGCAGCAGCTAAAATAGTCTTAGTTACTAAGTTCAGGAATGATCCTGGATACGCCCTAGGTCGCTCAAATCAAGGCCATCAATACGTGGTGCGTCTCAAACATCCCTGAACCCTCGGGACAAAACCAAAGCCCCAATCTTCACAGCTGTCAAATCGGCTGGATGGCAACAGCGGCAATGGCATTGGAGACGCTTCGGGCCGTTCCTATCGGGACAGATGGCGTTTACCCCTATCAGTGACGTTTTCACTGCAACACAACCAGCTTGAAGAGATGCTGTATGAACCTGGCCGCAGGCAAATCACCACATTGCTGAAGAGTAACCAGCTCGCTCCCCTGTGGCAGACACCCAAATGCCGATATGCAGGTGTTATCAAATGGGGTATAGGATCTAACACGGAAAAGCAAACAATCCCTCCTCCAATGAGGGGCGTAGTGTTCCCAACAAGGATTCATATGTGGGTGCATGTCGTATTGTCGGTTGCGGGGAACTGAGCTGCAGGACCCTCAAACCTGAGACCCAGCCCGTGGCTTTATACTGGTAGACAACGAGATTGGATGTTGTACGCCGGAGCTGAACCAAAGGGTCGGTGCAAACCAACGCCAGCGACGCAAGGGCGACATGTTTGATGTATAACATGACATATCGCCTGCAGTGAAGCAAACACAATCCGCTGATGGTTTTCTGTTAACAAGCTTAATTGCTTCTCAATCAAAATCGGCGATGACAAACTCAGGGATGCTGCATGGGCATGGGGAGGGATCAACAGACGCTACAAGCGCACGTTGCCATTTCGGGATCTCCGTCAGGGGCTCCGACAGCCCCGGTACATGGTTTTGGTCCCATGCTGCAGCGCCAATAGTAAAACCCCACCAACGTGGTGGGAATGTCTAACTGCATATCATGTCTAATTCACACCATATTCAGCGTGTAATGGCCTCCTGTGGCGCAAGGTCCTAACGAACGAGAGCTACAAGAGCTGCATATACTGACACTAGCTTGGTGACAGTCTCGCATGACACGCAACACTTGCTCTTCAATCACAGCGCCTTCTCCGGGCGCAAATTAGCCGTGTAACAGTGTAGTAACGCTGTGCAGTAACATCGCCAAGGAGAGTTGTTCATTCCTTTTCATGGTACAGCAGGGCTAAGGCTATTCCGACCATACGGTGTTAGATTAGACTCTGATGATTGAGCCCATTGGGTAGCTAGGTCTCTGCTTCCAGGTCCAATAACACCTCGCACCAGCAATTGTGGTATTGTGTGGGCACGGACTAAATGTCGGCTGCACAGTTGGGCGAATAGTCCAATTCTTAGAATTCTTGGACCAATTTATGTGAGAACAGATGATATTCATCAACCATCGCGCAATGGAAACAATTATATAGGGCATCAGGGTATTCGGGCTCGTACAATAACCTTGTTATGTTTAACTTGGCGACTGGGCCTTTCTCACTTGAAAAACAGGTCACCATGATGCCTGAGACGCTCTCTTTCCTCCTTGTGCTACCCACCTGGGAAGGAGCGATTTATGCATTAGTTAGCCACCAAATACTATTTGCTCTGTGAATCCTCTTCAGAGTCTAGTCACTAAGATCAACCAGCGTGCACTAACCTACACACCGCCCCCAAATCAAATGTGAGGCACCTGGAGTACTTTAAGTGGACAGGCCCTCCGCAGCGTTTGACAGTTCAAGCAAATTCATGATCTGTGACCTTGTCCATGATGCTGCGTCTCCCTGGTCGTCTAGGAGCCCGTCGGGCTGGGTCATCGCCTCACTACCTCGTTCGTGCTGCCAGCGTCGTCACAAACAATTCTCGGGACATGCTTGCAGCTGGCTCTCGTCGTCTCATATCGAGCTCACCCAGGCACGTACAGCAAGCTGCCGCCGCCAGCGTCAGAGTTGAGAAGCATCACGAAAGCAATTTTCAGCTGCCTCAGAAAGAAGTTGTCCCTGGTGGAGTTCCTTACTGGCAGAAAGTCGGTATTTGGACGGATGTGCCAGAGGATAAATTTCTCAACTATCAGTGGCAGGTCAATCACTCCGTGCCGACGTACATCCCCCTTTCCCTGTCTAACTATTTCAGATCAAGAATACGGTTCAAGGAGAGAGCAAGCTGCTTCAATTCCTGGAGGGCGTTCTCCCTGAGAGACTCCCATCTCCGCGCGATCCTAACTCGCCACTTTCCCAGATCAAGACCAGAAATGATTTTCTCAATGAGGTCAAGGAGGCTATTCGTATTGCCCCAATGGCCATTCGCATCACGCCTCACACCCTCAGCGTTGCTGACTGGAGCAATCCTTTTGAGGATCCCATTCGCCGGCAGTTCGTCCCGCTGAGGGCCTCCTTGCTGCCAGACCACCCAAAGTTGACTCTCGATTCTCTCGGTGAAGAACATGATTCCCCCGTTAAAGGCTTAGTTCACCGTTATCCTGATAAGGCTCTGTTCCTTGGTAAGTTACGCTATTGCAACTTCAAAATTTGAGGCGGATTTCTGACAGCAAAGTAGCTACTTCAGTGTGCAATGTCTATTGCCGTTTCTGTAAGTTATAACCCAAATCGGCACTATAAGCACGATGACTAAACCGCATCCAAGGCACTCGGTCTTACGCCATCGGCGCCGACACAGAAACAGTAACCAAGAACTCTCTAAAGCCCACTCGCAGGCGCTGGGACGAGATGTTCGATTACATCGCCTCCACTCCTGCCCTCTCCGATATTGTCATCTCCGGCGGCGACGCCTACTACCTAACCCCCGACCAGCTGTATGATATCGGCATACGTCTCCTCGACATTCCACATATCCGCCGTTTCCGCTTTGCAACCAAAGGTCTTGCTGTCTGCCCCTCACGCATCTTGGATCCAACAGACTCCTGGACATCTGCCCTCATCGCCGTCTCCAACGCCGGCCGCAAGATGGGCAAAATGGTTGCCGTACACACACACTTCAACCACCCATCAGAGGTCACATGGGTGAGTCGGGCGGCATCCCAGAAGCTCTTCGCTGCGGGTGTTGTGGTACGCAACCAAAGCGTGCTTTTGCGTGGAGTGAACGACGATCTGGGCACAATGAAAGCGTTGATTCGCGGCCTGGCGGATATGGCTATTACGCCGTACTATGTGTACCAAGGTGATATGGTGGCAGGAGTGGAAGACCTACGCACCCCGCTCCGCACCATTCTCGAGCTCGAAAGTCAGATTCGTGGCTCCATTGCTGGCTTCATGACACCACAATTTGTTGTCGATCTTCCCGGCGGAGGGGGCAAAAGACTCGCAGCATCATATCAGAGCTACGATTCCAAGACAGGTGTCTCACGGTTCATTGCACCAGCGGTTAAGGGCGGAGAGACAGTATATGAATATCATGATCCAGAGTGGAGCTTACCAAAGGCCGAAGGGGCTGGCAAGGGCGGTAATGGAAACATGACAGGATAGCGTTCTTATTCCCGGGCAAGTATTTTTTGAGATAAAGCAGGTGATACCCAGGGATTGGTTTGGGGTGCATTATTTGTCGACTGCCAACTGGAACATGCATCGGCTGGGACATGCATGCTAGGAACTAGTCAATGTGGCGTTAAACTTTTGTTTGTATTAATCATGGATGGATGCATGGGCTTCTGCATTTTTGCGGGGTACAATTGCTACGAGGGTAACAACAGTCTGCGGATCGGACGGCCCTGTCATCTGGGCCTCCGGTCAATATTATTATTATTATTTATTGTAATGTCAGCCTAGCTGAAAGGACCGTGTTTGAGGCATGTGTTGTAATTTGCCCCGAGTCCCCGATCTTGTGGTGGCAAAGACACAATATTCGAGACAAGTTACACCAGCAAACCCCTCCTTTTGTACGAAGAGGTAGAGGATGTCATTGCCTTTCAAGGAAGTTAATCACTTGACATATTTGCTGTCTCCGTGGAACGACTGCGAGAGCTATCCTGATGTAAATCTTGTCTGGAGGCTGTGTGACCAGACACGTCACGCCCGCCACTGATCGGCAGTCGATATGATAGTCGGCATTACCCTAATTTCGATTGGATGAACTGCATCAGGTCATCCATATTCTCAGCTTCCCCGCCCTCGTCCTCGACCTCTCCTGGTAACGCTTGCAGACATGTCATCCTTGAAGTGCCTAATAATGGCCTTGTCCATCTCGCGCTTAGACTCCAGGGTCGCAACCTGCTGCTGCAGGTCTTCGATTTTAGCGTCTCTAGCCTTCAGCGCAAGCCGAGTGACATCTCGGCCCTTCTCGATGCCTGAATTCTTCAGGGCATATCGATTAAGTAGATTCCGTAAATTGGCGATGGTCTCGTCTTCGATTGGCTGCCCTTCAAGCAGCTGCAGGACCTCTGCTGTAATGTCATAATCTGCCGATCTGCTGCCGCGAGTCTCAGCCACAGAAGTGAAATCAAGTCGCCGATTGGGGGTTGGTGATGCAGAAGGGCTCATGAGGCCGCGTTTGGAGGCGCTGGCTAGCCCCAAGGGTTCTAGACGAGCGGATATGGGGGTTCTGAATACATCCTCATCCCGCGTTGTTGCAGTAGTGGCTGGCGTAGGCCATGGACCTTCTCCGCTCCGTATCCTCTTACTCCCCGGAGTTGAAAAATCGCTCGTCTTCAGTGCTTTGCGCGGTGTCTCAGGTGGCTTCATAGATGATGCCCTCTCTGCAGCCTCCACAGCCTCGATCTCGTCTTCAGCGCCCAATGGCCACTCTCCATATTCATCCTCGTCATCCTTGTCCAGATCAATAACCTTTCCCCCATTCATCGTATCATAACCCCCGCTTCGCTCCGTATCTTCTGCTCGGCTGTTGGGTTTCTTCGGGGTTGTAGACGGTCCCGCTTCTGACCTCGAATTATGAAGCACAGTCCTCATCTCCCTACTTTTTGCATCATCGTCCCAAAGAAAGAACCCGCAGGACTGCTCCTTCGGCTCTTGACATGTATAGAACCATCGGCCCTTGTTCACTGATTCCTTCTTGACCTGGAAATGGGAAGCTGGCATTCGTGGAGAGCAATTGCCTGCAAGCCTGTTAGCCTTGGTGCGTAATTTGTGGGTTGGGGAGAGCCATACAGCGCCAGACACCATCCACGAAGAGGCCCTTTTTGGATTGCATCTTGATCGGACTACCGCTCAACTGTCTCCCTCCGCCAGATTTGGTGGGAGTAACCGGCTCCATGCTAGGGGAATCCATTATTCCTATTGCTTCGTCAAAGCAGTCGCATAATGGAATGCGCCACCCGTCTTTGTTTACGTCGTCATCAGTATCGTACAAAAGATCTGCCGCTATTAGCCTCGCCTTTTGCCAGCTATGAATGCTGCATTTAGTTAGAGACAAAGCAATCAAGCTAGAGTCTATTCTGCGCCGTAATTAATAATTCCAAGCCACAGTGTCGATGGAGAACGAAGGCGCGGGGCTGGTGGTGACAGCGTCATAACTTTTGAGATAACGGGACCAGCCGGACGTCGGGGAAACCCTACATTTTGTCAGCCTCGCCTTACAGCGCTCAGCGTTGTCGGAACTCAAACTCTGTTTCACTCGCCATAATATTTCCCAATTTTCTAAATGTTATATAGAACCATCTTCTTCCTATAGTTGCTATAAATGGAGCCATGTACAGTCGTCCCTCTTCTAGCTTTTGGGCGACATGAGTACGCGTGGGCGCCCTCCAGCCTCATCCATGTGGACAAGTCTCATAACTTGCCACATATGTACATTATCACAATGATTGCATAGCTTTTAATCAGGAATAAATCTTTTTGTTTAGTTTACAGAATTATGGCTAGTACTGCTCTATCCATCATTCTTCTCACATCTCGATCAAAAAACAATGCAACGCAACCCACTCCAACCAGCACCTATGCTACATACTGCGAGTTGAAACTCATTTGGCCTCCATGCCAACCCCAGAACATCGAACGAAGGTTTAGTAGACACGCTTGAAAGGAGGGACAGCCTTGCACTCTTCCTCATCTAGGGTGTGGTTCACAACGGCACGGTAAGAAAGGTCGACCTTTCCTTGCGGCTTCTGCCATGTGAGCGTGTGCTTTTGCCAGTTCTTGTCATCTCTCTCTGGGTAATCCTCGCGGGCGTGGGCACCACGGGACTCCTTCCTGTTCGCTGCTGCCTCGGCGGTTTGCACGCTGTTTATTATGTCAGTTATCGTTCAATAGATGATACAAGGGTTAAACTTACGCGCAGGTCAACAAGTTCCTAAGCTCCAAGGTCTCGACCAAGTCGGAGTTCCAGATCATGCTGCGGTCCTTAATACCGACCTCTGGGAATGTCTGGTCAACCTCGTTGATTCTCTTAACACCCTCATCCAAAGACTCTTGAGTACGGAACACGGAGACATCAGTCTGCATAACCTTCTGCATAGAAGTTCTGATATCGTTGGTGCTCCTTGGTCCGTCAGAAGTACGGATCTTGTCCAAGAAAGCAATAGAGTCGGCACCAGCATCAGCGCTGATCTCCTTGTGGGGCATGCCGGGCTCGAAGTTGTCACGGACAGTGTGGGAAACGGCACGACCGAAGACGATAAGATCCAGAAGGGAGTTGGCTCCGAGACGGTTGGCACCGTGGACGGACACACAGGCGGCTTCACCACAGGCGAAAAGACCGGGAACAACCTTGTCCTTGCCAGCCTCGTCGACGGTAAGAACCTCACCAGTGTACTTGGTTGGGATACCACCCATATTGTAGTGGACGGTAGGGAGAACTGGGATAGGCTGCTTGGTGACATCAACACCAGAGAAGATAGATGCGGTCTCAGAGATACCTGGGAGACGCTCGTGGAGAACATCAGCAGGAAGATGGCTGAGCTGGAGGTAGATGTGGTCCTTGTCTGGGCCAACACCACGACCCTCGCGGATCTCCATGGTCATGGAACGGGAAACAACGTCACGGGATGCAAGATCCTTTGCAGTTGGTGCGTATCTCTCCATAAATCTCTCGCCCTCGGAGTTAAGGAGGTAACCACCCTCACCACGAGCACCCTCAGTGATCAAGCAGCCGGCACCGTAGATACCAGTTGGGTGGAACTGGACGAACTCCAGATCCTGGTTAGGGAGACCAGCACGAGCAACCATAGCCATTCCGTCACCAGTGCAAGTGTGTGCAGAGGTGCAAGAGAAGTAGGCACGTCCGTAACCTCCAGTGGCCAAAACCGTGTTGTGTGCGCGGAATCTGTGAAGAGTTCCATCCTCCTGGTTGTAGGCAAGAACACCCTTGCACTCGCCGTCCTCCATGATCAGGTCAAGGGCGAAGTACTCAATAAAATAGTTTGTGTTGTGGCGGAGAGATTGTCCGTAAAGAGTGTGAAGAAGAGCGTGTCCGGTTCTGTCAGCGGCAGCGCAGCATCTGTATGCCTGGCCACCCTTTCCGAAGTCTTGCGATTGACCACCGAACGCACGCTGGTAGATCTTTCCGTCCTCGGTTCTAGAGAATGGGCAACCGTAGTTCTCCAACTCAATGACGGACGCCGGCGCCTCTCTCGTCATGTAATGGATGGCATCCTGGTCTCCCAGCCAATCCGAACCCTTAACTGTGTCGTACATGTGCCATCTCCAGTCATCCTCGTGCATGTTGCCTAACGCAGCATTGATTCCACCCTGTGCAGCCACCGTGTGGGATCTTGTCGGGAAAAGTTTCGAGATACAGGCGGTGTTGAAACCAGCTTCGGCAAGACCGAAGGCGGCACGAAGACCAGCTCCACCGGCTCCGACAACAATCGCATCGTACTCATGGTCCTACAGATTCTTAGTATCGTCGCGATAGAGCTTCGAAGTGCGTGAACATACGATGACCGGGTATTGGTTGCCGAGGAAAGGAGAAGATTCTTTGGCACGAAGAGGCGCGTGTGTGATGATGCGCGCTGCAAGGCAATGGGTTAGCTGACTTGCAATGCCTCCAATAGACTCAGGTATACACACCAGCAGGTCTGGTAGAGGAAAATGCTCTTGCTTGAGTTCTCAATGCCCTCGCGACCTAGATAATACGGGTTAGCGGTGCTTCCGGGCGTCCTCGGCTCATGGAACAGGAAACTGGCGTACCGAAGGGCCAGCAGTGAAGCGGCGCATAGCGATTGAAGACATTTTGGACTATCTTGACACCAGGACCGAGGATTGTCAAGGAATGTCGCTCGTGGGGAAGGAGAACGAAAGTAGATCGCGATGTTTGATGTCGTCGTTGTATTCCCAAGATCCACGGATTGCTAGAGCATAATAGGCTCGCTACTATTGGTTGGAGCTTGACGCACTTGCCGACGGAAAGCCGAGAATCTTTTACGGTTCATCGCAACCTATTTCTCCCGACTATTTGGGGGTCAATGGAAGTACCGATTTAATATCAAGTGCTTGCCTTGTAATAGTTGTTTATTTAGTACTGTTAAGTTAGATTTTCTTCCAGTTATCAAAGATGGAACATTTAATATGCAAATTCTGGTCAATTCACATATATTGTCAATCATGAGTTCTGTGATCACATGCTTTGTCAATGGACAGATTCTCGACAGGAAAATAATGATATTCACACACGCACTCATAGAATAAGTAGCCTATGCATTCCAGTATCACCCCTTTCTCCAATTCATGTACTATTTACATACAGACTACAAATCCCATTTGTTATGAGTGTATAAACCTCTCGTCTCTCAATCCGAGAGAACCATTCTCAGCATGCTGACGAAATTTTCCTGCAACTTATGAACTTCGGAAACCTCTGGCTTCTGGGGTTCTCCAGCGGTCCTCCTGAGGATGTCTTGCCTCCGAGCCCTTCTCTTCCTCTCCGCTGTGATGGGATCTAACTCGTCATCGTCGTTCTCCTCGTCATCTACATCTTCCTCGCTGTAATCCATATCCTCTAGATCTGTCTGGTCTATGCCAAAATCACTACTGCTGAAAGCAATGCCTCCTGGGACAGCTTCAGGTTGGGTGCCTGTCCCATCGGCAGCCATCTTTTGGCGGGTTTTCTCATTATGCCATTGCTTCCTGGCTTCTTGCCACCCAATGAGCTCGTCGACTTCTTTCTTAACCTTCTCGGGGTCTACTTGATTAACAGATGCAGCGCCGGCAAAGAGGGCATTGATGTCGAGCTTTCCGCCCTTTGGACCTTGGCGCAGGAATTCCAAAATACCTTCTATCCAACCCATGAGTTTTTCGAAAAGCCCATCATCGTGGAGATGGACTTCGTGGACAAATTTGTAGAAATTGTGTTCGTGACGCTGGCAGAGATCTATAAACGCTTGAACTGTCTGGTTCGGATCCGTAGCTATGTCTTGCTCGTGGCATTTGTCGACGACCTATGCCAAGTCAGTAATATGGCCACTAATACAATCAAACGACTTACCTGTATCATGTCATCAATGAAAACCGAGAAATCAGTCACACTGTTGTAAACATTGGCGGATTTATACACCCTAACGAGTGGCTCATAGAATATCGTAAACAGGTCGCGAAGAAGCTGAAGGGTGACAGGCTCTTCGATCAGCCCCAGCAGCATCGACTTGTCACGCTGTCGCGTGAAAAGCTTGAGGAGCTGCTTTAGATATGAGAAAAGGTGGGCCCCTTGCTTCATCTCATCGTCAACGTTGTCCACGGCGCTATTCCAGGCGACGTAGGCATTGAAAATCTTTGCGATCTGTGGTCCATTCAATGGTGGCTCGATCAGTTCACTCCGAAGAATAGAAACAATCAAGTCCACTTGATCCGACTCAGATTCAGCGCGGATGATGTTCTTAATCTCTTCGTCGGCGTACGTGAATAATCTCAGCTTATCAGAAAAGACCGGTTCGTCAATGTTCTTGACCAAAGAATCAATCGACTTCTGGTAAGCTCTGACCCCTTCGTTTAGCGCCATGCTGAAGATTCGTTGCATCAGTGATCGTGCACCAAATGGCTGGGCAAGGAATATGTCCAGTATGCTGGACATCACCGCAGCAGGATTCGCTATCCGGATTGCGTTCTTGATTAAAGTGTAAGGAATCATGGAATGGGCCTTCTTGACCTGCGCAAACACCTCAGGGGAGTTATCCTCAGCAAGGAATAGATGATATATGGTGGCTGCAACCTCGATTCGGAGCCACTCGCAGAACTTCTGATATTGCAAGCTCATATCTTGGATGCTCTCCTTGACCTTGATCTCCTTGAATAGCTTGGTCAAGCCGTTGGTTTCAATAATGTCTCGGCGGAACCTGTCACAGTTAGTATTCAATTTCAGGAGACATATATATGTTGACTCACTCTTCCATGTATATGTCCAATTCAGCAGCTCGTTTCCGAGCGATTTCATAGAATTTCTTTTGCTCTTTCAATCTTTTCTCGTCCATCAGTCTTCGCCTGTCGATATCATTAACGTCGTCATCGCTGGGTGTAATATGGTGATGGGTTAGGAACTCTTCCATCGCCTTTGAACGAGCAATATCGGGGTTCCCTAGGAGTGTGCGGAGAAACGCCCTCAGCGAAATTCGTTGGGATTCACGTGGAAGCACCACAGGCTGCACAGGTAAGCTAAATACTGACAAAGACGGGTTTGGAAAACGTACGTCGTGATCGTTCGTGTTGTTAGAGTTTGATATCGATCGGTTCGATCGGTTCGACCGGTTGTCTATAGAGTTCCGAGGTGAAGATCCGTCAACGCCGAGAGTTTGTCCCGATGCCGATCGTCGGTGGCCTTTGAGAATGTTAGAATTCGATCGCAAAGGATCATTGTGAAGTTTTTTTACCTTCTACGGCCAGCATTCGCATCGACGCAGTAGTGGTCGCTGCCCCATCTGCTGCTGAAGTTGCCTGAGTGGAAACAGAAGATAACGAAGACGAATCACTGTCCTCACCCTTCGAGGAACCGAATAGGTTCGATGCTGTTGAGTTCTGTTTATTCTTCTTCGGTGGTGCTGGTAAGATCTTTCCTGGAAACTCGTTCCGCAGGTTTCTGTGCAGCTTTAAGAAATCGCCATATCTGCGGCCAGTGAAGTATGGCAGCTCTCCCTTCTTCCTTATTCTAAGAATAAACTCCTAAAAACAGATAATCAGTAACAGCCACAAATACCTGACATGGATGTCTTCATTTGACGTTGTTCACTCACAGCGTGCGGGTGGTGTCTGATGTTCCTCTTCACAGATGTAATCCTTACACCTGCGATGTTAACGTCCCAGCCGTATAAGTAGTTTCCTTCCGGTAGTGTAGACAGGACACCTTGCTCAATAGCTCCTGATTCAACGACACCCATTTCCGCGAACTTAATGCGCTCTTCATATCCAGAGGACGTAGGGATACCAGAAACCATCATCAGCTCGACCAGCTTCTGGGCTTTAAGGGACAATTTCCTGCGTTTTGTTTCCTCTAGACGATCTTCAGACGACGATATACGCTTATTTGCGAACGATTCGAGAAACTACAGGGTCGTCAGCGCGCATTCACAGTAAGGGTCTGTTTAGTCCGACTTACCACTTGTAGCTTATCCTGCCAGAACTCCTTCTCCTTCGCTTTATCCAAAAACGGGAACTCGCGAACATGATGAACGAAGATATATCGCAAAATAGGTAGGTCTGAGTCTAACGGAGAGACTTCGCCAAATTCGGATCTGAAGGGCGCGCCGAATCTCTGGAGCGCTGTGGGCGAACTGAGCTCGTTGATTTCGGCTGTCACTTGTTGAGAAATGAGTTCCCGCTTGAGATCTGAGCCAAGTTAGCGGGAGAGGTCTGTAGGCAGGAAAACGAGGACATACAATGCTCTTGCTTCCCGCTGAGCTCATTGCCGCCGGCATTTTGCGGGGCTGCTGGCTGAGCAGCTACCTTGGAGGCATTCAGATCTTGGACAGAATTCTCGCGGGGATCTGTAGCGTGAGCAGACATCCCTTCAATACTCGAGCGCTTCAGCTGCTGATTTTTTCGTGTTTTAGAGACTCAGGAGAATTTGGGATTGCTGTCACGAAGTGATGTTATATTTGGTGGGGTAGCTCTGCTTTGCTGACGAGAGGTCCGGGCGCTTCAGTATAAGCACGACAAACACAACAGAACCAAAATCGACTTGCTAAACCAAAAACTAAAATATGTAGGCGATAGTTATATACTTTGGACGAAAACTAATCTATCAGCGCATTTTTACGGGAAGGCCGACGAAGATACGCTTTTCCTGTTCCTGCCACTGCTGTACCCCCCGAGGGCCATGCCAAGAGATCGATCAGAAGATCCCCACAGCGGTGACGTCCGCTGACGACGCCAGCAACTTAGGAGGACGTATTGTGTCAGCCCCACCATTTATGTTTACTTTGGAGTGCATATAGTTACATTTTACGAGCACCGGGACGAAAATAATTGCCGCAATCCTTAATTTTCATGATACTATTTATGGTTAGCTACAATAGACATATAGTGTCACAGAATTGTAAATTTGGAGCAGTTTACGTTGGAGTCAATATGGCGACCCCTCACATACAAGTCACCGTGCAGGTAGCCAAGGCCGGACCAAGGCAATATAAAGGAAATGATCTTGGCTCTCATTGCCGTATCCGTTGAGTCCACTTTCAATGAACCAGACTCAAGCTATTTGGCTTCTCGCAGACATCTCAGACATCACAGTTCGAGGCAGTAGTTTCCAATAGTTGTGGTAATATTAACATTATAATTCGTCGAATACCTTAAGCCGTGGATCTTCCTCGAGAGTGTCGTTTGGTGACTTTCGTAGCCCCTCCAGGACCTTAGAAACTTCAGTCTCTATAGTCAGGCTCTCATTTACCAGACCTCTCTCGAAGTCTAGCACACCACTCTTAATGTTCTGGGCGTTCAGTCCATCCATTATGCCCGGTACTGGGCTCCGTGCTGGTGTATATTGGAATATGAGCAGTCCCACCAGCACCACCACTGTTGTAGCGCTGAGGCCCCAGAAGAGCTTGATTCTCTTTCGGGTCTTCTCCTGCCACTGGTCTTCAACCTTGGCCCATCCCTCTGCCCTCTTCCTGATCACTTCGACTCTGGCCCCTAGCTTGTTCACCTTATCCCTGCCGGTCTGTATCCGCGCCTGTAAAGCTTCTATCTTCGTCTGTGGTTCTTTGAAGTCACCAAAGGCCTTTATCTGCTCTTGAATCTCCCTCGCAACATCTTGTGAATCATCATCAAAGTCTTCGTTTAGCTGCCTTGCGATCAAAGACAGCTCTTTCAGTGAGGCAATCGAAGCTTGCAGTACACTGAGCTTCTCTAGGACGGAATAATAAGTATTATCGAGGCGGCTCGTTGTGGTATTTGAGAGTATTCGTAAATCATGTAGGGACTTCCTTGGATCCCTGGGGAAGACATCAGTGACGGCCACTGTATATGTAAGGGACTACTTACCCAACAACAAGGTCCCTGTCCTTGCTTCCTATCCCGATAGCGTCAGAAAGACGCTTCCTCTGCTCGGGCGCAGCTTCATTTGCAGACATTGTTGTGAAGCGCTCCTCGAATAAACCTCATCTGCTCAACGACTTTGATCGATAGCTCTTGCGTTGGGGCAGGTATGACATAGCAGTCCCGCTGGGTCTACCGTAAGACCTTGGGTTCTAGGCGTATTGGGCGTGTCTCATCGGCATAGAGCACGAGATTCTAGCAAGAGGAGTTGGCGAATATCTTAGTCCCTCGTGAACTAAATAGTTGGTCATTTGACATGTGGTTCTGGGGACCCCAGTTCTTGGTTAGTGGTGGCACGTTGTGGCCGTGCATCGGCGGGTAACGAGAGGTTGTGGACTGACCGCCCGCAATCGCTGGGCTGGTAGTACTGCCACCACGAAAATATCTTGCGTCTACGAATATATGGATTATATTTTAATATTAGCCGGAAATAATCAAATTCAAGCCAGTATAAGTAGCTTTCAACAATATATGAGCTATAGTTTGTACCAGTGGTGGGACTTGTCCACAGGTCCCGCAGTAGCAAGGCTGATAGGCCTTGTTTCAAACCCAAATGAGAACCACCAAATCCCTCTTTATCAGCCCAGATCTCTTTTGACTGCCAGTTCAAAACCAATAGATTATGGGATATCGCAAACTACTATCACACTCAGTAATATTGTAGTGGGTGCGGAATTAATCCAGTGAGAGTGAGCTTCTTTGACATTTCATATATCATCGTTAGGCTTGTATCCCTTCAACTAATGCCCGAATCAAAATCCCCAACGCCATTCTCTGCATAATTACGCCCGCAATCCATGTATACAGCTTATCGATGCAATCTCTCCCTCATGACTTGATCATCTTGTTCCTCTTCTCCTTCCTCTTCAGCCTCTCCACTCTCTTCCTGTGCATTGTCTCTGCTAGCTTCTCGTATCGCGCCTTCTCCTCCTTCGCAGCACGCTTGTCCTTGAGCGCTGTTATCCTCCTCTGTAAATATATTAGCAACAGTCCGCTAATCCTTGGTTCTGAAAGAAAGCTGTGCGCCCTCGAGTCGGTCTGCCACTTACTTGACGCTCGGCTTCCTTCTCTTCCTTCATCTCCTTCTCCTTTGCCTTCACAACGTTCATGGCCACTCTCTCCGCATTTCGCTTCTCATACGTATCGTTGCCAGCTTTCGGGCGGAATGCGCTCTTCAAAGCGTGCCATTGCTTTCCTGGTGGGTTGTCAGTGTGAGCTTCAATGGCAGTACTTGTTCAGGACATACCGTTTTTGCGCATTCCATAGGCAGGTTTCTCAGCTGGCTGGCTTGCAGCATCTGCGACGGCGGTAGACATAATTCCGGCGATTTTGCAGGAAAGAAAGTCGGGAATGAGTGGTTGAAAATAACGTTATTTGGAAAGTCTTTCCCTTATCGATTTGGTGGATAAAAGATTCGGGAAGCATAAATTATCCGCACTATAGTTTTTCCCCACACCGAGAATATAATCTGATGATCTGATAAAGAATCACAAATCAGATAAAGCATCACAAATCAGATCAACCATGCAGTTTAAGGGTAGCGCTCCCGTGCCGATAACAGTCAGATCCGATAGAGACACTAAGTTTTTATCTATTTGCGCGCAAACACAGCAAGTGTAACACAAGGACTTTGCGCCATTATTTACCACCAAATTATCTCATACAAAAATCTCTCGTATATACCTGATCAAGATAAGCCCTAAACCCAGCAGCACTGTCACAAGGGAACGTGTTTGCCCCGCACTTCATCTCACCGACCCCAATCTTACTGTTTCTGACCGCCCCTCTCCCTTCAAAATGGTAACTCGATAACAACCGCCACACGCTCTTTCGGTTTACAAATTTAAAGACGCAATTTACTAATTGCGGGAGCATCTTCTGCTCCAAGTCACTTGCAATGGACGCCACAGACCGCCAGACTGGTGCTGAGTCACCGAAGAGCATGGTCTTGGAGCAAGCCCCCAGACTCCAGATCAACGGGGCGAGTGCACTCATGGATGCTGTTGAAGATGTCTTATTTGGCTCTGTAAGTGTTCTATTGTTCCCCATTCCTTCTCTTTTATGCATTGTTCAAAGGCTGACTCTATGCAAGATTGCAGGCATCGCAGGAAAATTCATCGAGTACCCATTCGACACCGTGAAGGTTCGGCTACAGTCACAACCCGATACCAAACCTCTCCGATATGCAGGGCCACTCGATTGCTTCAGGCAGTCCTGGCGCCAGGAAGGCATGGCCGGTCTATACCGAGGGATCAGTGCTCCGCTAGTCGGCGCAGCATTGGAGAACAGCAGCCTTTTCGTCTCCGAACAAGCAGCACAGAAACTACTATTCGCCTCCGGATTATACAATTCAGATTCCCCCCTACCTCTCTCGGCATTGTTCTGCACAGGAGGTATGGCAGGAGCAGTCACCTCCCTCGTCCTCACTCCCGTCGAGCTCGTCAAATGCAAGATGCAAGTACCGACCGCCACCGGCCCCGATGGTTTAATCACAAAACACCAAACTGTCTCCTCCATCATCCGCAACGTGTTTCGTCACCAAGGCCTCATGGGCTTCTGGCACGGGCAAATGGGGACGTTGATTCGTGAGACTGGAGGCTGCGCAGCGTGGTTCGGGAGTAAAGAGACTGTCTCGATGCTGTTCCGCAAATACAACGAGAAGAAGAGAGGCACCGTGGATCCACACGTACACGGTTCTGTCCACCCTCCGTTGCCACTATGGCAGCAAGCGGTGGCTGGTGCGTCGGCGGGAATGTCATATAATTTCCTGTTCTTCCCCGCTGATACGGTGAAGTCGCGGATGCAGACATCGGCAGTTAATGGGGCTGAGAAGCAACCAAGCTTCTGGGCGGAAGGAAAGGCGCTTTGGAAGCAGGCGGGCCTCAAGGGGATGTATCGTGGTTGTGGGATCACTGTTTTTAGATCGGCACCTGCATCAGCGTTTATTTTTATCATATACGATGGTTTGAAGAGGGAGCTGCATTTCTCTTGAGCTTAGAGAATGGCGTTTGGGGATAGAGGCTGCATTGTTGTTAGATGATGGGTCGTCTTTGATGAGCTTTCGAAGTGTATATATATGGGCACTTGGACGACGCTGAACTGGTACATGAGGTTGCAGGAAGATATTATTGGTATAGAGGGGAGGGTTGAATAAAGCGGCAGACATATGGGCGGCGTTTTGGGCTTCTTTTCGATAGATTGATGAGTAGCACGAAACAAGATACTTTTTAAGAGTGATAACTTTACATTTGTTTTCCAACTAAACCTACAGTAATGACTGGAAGAAAGCCATTGACTTATACTAACGATACATCTTGTTTCCCCTAAATATCACAAATAGTTCAATTTCCAATTAATCCGCCCCTTCCCTTCCCTTTCCCTCCCGTATCACATCCGCCGGTAACATACATCCATCCTAAGGCTTCTCATCAACAAACTTCGTGTGTCCCGGCTTCGACGACGGCGGAGAATCAACTGTCTTATCCGACAAATCCCAGTTATTCAAATACCCAACCGCAGTACTCAAATAACTCGCATAGCACAACCACCCCAAATACGGAACCATACACCACCCCGCCACCGCATCAACCTTGCCCCAGAGATACGTCATATACCCCACCGTCCCCGTGAGCGCGAGGATATCAACAGTAGCTTCGATTGGGCGCTTGGCCACGAAGAACAGCGGCATCCAGAGGAGGTTCAGACCAAGCTGGATCGTGTACAGCGTTGCTCCGTGCTTGGTTGCTTGGATGACGTTGGGGGAGCGCAGGGGGGAGAGACCAGCGTTGCAGGCGCGGAAGGCGCCGTAGCCCATGAGGCCGTAGAAGAGGGTCCAGAGGGGACCGAAGATCTCGGGGGGTGGGCGGCAGGGGGGCTGCTTGAGGGCCATGTAGTTCTTTTGGTTCTCGCGGGCTGTGTTGGGGGGTTAGTTTGGGGGGCTGAGAAGGGGGAAGGGGGTGGCACGTACGTCGAGATGAGAATCCAACGGCGGTTCCTAGAGCCACGGGGAGGAGAATGGAGGTGGCGGGGTTGAGGAGGATCCCCGAGGGGATCGTGAGTGAGGGTATGTAGGTGGTCATCGTTGCTGAGGGATGAATTATCAGTTTTGAATCCCTTTGGTGGCTTTTTGACAGCGTGGTCTAGAATAGAAAGAGGCTTGATGAAAGATAATAAAACAGCAGCTGCCCAGAATAGACACTGAAGGTAAACACTGAGTTCCAAAGTGGCTTCAGAACCATTGTTCATACTGGGGCGATTGAAGCGTTCGCCCTACGTCATAGGCTCTTATCGTGAAGCTCGTCCCCATGGACACTCATATGCACCATTGACGTGACAGGCGCTGTGAGTATGAATTGAAATGGAAAACTCACCTAGTTTGATTCACGCAATTGAGTGACTCTTGAATGGATAAGCAGTTTTGAGGAAATAATAAGCAACGAAGTGTGAAGAGAATAGATGGGTTGGCTAGTATGGAATGGAACTTGGTCTCACGTTGATTGTGGGCTGTCATGACACAACGGGGCGAGGAATGGTCCGAAGGTTACCATGGCTGCCATATGCTAAAATATGCTAAAGCAGCGTTGCAGTGGTGGTATTCCTTGTGGTGGTCGCCGTGGCGGTCTTCGCGTCTTCACGCCGTGCTGGGGACCATTTGCAGCACCCAAGCACCACCATTGACACCACTGTATCCAATAGCTTGCCGTATCCGACCCTTAGCGCCCCCCAAGTCACAACGCCGACTACTGTACAAGCTCTCGCGCGCCTCATCTTCTCCGCATTTCGATCTTCCCAAGTCCACCCTCCTCACATACATTCTACCCGCCTCTTATTCCGCCTCCCAATTCAATCGAGGAGCTTCATTTTGCGCGCTGAAGCTGCTTCGTACTATTCAATCTCTTGTTGGTTACATCCTTCCCTCGCACCAATTCTTGCATTCAATACCTTCCTGTTTCTTAATACCTACATACTGGCTTTCGCTCCTCCTCCATCTCAACACCTCACATGCACACACCTCCGCTGCCTTCAATCATCGGCATTAGATAGCACTCTTCATACTTCACTTGCACCTCCCTTGTTTTCACATTATTTGCGCACCTCTACCTTATCCTATACTTTTGAAGCAATCCTCTGACAGTCAATCATGTCGACAAACAGCAGCCCCTTCGGTGTCACAATCTCATCACAATCACTGGGTATAACTTGACACGAAGCAACGCGAGCTCTTTGTAGCTACAAAGACAACAAAGCCGCCACGACTTATTTCCGATTCTGTATACCAAGCAAAGACAACAGTTGAACCTCGGAAATGGCGAGCTACCAATACAGCAGGGAACCTCCCCTCACACGATCGCCGACGGAGAGGGATACCTGGACTAGTCGGGATGATGCGCGGCCAAGCGACCGCCCAGAACGCCCGGATTCTTTCTATCGTGGCAGATCCCCTGGTATGTGATTTATTATACTTGCGCTTTGTGGCCTGTTTGGTCTCCGGCATGACTCCGCGGTGTCATTGCCCTTCGAAGTCTGGCTCTTTGAGTTTACATTCACTTCACACTTCCTCAAATCTGGAGTCATGCTCATGTTCATCATTGCGGCCACGTTTTGGTACTACTTTGAATGTCACTTACTTATCACCCCCCTTGCAGGTGCCGACCGCCAACGTAGGCCACGAAACCGCACCCGTTCGCCATTAGCAGTCGACCGATACGAACCTGGCCCTCGGCTACCTCGCGACGATTATGGCGGACCCAGAGATCGAGATGAGCGACGCAGGCCATCGCCAGGGCCTGCCCATATCGACCGATACATTCCAGGCCAGGATTCTGGCAGTGCTCCTATCACAGTGAACCCACTGGCTGATCCATCGAAACTACAATTTCAAGTGGGGTTTTCATACTTTGGAGAATGGTGGAGGACGAATGAAAAGATCAAGGAGGAGAAAGAGCGACAAAAGACGGGAAGGAGGCGAGAGCCAGAGAGAGTTCGTGGTCAACGGGAGTCTCAGGAAGATCGCGACAAGGAAAAGGCACGCATACAGGTCGCATACGACGCTTATAAAGAAGACCTCCAGGCAAAGATGGCGAAAACGTTTGTTCAGGAGCACAAAAACGAGCAATGGTTTCAAGAGAGGTACATGGCCGAGGTTAGAGAGCCATTGAAGGCGAGGCTCAACGACTTTCGCCGCCTAAATTATACTCGATGGGAGCGGGACTTGGATGCAGGAATGTTTGATGAATATTCGCTGGAGGGCATTCCAAAGGGCGAAATTAATAGCTCGGGCGCGCTTATCGAGAAAGAAGAGGGCGAAACTACAGCTACGAACGAGGTCCTTGGAGTTGGGGATCTCCTACCTTCGAAAGGAAGTGATATAAGAGACGAAGATGCTTTCCTACCGACACTACTCATCAAAACGATCGCTCCTCATGTCAATCGTGATAACGTTGTTTCATTCTGCAAAGAGCACCTTGGCGAGGGCGAAGGAGGTTTCAAATGGCTCAGTTTGAGCGACCCCAACCCAAGCAAGCGATATCATCGGATAGGCTGGGTTATGCTGAATCCCGGATCAGATGCCTCTGCCCCCTCATATCGTCCCGAGGCAAACGAAGAGGATGGCGAGGCTCCAGAACAGCCGGCTGCCCCGGTGTCTGTAGCCGACAAGGCTTTGGAGGCCATCAATGGCAAACAAGTTAAGGATGAAGTGCGCGGGGACTTCACCTGCCATGTCGGCGTCCACGTGCCACCTTTGATGCCAAGGAAAAAGGCTCTTTGGGACCTGTTCTCAGCTCCTGAGCGCATCGAGAAGGACCTTGACCTCGCTTCAAAGCTGATCAACAAATATGAAGAGGACTTTGGATCAGATTTCAATGCCGTTCTCAAGATTGAAGAGAAGGTTGACGAACTCAAGAGCCAAGGACTCATCAAGCCTGCGTTACCTGCGCCGAAAAAAGCTAAGGCTGAACGCAACAGCGACGAGGCTATGGCCGATGTTGAAGAAGGCGAGGAAGATGAGGAAGACGAAGGCGCCGTCGATGATGAAGTTGACGATGATGAGCTGCTGGTGAAGAAGAAACAACTTGATCTGATGGTTGAATACTTGCGACGAGTCTTCAACTTCTGCTTCTTCTGCGTTTTCGAGAGTGATTCTATTCACGAACTGACTCGCAAGTGTCCGGGTGGCCATCTTCGTCGCCCAAGAAATACGTTGACTACCTCGGCCAAGGCTGCGGCACGGGCTAGCGCCAACGGCGAGCCCCTTCCTGACAGGAAGAAGAGTGATGCAGAGGAGGGCGAGGCTCCTGGTTCGCCAGAGACGGACAGAAAGTTCAACCGCAATAGCACTGCATCGAAGACGGAGCAGCAGCTTCAGCGTGCGTTCAATTGGGTAAAGACTTTCGAGGAGAAGATCTTGCAAATAATTGAGCCAGAGAACATCGATGTTCGCAAGCTTGGCGGAAGACCAGTGGAAGAGGCAGTGGAGGAAGAGATGGCCAAGCATGTGAAACAGGAGGATGAGCATAAATACCGCTGTCATGTTCCGGAGTGCACGAAGCTCTTCAAGGAAGAACATTTCTGGAAGAAGCACGTGGAGAAGAGACATCCGGAGTGGCTTGAAGGTATTAAGAAAGAAGTAAGTCTACACCCAACTCAGCACCCGTGCTTTTACTAACAATACCCCAGTTTGAGCTAGTTAATACCTACGTCTCTGATCCAGCACACATCGCTCCGTCCCGTTCCGACGCGAACAGCAACGGCCACTTCCCACCCGCCAACGGCCACCAGCCAGCAGGCACACCCCGCGGCTTCAACCTAAATTCCTTCGGTATGAACGGAATCCCTCCACTAGGCAGCTTCGGCCCACCAGGCCAATTCCCAGCCTTGTTCGCCGGCCACTCCGTCCAAGCACCTCTTGGATGGGCACCCGGCGGCGACGACCGTAGCGGAGGTCCCATCCGCCGCGGCGGCGGACGCTTCGGCAACCCACGTACTGGACCATATGATAGACGCCCTGCAGACAGGAGATGGGCCAATGAAAGTGGCAGGCTCAGTCCCCCCGGTGGACGAAATGGCAGGCCTGGCGCGACTGGTGCGGGGAGATGGGGCGATGGAGGAGCGGGTGGCGCGGCCCCGCCGCCGAGAGAGGCGGTAGCTGGGAGGAGTCTGAAGAGCTACGAGGATCTCGATGCGGTTGCTGGCGGGGCGGGCGGGGAGTTGAATTACTAGTTTCTGAGTGCTTGCTTTTTTTCTGGAGTGGAACGAATAGGGTTATATGCGGGCAGGGTTCAGGACGTATCAAATTGCATGGCATAGTAGAAGCTTGCGGGCTCTGTCGGGTCGCGGCTCTGGTTGGGCTGCTCAGGGCTACAGCTTTGCGATTATGGGGTATTGCTGGCGATTTTTTTGCACGGGTGGGGGACTGGGATATGATATTGGGAATTGAGGTAGCTCGCAAAAGCTCGTTGTAAGATAGCATATAGTTTTCTCAGGTGGCAATACAGGGCATACTTTGCATTATAACATCTTGGTTTTTATATTTCTTGGATGCTTAGATTCTCTTGTTTTAATTCTAGTTGCCCTTTAATATTGTGTTGATTTGTGTTCTCGATTATATTGACTCAACAAACAATTAATGACCTCAGTGGCAAGGCAAGGTATGGGGGTAAGACCGATTACACACAATTTAGTAGCAATACGACTTATCAATTTATTGGGCGGTCACATCGAGTAAGTCAGCTATCCTTTCTCATTAGGCACAGACTAATTGTATGACGGGGCACTAGACATTTCGTTCTAATAAGGTTTTGACGGGTCGATGTCGTTCCGGGCGATCGACAACCCCGGAACGACATCGACCCGTCCAAATTCCCTAGGGTACGCAATCGAGGGATACCCGCACGAGGCTGCTCGAAACAAAATGTCTTCTCGACGTTAAGACAGCCTAGGTGGATAAGGAGCCAGAGCAGCAGAATCTACAAACACCCACCGTCCCGTTCGCACCCAGAACTTCCACTATGTCTGATATACCCAAGCCTTCCTCCCCCGTCGCGAATAGGGGGTTCGCTCACCTCGCCGTCGCACCTAAAGTACGATGACCCGCATTACGCCGCGAACATGCCTGTACCCCCTCGCCGCCTCTCTCGTCGTCGCCTTCGCTCTCTCCATCTCCCTCACCTTCCGTTCCAACCATCACTGCTACGCTGCTACCTGCGGCGAGTGGCTCTTTCCCCTACAAGCCCGCCTCCACGTCGCAGTCTGGTACTCTTGGCTCTCCCTCTTCGTCACCTTCCTAGCCGTGCGTGCGTTCTCGCCAGAGCTGCGCCGATTCCTACGGCTTCCGGTTCCTGGGTTGGAGAAGTACGTCGCTCTTAGCGGGTTGTTGGTGGGAGTCTGGGTCGTGGTGTTGTATGGCGCGCTCATCGGGGTGTGGTGGTGGCGGCTGCGTGACTACTTCGTTGCCCGGGGCCATGAGGGTGGCATTGAGAAGGGGAATGGCACACTCGCTGCTATTGCTCTCTTAGGACACCTGTGCGATGTCACGCTGGGGATGGTGCTTGTCCCTATCTCACGGCATAGCGCACTCGCGTCCTTCTTCTCGCTGTCTGTATCGACGACACTGATGTTCCATATGGCGACTGCGTACACTCTGTTCGGACTTGTCATGATCCACGGATTTCTGTATGTGTCGTGGGTGCCGACCTTCAATGCTCTGTCGGCGCAGCTGAGGATGGTGTTCCCGGTGCTCAATCCAACATATCTATACCATGAAACGTGGCCAGGGAATACAAGTGCGCTAGGAGTGTGGAGGGCATCGCTCATTTTCTCGGGGGTTTTAACTACGGCGATTATGACGCTCATTGCTGTGACGACGGTGCCGGTAGTGAGGAGGAAGCACTTCGATCTGTTTTACTATACGCACCTGCTAATTATACCGGGGGTGATAATCATCTGTCTCCATGCGAGCACGATCTTCTATTGCGCTGCACCTGGACTTCTAATGTGGGTGCTGGATTGGGGGATGCGCCTATACGAGTTGCGAAGGAGATTAGACGGCAAGATCACGACTGTTGGGAACGGCTGGTATTGGTATGATACTCTCACAGTATGCGGATCTAGAGCACCTAAGCTAACAACATCTAGCCTCACGCTCCTCCTTCCCCGCCACCGCCTCGATGGCTGCGCTTGCACCTCTCCACTCGCTCACTTCTACCTCTACCACTCGGGCTCCTCAATGCGGCAACTCCATCCTTTCACAACTATTACGCATCTAGCGTCGCAGAACGCCGCTACGCCGCTATCCGAAGATGACTTCCTTATTTGCTTCCTCTTCCGCAAGCAGGGCAGGACAACCCAAACCCCCGAGCCCTCGACACTTGACAATAGATTCACGCTCCTCAGATATCTCAGGCGTACGAGAACTGCCTCGCCAGCTGAATGGACGGATAGACTAGCTAGCTTGGCTGATAAAGCAGCCCTCACTACAGATTCCCCACTACATCGTGATGCAGCTATCCCCGACCCAGAGGGGCCTTTCACCATGCTCACCTCCCCAAGAGCTTGGATTAATACAGCCCATGCCGCTCTTGGTATCCGCGCCGAAGGCCCATACTTCACCCCCGCGGACCCCGCACGCTACCACACCGTCGTCTGCATTGTCGCTGGAACGGGTATCAGTGGTGCGCTAGCAATCATCAGTGCCTTTGCCGCACAGAAGACAAGGGATGCTGAGAATGCCGCAGAGACGGATATGTGCGTGCCGGGAACTTGTAGCGCGGTGCAAGAGCCTGTGCCGGTACCGGTTGGTGGCCGGAGAATGTGGGAGCGTTGCGTGGTGGTGTGGAGTGTGCGAGAGGCTGATTACATTGCCTTGCCCGCTTTGATAGGTAAGAACCACTCACACCCTTACGGCCCGTTTCTCGTCGGGCTGCGCCTGTCTGCCTGGCGTTGCTAACGAGTATGAGTAGACCATGGAATCTCAAACCTGGAAGTGCAAGTCCACCTCACTGGCAACGGAAGGCCGAGGCTAGATGTTGTGAAGACCCTGGCGGACGTGAGGGAGGAAGAGAGGAAAACGTGGGTTTATCTGTCGGGACCGAATGCGTTCATCGAGGCGGGGGAGGTTGCGTGTAGAGCTAGCGGGGGCGTCGAGTGGTTTGGGGCACGGTGGAGTATTTGATTTTTTGGGGCAAAAAGGGGAGATATATGGGACACGATATTTCTTCGTTGCTTCGACAAGACTGTAACAGTAAATGGGTCATAACTATATCTAAACCTCTCCCTAGCTAGAGGCGCCAATGGCTTGGGCATAGCACTGGTCTTGGAACATTTTTAAAAAAGCATTCAAAACCGCTTCTATGATATAAACTTAACTTTATAGTTACTATGGACAAAGACAGACCTCATTACTCCATAATATATCTATGCCTAGTCTGTATTGCTAGCTTATCTAATAAATGCTGTAAGAAAGGTTGCATTGGAAGTCGTCGGGGCGCGCTAAGATTTAATTTCAGACGATATCATAAATCACAACAGACCATATTATTCATTAAAATATTTATATCATGGGCTACACAGCCTTTGACTGATTTCTATTCATAATATGATATAATACAGTTTAGCTTGTATCTCCATTTTACCTGCTTAATGCAATATCATCGATTCTTAGGATCTGGTAAGGGGGTTAGCAAAGGATAGGAGCAGCAGGCGTGGAATCAAATAAACTTACCATTTTTACAGTCTCGGACGCCAACTCGATGGCGCTCGTGCTCACCAACAACGGCTGGAGCACGTTCTCGTCACCGATGTCGTTCTTCACACCACCAGACTTGATGCTGACTCCCGCGTTGACCTCTCCATTGGCATGCTTGTGTCTCAGCTCCGTCACGACCTTGATGCTATTCAACCCCGCGTTCTCCGCAAGAGTTGTGGGGATGACCTCCATGGCATCCGCAAACGCCTTCCAGCAGATGGCCTCGGTGCCTGTGAGCTGGCGCGCCTGCTTCGCCAGCTGGGTCGCGATCTCGATCTCTGGGGCGCCACCACCGGCAATAAGAGCCTTCTTCTTGACTAAGCAGCGGATGACGCACAGGGCGTCGTGCAGACTGCGCTCGGCCTCGTCGAGAATCAGGGAGTTGGCGCCGCGGCAGATGATGGAGACGGTCTTGCCGGCGCTCTTGGTGCCGGTGACCTTTACGATCTTGGAGCCGGAGTTCTGGGCCTCCTCGATCAGCTCCGCGTAGCCGAGCTTGTCCTCGGTGAAGGAGTCGATGTCGGCGATTGGCTTGCAGCCGGTGGATTTGCAGATGAACTCGACCTCGTCGCGCTCGATGTCCTTGATGGCGAGGATGTTGAGCTTGGCGAGGAAGTGGAGGGCGAGGTCGTTGACGGCGTCGCGGAGGATGGATTTTTGGATGAAAAGAACGTTGCACTTCGCCTTCTTGATCTTCTTGACCATGTTCAGGAGGTATGTGCGCTCTTCCTTCAGAATCTTATCCATCTGCCTGTAGTCGTTGACGACGATCTGGTTCTCCATATCTGGCTTGGGAGGGCTCAGCTGGAACTGGATTAGACCTATCCGTGCCTTCTCCATTCTGATTGGGCCACCGCCGCTCTTGAGAACACCCTGGGTAAGGACCAGGCCCTCAACCATCTCGCTGTCCTCGATAGTGCCGCCGACCTTCTTGACAACTCTGATGTTCTTCAAGTCAACGTTATCTGCGGTTTTGATATCGATGGTCTTGGTCACAGCGTTCACCGCCATCGGGGCAAGGAGGTTGGAGTGTTGTGAAACGATTTTGGAGGACAGGGATGTTGTTGCGGCTTGGAGGAGGGTAGTTGTGTCGTTGAGGGAAACTGGATGTGACATGTTCGTTAAGATCTGAACTGATGCCTTTGCGGCTCTCTGGAAAGATTCAGCGATCACTGAGGGGTGGATGCCCTTTCCGAGTAACTTGTCGGCCGCTCCCAACAAGCTTCCGCAGATAACAACCACAGATGTCGTTCCATCTCCAGCCTCAACATCCTGTGCCGATGAAAGGTCGACCAGCATCTTCGCCGATGGATGCATAACCGACATGCTCTTCAACATTGTGTTTCCGTCGTTTGTGATAATCGTCTCCCCCTTCCCCGTCTGAATCATCTTATCCATACCCCTTGGTCCAAGGGACGTCCTGACGGCATCGGCGACAGCTTATATATAGTCAGCATAACTTCGGGGCCCTAAAAAGTGTGCAGCGTACCTCTGGCGGCGACAATGTTGGCGGTGCGCACAGCCATAGGCTTCTCCTTGTCCTGCATATATAATTAGTATTGAACAAGCATACACCATGCATGGAGCGTACCTTGAAGGCATTGTTGCTAGAATTAGCCTGGGACGCTGCGAGTGCCATCTTGTATGTCTATGTGAGGGTATAAGGGGTTATCACAAGTCGACAGGATAATGGTGGACTGTTCTATAAAACATCGCGTTTAGCTAGTAATCGGTCGCGTTTTCCAAAAGTTCGCCGTAGCCCGCGCTAACCCACATTTAGATAGCTGCCGCTTACATGAGCAGGGTAGTTGGGTGAGTGAGCTTCGCGAGCCTCGTCAACCTGGCGTCGCCTGGAAACATCGCGGCCCCTACCAAACATCACACATCAACCACCACTTTTAAGACCGGCCCAGATCCTCTACACTTCCATATCACCTCGTCGTATTCCAATTCACCATGCCTACTGCCAAAGGTGCGGACTGGGAAAAGTACAAGAAGGAGTTCGCGGATGATGAGGTCGAAGAGAAGAAGATCACACCTTTATCTGATGAGTACGTGCAGAACTGATCAATCCAACTGGCATTACCATCCTAACATCTAGTGTTTAGGGATATCCAAGTTTTAAAAACGTATGGTGCTGCGCCGTACGCATCAGCGTTAAAGAAGCTAGAGAAGCAAATCAAAGAGAAGCAGACGAGCGTCAACGACAAGATCGGCGTCAAGGAATCAGATACCGGTCTTGCGCCACCGCATCTCTGGGATGTCGCCGCCGATAGGCAACGAATGTCGGAGGAGCAGCCTTTACAAGTAGCCAGGTGCACGAAGATTATCCAGGATGAGAAGAACTCTGAGAAGAGCAAATATGTCATCAACGTCAAGCAAATAGCGAAGTTCGTCGTGCAGCTCGGCGAGCGCGTTTCGCCTACGGATATCGAGGAGGGCATGCGAGTTGGGTAAGTGTTTATCTGAGCTGTTCTGTCTGTGACTATGGCTAATTTGTATCTACAGTGTCGACCGCAACAAGTACCAGATCCTCCTTCCTTTGCCACCGAAAATCGATGCGAGTGTGACGATGATGACAGTGGAGGAGAAGCCGGATGTTACCTACGGAGATGTCGGTGGATGCAAGGAGCAGGTGGAGAAGCTAAGAGAAGTCGTGGAGATGCCATTACTCTCACCTGAACGATTCGTCAACCTCGGAATCGACCCGCCAAAGGGAGCATTACTTTACGGCCCCCCTGGTACCGGAAAGACACTCTGCGCCAGAGCCGTGGCGAACAGGACAGATGCGACGTTTATCCGTGTTATTGGCTCAGAGTTGGTTCAGAAGTATGTCGGAGAAGGAGCGAGGATGGTCAGAGAGCTATTCGAGATGGCCCGTACCAAGAAGGCGTGTATCATCTTCTTCGACGAAATCGACGCCATTGGAGGTGCTAGATTCGATGATGGTGCAGGAGGTGACAACGAAGTCCAGAGAACTATGCTGGAGCTAATCACACAACTGGACGGTTTCGATGCGAGAGGAAACATCAAGGTCATGTTCGCCACCAACAGGCCATCCACTCTTGATCCGGCCTTGATGAGACCGGGACGTATTGACAGGAAGATCGAGTTCTCCCTTCCTGATCTTGAGGGCCGTGCCAACATTCTCCGCATTCACGCCAAGAGCATGTCGGTGGACCGCGATATCCGTTGGGAGCTGATCTCTCGTCTCTGCCCCAACTCGACAGGTGCCGAGCTGAGGTCCGTCTGCACAGAAGCTGGTATGTTCGCTATCCGCGCACGCAGGAAGGTTGCGACGGAGAAGGACTTCTTGAGCGCGGTGGATAAGGTCATTAAGGGCAATCTCAAGTTCAACTCTACGGCGACGTACATGCAGTACAACTAGATTAGATTTACGGTAATGGCTTTGGCAAACAGCAAGGTGTACTATATCATGGCGTAGGGGGACTAGGAATTCGACCTTTTCTGATTGCAGAACTTAAACTCACATCTTTCAATGGCTTCTTCGATATTGTGATTGACCCTTTAGATTGTGTTTTCTTTCGTTATCATGACTTCAATATGGTGCCACGAAGGAGTTCCAGGATTCGGACACCGGTGTCAGTCACTAAAATAGTGAGTTCTAGTATTTGGAGTTCCAGTATTCGGATACCGGTGTCAGTCACTAGAATAGTGAGTTCTAGTATTCGGAGTTCCAGAATTCGGACAGGAGTGTCAGTCACTAAGATAGTGAGTTCTAGACACTGGTGTCCGAATACTAGAACTCGCCCAGAAAGACCCCAACGAGGCCCTTGACCGGCTGAATATTTACCCGAGCCGCTGTAGATGCCACCTTGATAGAGACCCTTGGTCGTCATCAAGCTCACAAGGCCCAACAAGCTTCATATAGAAAGCCAGTATCTGGCACGATGCGGCGAGATTTGGCAGCACTGATTGCTGCAGTTGGACTGGCATCAGCTAGTCAAACTGTCTTCAGCATCCACGATGACATCGATGCATTCCCACAGGTATGAATGATACATCAACCATCCGCGCATAGCTAAATACTAAAAGTCCCCATAGTACAGCATAGTCTTCTCCCCCTCCCCCATCTCCTCCTCCGAAGCAGCAGATCTCCTCGAACCTCCCAAGCCATCAAATGGCGCCGAACCCTCCGCCATCCCTCTCGAATACACCCGCCTCCTCCTACACTCCACACCACACCTCTGCTCGATCCCGCGCCCTCCGACGGAAGAGCGCAACCTCACCAGCGAAGCCCTCCACAAAGCCTCTCTCGCCCTAGAACTCTCGCGCGCCAACACCCACGGCTGGGAGCTTCTCGCCCCGCTGGGCAAATCGTGCCTCTACTACACGTCTGGCTGGTGGTCCTACAAGTTCTGCTACAACGACTCTATCACCCAATTCCACGCCGCGCCGCCCCAGCCGGGCCGTCCGCAATTCCCACCTGTTCGAGACCCGAGGACGCCACAATTCGTCCTCGGACGCGCGAAGAAGGTTCCGGGACAGGATTCAAAGACGCATGGGAAGTTCTATGATGACGGGTCCAGCGAGAAGACGGGGGGCGGGAGTGATCTCGAGCTGAGAGGATCGCAGGAGGAGGATTCGGAGTACTACGAGGATGACGAGATAAAGGGTATCCTGCAGGATAATGGGGATAATCGCTACCTGGCCCAGAAAATGAAGAGTGGCACCCTCTGTGACCTCACCATGCGCCCTAGAGAGATCGAGATCCAGTACCATTGCCTAGCTACCGGAGTTGATCGGGTCGCTTGGATCAAAGAGGTGACGACGTGTTCGTATCTGATGGTTGTGCACACGCCTCGCCTCTGCAAGGACGTTGCTTTTCAACCCCAGCCCCAAGCTGAGACGCTGGAGATATTGTGTAAGCCCATCATCGGCGAGGAGGACGAGGAGGGCACCATCGGGTCCTCCTCCACTGATTCCGCGCCTCAAGAGCCTGCCGCCAGCGGTGAAGCAGCGGCAGAGACTAGCAAGAATGCAGCGGATATCCTGAAGAGCCTCGCGAAGGAAAGGGCGAAAGATAAACCCCTGATCATCGGCGGCACAGTAGTAGGCGGCGGAGAGTACTTCCCCGCCTCCGACCCGCCACTTCTCCAACCACCATCATTCTGGGCCGCGAATACGCGCGCCAACACCAAGAAACCCATCATGATCGCCAAGTCCGACACAAAACTAACCCCCAAGGGCGAAAACGCCGCAGCAAAAGCGCCTCCCAGCGCTCCCGACTCCGCGAAGTTAGCAGCTTCTCTCAATGCGCGCCTCGAATCCGACGGGGTTGTGACGATTGAGATCCTGGCGCATGGATTGGGGCAGAACGACGGGTATCATATTATGAATGATGAGGATCTGAAGAAATTGGGGATGTCGGCGAGTGTTGTGGAGGGGTTGGCGGAGACGCTGAGGAGTGCGGCGGGGGAGAATGAGTGGACGCTTGCGTTGGTGGAGGGGGAGGGGGTGGTGGGGAGGGAGGTTAGGGGGGTGATTGATGCGAAGGGGAAGGAGGAGGGGGGGAAGGAGTGGGCGTGGGAGGATGTGGAGGAGTTGTTGTTTGGGCAGAAGGTGGAGGATAGGACGGGGGAGATGGGGGCGAAGGTGGGGAAGGAGGAGAAGAAAACAGGGGCGGAGAAGAAGACAGGGACGGAGAAGAAAGCAGGGACGGAGAAGAAGACAGGGACGGAGAAGAAAACGGGGAAGGAGGGTAAGGCTGAGCGGCAGCAGAAAGGTGGTCAGAAGGAGGAGGAGGGGAGTGAGGAGGTATACTATAAAGATGAGCTGTAGCCCTTCTACTACGCATAAGGGGACTAAGCCTACGTTTCACAAGGGGAAATAAGAGTAGCAGTGTATAAATATGATATCATGAATTCCAATTCAAGTCTGAAGCTGTGTCTAAAATACAAATTTCCCTATGTTAACTCCACCCATGCCAATCTCTAACGCCATAACCCCCATTCCATTCCGAAGATTGCCTGCCCTATTGCATCATCCTCTTCCCAATCTCGCTCTGCCATCCCTTAGCGCGCTCAAACCCATTCTGGTGATTCTGATAATCCCTAAGCGCGTTGTACACCTGCTCCTGGCTGTTCAACACGAATGGTCCGTACTGCACGACCTTCTGATCGAGTGGTAGACCGGCGACGAGGTAGAAGTGTCCTGGCTCCGTGGCATCTGCCGCTACAGCAGCTGTGACGGTATCACCAGCCTGCTCAAAGACAACATTGTGAAACTGTCCGACTTCCGTCTTCTCCTCGCCGCTACCAAAGCTAGTCGTGCCCGCGAGCGTATAAGCGAACGCGTTCCAACCCGCCGGAATCGGCTGCGTAATCTTTCCACCCGGCTGGACCTCAATATCGAAAATCCAAACCGGCGTATAAGCCAACTCCTTCACCGAATCGACGCCATGGCTCTGCCCAGAGATGACCTTAATATTGACCTTCCCATCATCCGTCTTGACCTGCGGAATCTCGCTGGCCCTCAGATCGCGATACCGCGGCTCGCACATCTTCAGTTTCTCGGGCAAGTCGACCCAGAGCTGCATTCCGACCACGGGGGAGCCGTCAGAGAGCTCGCGCGGCATCTCGGCGTGCATTATGCCGCGGCCGGCGGTCATGAATTGCAGGTCCCCCGCCTCGATGGTGCCTTTGTTGCCGGCGAAGTCTTCGTGGTCGACGGCGCCGGAGAGGAGGTAGGTGATTGTTTCCTGGCCTCTGTGGGGGTGGTCGGGGAAGCCGGAGCCGGGGGAGCTGGTGAAGTGGTCTAGCATGAGGAAGGGGCTGAAGTTGCGCAGTTGAGGGGTGCCGATTGAGCGGCGCACTTTGGCGCCTACACCCTCGGATTGCTGGATAGCCAGGAAGGCTTTGCGGATTGCGCGGGGGACGGACATGGCTTCTGCTTTTGGCTCGCCGTATATTTCAGTAGGAGGAATGACTGGGAGGCCCTCAAAGGAGGTAGAGCCTGTAGTTTGGGAGTTTGAGGACGACGTGGTGACGGTTGTTTGGTTGTTGTGGTTTCTGTGTAGAAGGTCTGTCAATGGACCGATGCGGGCGAGTATAGTATCACTGAATGCGATTGAGATGATTGCGATTGCGGTTGTGAAAATGAACAAGAACAGCTTCATCGGGATTGAATGGGAGTTTAAATACCAGAGAGAGAGGGAGAGCTAGGGAAAAACGAGAATGAGAGAGAAAGTTCGAAAAGATACTATACTCTTATAGGGCTCTTTCAAACATATTATCTCAGCATTACTACAAGACTGGAATCAGTGTATTCGGAGGTGGTGGGGGCGGCCGGACAGGTAATGTGGGGTACCGAGCTTGATTTGCGATGATGAATCAGCCTTGGGATGGGGACTAAGCGGTTACATAAGGATTTCAAACTCTCTGAACCGCCAACACGTGATTTCGCACGTGACAGCTGTCGCCTTTTGAGCTCCTGCCTATACTCAATGTTCTTCCAAATCATCGAATAAGCTGCTTAGCTTCTCATGGACACACATAGTTTCGCATTTCTAACTCTTTCAAATCTGCTTTCAAAAAATGCTGCCCACGGGGCGCGTTGCATTGTAGCTAATAATTAACTAAGATAATATAAGGTCTCTCGCTCTCCTAATCCAGAGAGAGCTCAATTTGAGTGAGGATTTATCCAACCATTTCGCCAGTCCGTCCCTTCCACGTAGATAAACACCCGCTAAATCAAACCCAACCCAATTTCCCTGTCCCGGCCGAAAAACACCTGACCGAGAACCTCAAATGCTCGCCAAAAAAACTGCTCAGACTCGTACTTTAAAGAGCCAAATAGGTCCTCCTCGGATCTGGGCTCCGCGGCGTCGTCTTCTCCATATCCCTAATAACCTTCACCACCTCCTCTCTCGTCCCCTTGATCGCCCAGGGCTTCGCGCGAGCCATACCGGAGTGCTCGAAGTCAACGTACTTGAGGCTCGGGTGCGCGCCGTCGACTAGCTCCTGGATCATGAGGGTGCTCAGGAATACGCCGTTGTTGGCGATGACGGTCTCGAGGTGCTTGAGCTTGCGTAGCTGGTCGATGATGTAGATGTTGTAGATGGGGCGGAGCTCTTGGGAGTTCCAGGACCAGGATTTGGGGAGGTCGGAGACGTAGATTGTGTCTGTCCATGCGGAGGGCGGGTACTTGTCGTCGACGACGAGGAAGTCCTCGGCGAGTTGGATGCGGGAGATGTTGATGGTGCTGTTGCTGTTAGTCTCTTGCTCGAGTTTATTGGTAAGGAGTGTGTCAACTTACTTGAGGTACTGGCATGATTGAATGGCGTGGCATAATCCACCGAGTGGGATATCGCGGGAGAGTGCCCAAGCCTCAAGGAACGGGTTCGGCTGAGGATGCTTCCTGTGTGTCATCCGCCTCCTCGTCGGTCTCCTCTCCGGCACATGCAGTCTCGATCTCCCCTGATAAAGATCATGGTTCCTAAACTTCCACTCCCTCCACCCCGCCTCAGGCTGTCTCTCAAACTGCGCAACCTGCGCAAACCCGCTAACATCCAGCACCCTCACCCTATCACCATAGTGTTTATGGTGGCTAACCGTGTACGCAAACTGCGCAAAGCGGTAGGTCGATGCGAAAAGTGGGGTGTGGTACATCAAGTTCGCCGCAGCCTCCGTCAGAGCCGAATGAACCAGCATGACATCGCGCAGCTCCTTCTGCTCAAAGTCCTTGAATATAACACCCAGCACCTCGGTCGGGAGGTTCAGCAGCGTCGGTTTCGGACCCTGCATCCTCCTCCGCGAGCGGATTGACGAAGCAACCGACCTCACCGACGCCGACGACTGCCTGCGCTTCTGCCTAATCACCACATTGACGCCGTCTACCCGCGCACGCCGAGCCGACATGTTCATCTCCGGCGGTATGAGGGATCTGATGTTCTGTCTCTTTCCCAGCAGGGCTCCTCCTCCATCAACGCCTAGGACGCCTATGGGCGGGCCGACGAGGCCGCGCGGTCGTGCGGGCCCGTTGCCGTCGACCTGTGCGAGAACGGAGGCATGGGCGCGGAACTTGAGGTTTACGGACGAGGCTCGGTAGGGCGACGAGGCTGAGAAGACATGGCGCGGCCCGAAGGCGAGAGCGTTGGAGCGCTGCGATACCTGGATCGAGTCGTTATCTCTTCCCCTGGGAATCATAATATGTTAATATCCGAATCCTGTCTGTGAGGTTTGGTAGGAAGGGAAGGGAAGTGTGGGGAAACGGGGGGGGGAACACGTACATTTGAGGATTGAAGAATGAGGGGTTGATCCGAGTGGTGGTCGATATGATGATGCTAGTCTTCCCGTTGTGGAATCGCCACGGCAATCGGGTTTGGGGCTATGGCAAGAAGGTCCGAAGGTCACGAGCACACACAGGACAGGACAGTTCAAAGGCTGGATGGTCAAGAGTTTGTAACAACAGTTTTCACTATTCGCGACAGACTCCTAATAAGTAGCGATGAACGTTATGATGGTGATGTGTTTGTGATGTATGCGAAGTGATGTGATGTGATGTGGTATAGGTTTACTTTCTATGATCTAGGAGTGAAGCTGGGAGGGGAGAAAGGATGGCGCAGACGGGTTTATTATAGGAGCAGGGAGAGGGAGGGAGCAGGGAGGGAGGAGGGAGGCGGCGGCTATGCTCTGTGCACAAAAAGAGGGTGTACTAGACTCGGTATGTATTCATTCGTACTCCATGCAGGGAGTCTAGAGTTATTTGTGATTTGTGAGGATGAATAGTACCATAATATCCATAATATGTATGTTAGCACATGTATGCTCACATGTATGCTCACATGTAGCTACGGAGTCGATCACATTTACGACCGACCGGTAACTTACCAATGATCGACCCATATAAACAGATAGAGCCCAAGCGGGTCCCTGCCGCGACTATCACCTAGCATTACCCATTACCCACCATCCATCCACCATCACTCGCCCCCTCCCATAAAACCCACCATACACGAACCACACCATCACGAGTGCCCAGGCTCGTTAAATGTTAGCTATGCACCCTCTATGGATTCTCTATGGATGAAATCTCACCCCAACTCCACCCTCTCGATTGCTTTTGGAAGGGGCTGTGCTACACTACACGCCTCCTTCTCCTCATAATGCGAGCGCCAAGCAGTGAGTCAACCGGGCGATAGAAATCGTGGATGCGATACACAGTGTATACATACAGCAATACTGTAACGTTAGTCGTGGAGACATCGAGGAGTAGTGGTTTAGTAGCACCATACTAAACCGCAGTTAGTGAACTCTTTTCTTTGTTGCCTTGTCGCGTGACACAATTATGAACACACACATCCCATAAGTGTTGTGTGGGTTGTTGTATGGGTTGTGTATGGGAATCCAGGCCCTGCTACAGACCTTGCAAATATTGCCTCCAGTTCGTCATATGATGAAATGTGACGGTATGTCAATATCAGCCATCAGCCATTGTTACAGTACTCCGCACACCGGACTGTACAGTACGTGCGAACACCGATCACACCGATCATCGGGTTACTGCATCCTATCCCATCATCCCATCTCACCTCCTTTCCTCACCACCCCCATCGCCCGCTTCAATGTCTCAACCCCCTTCTTCATCTGGTCTTTCCTCCCTCCACCGTCCCCACCTCCCATTTCCGTGGGGGAAAGTCGAGTCGTCGGGGAGCTCAAAGCGGAACAGCCCGGGCGGGTCGATCAGCATTTGACTTTCCCACACTCCCACATCCACCCACACGCTGGCAGCCTGCCGTACGCTTGCAAGGTAGATCCCCTCGGCTCTCGCCTCCGCCGTGGCCCTCTCTACTGGGGAGCTATGGGTCCTATAACATTGTCAATTTCCGAACAGACTCTTGGGACGTTGAAAAAAACTAGGATTATTTTCTTCCACCTTGCCTGGTTTGGTTAAAAGGAGATGAGATGGGGATCATTGGGACCCGACGGTATGGTCTTTGCGATGGGGAGTTTCTTCCACGTGGGAAATGCGGATGCGATGATTGAGAAATGTGCGTGTGCTGGTGGTGAACTCGGTTATGCCGTAGTAGCAATGTCGAAAGGGGTCGCCCTGGTGTGGGATGGGCGCATGTAACGAAGTGGATTTGCAGCGACTTTCGCATGCATAACGAACGGCACCTCCACAGAAGTTGTACGGGGTTGTATGTACGAGTATCACATCTGGATAAGTTATTTTAGACTCTCTTGGCTATGGGGATAAATACGCGGCCTCTCCTGAGTATATATCCGAGGATAATTATGGCTGGGCGTTTGTGAGGTGCTGAAGTATCTGATCTGAGGATAATTATGGTTATGCGTTTGTGAGCTGGCGGAAGTGTCCGATGGCGGTGCCTCCAGCAGCTCTGCCCTGACATCCTGTCCTGTGCGCTGTACAGCACAGCGTTTGAGGTTGAAGAATAAAATGCTTCACCGCCAGGTTTGGTTAGGGTTCTCAGACACGCAGATGCTACTCTGGTAGATAAGAACTTGCGTGCAAATCCATAGATATTCTAAGCTTAATCGGGGCAATCAAAATAAAACTGAAACTATCACTGACGATGTTCACCACACTATGCTTACAAAGGAAAGCCCGGATAAGTTATCGAGTGAAGTAGGAAGGAGCACAATATGCCAACAAAACATATCCTTCATGCGTTACTGAGTAAGTAGGAAGGAGCACAGTATCACAAAGAAAACAAAGCCTCAATGAATTACTAATTCAATTCATAGAGGCTTTGTTTTGTTTGTGAGTAGGAAGGAGCACACACAGAGAGCTTTCATGAGTTACTAAGTGAAGTAGCCTTATTACTGAGTGAAGTAAGGAGCATGTGACTTCCACCCCACATCAAACAGAGCCCTCGGCTAAACGATATTCCGCAATCCGCAACTGCCCTGCGATAAACTCACCAATCTACAATCCACCCAAGCTTCACTCCGCGCCTTACCACTCACCAGCAACCCACCATTCTCCGCCATGAAAACGACAATACCACTTCAACCGTGAGCAACGCCCAAACCGGTCCCGTCCATCCACACCCACACATACACAGACACACCCACCCACCATGTCATCCCACGCAATCCACCACGCGCTCCTCCGCCCCTGCGTCCTCCACATCCTACGCGCCGCCGGCTACCACTCCACGAAACCCTCCGTCCTCGACGCCCTCACCGACATCGCCGGACGCTACATGCACCTCCTCGCGACATCGACGGCGAACCACGCCGCAGCCGACCCGACGGAGCTGGGGATCTCGATCGCGGATGTGCGGCTCGCGATGCAGGATTGCGCGGCGATTGTGCCAGAGAAGGTGTGGGAGGATCAGGTGTTTGATGGGGAGGAAGATGTGAGGGGCGTGGAGGTGTTTGTGGAGTGGGCGAGGGGGGAGGCGAATAGGGAGATTAGGAGGGTGGCGTTGGAGGGGGGGGAGGAGGGGGGGGGGGATTATTTGATGGGTAGGTCTACTTGCTATTGTGGCGCGCAGGTGATGGGGGATACTGACTGTCTACAGCACTGAAGAAGAAACACGATAAGGGTGATGAGGAGAGCAGGTATACGGGAACGATTATCGGGCACGAGGCGGAACCGAGGGCGATTCCGGTGGAGGGGGGGGATATCACGAGTTTGAAGGAGTGGGCGGATATACTGCATAGGAACGCGGCGAAACAGACTGTCAGCTCTGAGGATACGTCACGGAGGCAGTCGTCGGAACTCAGTTCGGTGGGGGATGGCGATCAGGATATGGAAGGGATGGTTTTTTCTTAGGGATCATTCGGGATGGAAACACACAACACCACACACACACAACTTGCATAGCGAAGGCGTCACGGCGAACCTGGATTTGAAGAGGCACAAACACCAACAGAGATTTCATCAGCACAAAAAACCTCTCCAATTTCCGACTCTGTGAGAGTGAATCCTACACCGCGCCCGTATCCTCATCCACCCCCCTCGCCTCCCCCCCACCATCAACATCCCTCCCCCACCTCCTCTCCTCCCCCCACCTCCCCCTCTCCCCCTCCTGCTCCCTCTTCTTCCTCTCCATCTCCCTCGTCAACGAATCTTCCTCCCCCCACCCCGCGCTCTTCTTCCCCAGCTGCGCGTCCATCACCGCCCCCTCCCCCGGATCCGCCATCTGCTCCCCCTCGAGCTCGGCCTGGGGTGGTCCGATGCCGCGCGTGGGTAGGATGGGGGCCCCGTTGCGGGGGTGGTCGTGCGGGTGTGAGCCATGGCCTGAGGCGGTGGTGGAGCCCATGGTGTTGGCGCTTGTGCCGGGTTGGTTGGCGTTGGTGGTGGGGGTTAGGGTGGTGGAGGTGCCGTGGATGGCGTTGAGGTAGGTGGTTTGTTGGGAGGTTGTCATGGTGGGATTGAAGGGTTGATTGTGGTGGTGGTGGTGGTGCGCGGGATTGGCGCTGGAGGAGTGTTTGAGAGGAGGCAATACCTAAGGAGTTGATATGGGATGGATTGGGAGGCATTGTGGTGGTTGGCTGGGGATTTGATACTGGGCGAGCTGTGACGTAGTTTTGAGGGTCAGAGGGGACAGGTTATTTTGACGTAGGTTTACTGGGTGAGACTGATAATAATATTAAATGGCCATGACTACAAACTCAATGCTTGATATTCTATATTTTATATCTTTCCTGTCCTAGGATCACGGGATAAATGTCTTACTCGTAATATATGTCGGTGGTGGCCGATGAGAAAGTTTCAATTGCGGCTACAAGCTCCCAATGCCAAGGGTATGACGGGAGGGGCCAAGCTACGACATACATCCACGACGACAAACACTCAGCCTCGTCCTCGTGCCTCGTCCCAACGACTTCAGAAACCAATATCTCTCGGTTTATTTACACAATCCTTTCCCCACACGCCATTTGAACAGTTCTACACCTCAGATCTCACACCCCACCACACGACCACAGCTTCCCAAGCTCCATCGTCAATCTCGAAACCCTCAACTACCCCGCCATGCGGCGATAACCCGACCAACCTACCTCATCACCACAACACCACAACACCCACCCCCCCCCTCCCCAAAAAAATGCCCTACCCCTTCACCCTCCCCACCACCTCCCCCCTCCGTCTCCCCTCCCACTTCGACTCCCCCACCCACCCCTCCCTCCCCCAGCACACATCCACCCTCCGCGCCCCCCTCCGCTCCTCTCTCAAACACCACAAGCGCCTTCCCCCCCCCCAACGCGCCTCTCACCTCCCCTCCCTCCTCAACACACTCGAAGCCTACTACCCCGCCCTCCTCGCCCTGGACGCCGGTCTCACCCCTTCACCAAGCCTCGACGTGGTGTTGACATCCACCCCCCGCTTCTCGTGGCGCCCGACACTCACGAGCAGTTTACCCGGAACGAAGAGGCTGGAGCTGAGCTCCCTAGAGTACGAAGTCTTCTTCACCCTCGCCACGCTCTCATACCTACACACCCTCCTCGCACGCACAGCCCTCCACCCCCTCTACACCACCACCGCCGCCTCCCCCACCCCCAAGGTCCGCACGACTCTAATAACGAAAGCAACGAAACACCTCCTCCAATCCGCACAAATCCACCTCTACCTCGCCCAGCGCGCCGATACTTTACGCACAACATCGCCCCTCACACCCCCCGCCTTGGACATCAGCCCCCCCACCCTCCGCGCCCTCTCCTCCCTCGCGCACGCGGAGGCGACGCTACTGGCCGTGTTGAAAGATGACCCCTACCCCGCGGCCCTAGCGCAGGAGCGGAACGAGAACGACAAAGAGTGGATGATCCGCGCGCCCTCCATCCCGAAGGTGCGCGCGCACTTGTTCGCGAGACTGTGTTTAGCAGGCGCCGCGCACGCGGAGACGGCTAGTAGTTTGCTAGCAGGGAACGAGGCGACGGAGGGGAAATTGCTGGGGAGGGTGGGGGCGGGGAAGGTGGATGAGGGGCTGGTGCGGTATGTGGATGACCTGCGCCGCGTGGGGAGGGCAAGGGCGTGTAGGTTCTTAGGAATCGACCGTGATCTCGACGGCAAGACGGGTGAAGCGATCGCCTGGCTCCGCGCGGGTATGGCGGAGCTAGGTCTCTCACCCCCCTCCTCCTCCTCCGATGACGCCAGCGGCGGGAAGAAACGCAGCGGTCTAGGACTCAGCCGTCTCAAATCCAGCATCTCCTCCAAACGCGAGGAAAAGCGCGTCGAAAAATCCGGTGACTGGGGCGCTGATGCGGGGAAGGCGGAGGAGGCTAGGGTGTTGGCTGCGCTGGAAACGAAGTGGGTTAGGGAGAATGACACCGTCAACTCCCAGCACATACCCGATCCGGGGGCGTTGACGGGGGAGATGCCGAGTGGGAGGGAGATTTATACGGTTAAGGCTTGGGAACCGGTTGTGTTGGGGGGGGAGGAGTTGAGGAGGTTGAGGGGACCGCCTGGGGGGGAGGGAGGGGGGGAGGGGGAGGGGGGGAGTAGTGATTCTGAGGAGGAGGGGGGAAGCGGGGGGAGGGAGGCGGATAGGGTTGTGGTTGGAGCGTTTCCGGGGAGTGGGGGGTATTATTAGAGGACGGGGGGGATGGGTGTAGGAATCATGTATGGGATGGGATGGGGGTTATGTGATGGATGGATAGAGAGATTAATATCACAATTCGATGTGTCAAAAAGAGTTGAAAGCGAATCAGAACTAGGTGAAGTAAAGTGAAGAGAAGTGTAGTTTCAACTCGTTTCTATAATTGGAACATCCAAAAAAAATTACATATGGAACAAATGGTTGTTAACAACGCCCTCCTCCCTTTCTGATACCTTACATGCACCTTTCCCTTCTTCCCCCTTTTCCCATTTTCTCCACATCATCCCGTATATATATCTTACAACAACCTTTCAGCAAAAAAGAGCGTCTATAACAAACGACTCCCCGAGTAGAGCAACCCGCCTGGTGACTCAAGCCAACCTGCGCCGTGCCCTCCTCGCTTGCAAGGTGACCCCATCATACAATAAACACACATATTGTACAAACCCCCCCTACTAGCACACACTCAGCACTTAAAAGCTGCTTCCCCTCTCACCCCTATCTCCTCTGTCACCCCCCCTCGGCGCACGATCCCCGCGTCCACCACCACCACTCTGCCTCGTAGTCATAGAGTAATCCAACCTCAACGCCCTATTATAAACCTCCTTCCCCTCCAACGCCTCCGCCGCCTTAACCGCAGACTCCACATCCGTGAAATCCGCATGCGCGAATCCTCTCGGCTGTCCGGTACGGCGATCAATAGCAACACGGACATCGATGACGTTGGCGATGTCGCGGAACAGCTTGTTCAGGTCGGCATCGGTCATCTCGAAGGCGAGGTTGCCGATGAAGAGGGTCTTGGAGGGGGGGTTCTTGGGCTTGACGGTCGAGCGCGTCTTGGCCATGTAGTTGACGATGAGGCGGCGGCCTTCGAAGATGGTTTGGTTGCGTTGGTCGATGGCGTTGCGGGCGGATTCGATGTCTTTGAATTCGATGTATCCGAATCTGCTGTGCGTTAGCTTTGTGCTCCTCAATTTCTTATACTCCAGGAGGAAGGGAGGTAAACGTACCCCTTGCTAAGACCTCTGGGATCCTGCGCAATCCGACTCGACACAATCTCGCCATACGCGGCAAACTCCCTCTCCAAATCCTGCGGCGTAACCTCAAACAGCAGATTACCCACATACACCGAGTTCGTCGGCTGCAGATCCATCGGCGGCCTCGAGTTCGGTCTTGTCCCATCCACACTATCCATTCCAAAGCCACTCGCCCCAGTCTCAGCCGCCGCCGCAACAGCGGAGCTCACGGAAGACTGCTCAGAGGCATCGGTGGAGATGGGCTCGTCAGACGACGCGGTGGTGCTGCTGTTGTAGCGCTTGAACGCCGAGATGACGGATGCGGATTGGCGGATCGAGAGGGGGGTGGAGGTGCGCGGGGCGGCGCGGAGGAGGGTGCTCGCTGGGGCGGCGAGGGCGCGGGCTGCGGCTCTCTTGATGAAATGCCTGTTGAAATTGTTAGTATTCGTCCGATACGGCGGCGGATTGGATGATTTCCGCGGGAGAAGGGGGAAGAATTGCAACGGCGCTCTTCCGCGTCAAGGGGAGACTTACATGATGATGGAGATTGGTTTGTGGATTCGAGGGAAGATGGATGTGGTGGAATGAAGGATAGATGGAATGTTTCGAAAATTATGGTCTCTTGCTCGGGGGATAACTTTTCGTTCGGACGGGCCTTGCGCTAGGCTGTGTTGAGAAATTGCTTGAGCTAGCGGATTATATCACGCTCCGAGACGGGAGGAAAAGGGAGAGGTCACGTGCCCATAATAACCTTGTATGCTGAATCAAGACTCTCCCACTACCTAACAAAGCTGTCACTGGGCGAGTTATATCAAGAATAGGAGTTCGGTTTTCAGTTGAAACGTATTTGGCTAGTAACATAGCTTGATTATTCAGTAGATTGGTTTAGATACTTCATTCAAAGTATCTCTATCTTCTACACTCCGCCTCTCCACCCCGTCTCTCCCCAGGTCATCGCACATATCCCATTACTTTAGTCCCGACCCATCCAAGGGTCATCTGGGGTAACGACACTGTCCCAAGACCCCATGCGGTCCCTCAAGCTGGTATTCCCAAGCCATCATCAGCCATGCCATGCCATCCAAAGCCAACCCCCCTCCCCCTTCTCTCCCACCATCTCAAAAAAAATCGCAGCTGTCAACAAAACAGATGCGAGGGTATAACAATTACATGTCTCTCCCACCCCACCCCACCCCGTTCCCCCCTTCCCACCACCCCCACGGATCCAAACCAAAAAAAAAAGGAGGCAAAACCTAATACACCGATGTGATAACAATGAGCTACTTTTGCGAGCGCATGTGCCGATAAAAAAAAATCCCCGCCCAAAAATACAATAGATTAGAACAAGAGGTAAAGGAGGCAAGTCCTATAGCGACAGAAAGATACCCGGCGGCGGGCATAAGAGATGGGCAGTACATATGCTGATAGATTGAAGTCGTCGAGATGGGCGCCACATTCGCTGCGGTAGCCGTAGTCGTTCGCTATGATGGCGGGGTATAGTCCGTCCGTAGACAAGACCGTCATCCGCGTTTTTCATCCGCGCCGATATTAGAACAGATAAATAGCTAAAATATGCAGTCATGATATGCGTGGATGGAATCAGACCCGTGGCTGGTAGGGAGGTGCGTATCCGTTGGTAGCAGGCCTCTCCTGGTGGTATTGCACCCCCGTCATGGAGTCCCCGGGCTGCTGCTGCTGCTGCTGCTGCGGGAAGGGCGCGGGTATAGGTGTGTTTAGGCTCCGCAGAGGGGGAAGGCCGACTTCAGGCCGGGCTTCTTGGCGGGGGTGTCCGCGGTAGGGGTCGTTGCTGTAGTTGTCGACCGGTGGTGGCGCTTGGCTGACTGGGACGGCGTGCGGTTGCGCCATGTCGCCTCTCATTAATGAGAATTCGTGGCGCATTGTGCGGACTTCAGCGCGGAGCTCGGCGACCTCGTCTCTGCTCCTCTGCAGCTCCGACTCTTTCCGCGCGTTGTCCGACTGCATTTGACGGTAATGTTGCTCTAGGTTTTGGCACCTGTCTTCCTGTGCCTTGTGCTGTGCGATAGCTAGATTGTATGTTAGTGATTATTTCGCATCAAATGAAGGGAAGTAAACTTACATTTGCTCAAGATCTCCCACTTGCTTGTCTTGTTACCGCGTTCCGACGGTAGCATTTCCCGTAACTCATCGTACAGCTCCTTCATTTCGTTCCTACGCTTCCGTTCCGCCAACTTGTGGCTCTTGCGAAGCTCAGGCGTACGACTATAAGGTTGTGTGCTGCCCGGCGAGCCGCCCTCCTCATCGCGGATATCGCCGACCTGGCGATGTTGCAGGGAGTGGTGGTGGTGTGCGGCACCGTGGAACTCAGACGAGCCGCGGTTCATCTGCGGGAACTCGGTTTGGGGATAGCCATCCTCCAGACGCCGTTGGCCGTGCGGTAGGCGGGATTCGGTGGTGTACTGGCTGCTAGCCATAGACTCTGCAATGCTGCTGCGGCGGGACTCGAGGTACGACGTCGCATGGCTCTCGATTTCCGAAGGGTTCATGGAGATGCGACGATCAGTGTCGTCAGGGAAAGCCCATGGCTGTCCCTTTGTGGGCTCAGCCGCATTGGCAACTGCACTGGCGGCGGGGCCCGTAATAGTAGGCGCGGTTCGTACATTATACCGTTGAGAGTTGGGTTGGTATGCGTTTGGGAACCTCGGCGCCGAGAGTCTGTCCGAGTTGGACACGCTCAGCCCCGGATTCCGCTGCTGCTGCAGGCTGCTCTGTATGGAGGTGGTGGATTGGTTGTTGCTCGCGTAGGGGGAATTGCCCTGGAGTCTCATGCCCTCGAAGCCGCTGTTTATGCGCCCGTCTACGCTCTCGCGCCTCGAGTCGGCCACCGACGTTGTCGACACTCTCTGGCCAGGCGCATTGTAGGCCGGGTTGAGCTTGGCGAGCATGCTTTCGTCCATGCTGGAAGGTGTCGTCGGGGAAGTCACCATTGACGTGATGGACATGCCTCCAGACACGGGGGAGGCCAGAGGTTGGGGGGCATGCCCGGTTGTCGCAATAGGCGACGGTGTCATATCGGCGGTGGAAGATTGGTAGCCGTTCGACGGCGACGGGGTAATGGAGCCAGTGTTCTGGGGCGCAGCTATTGAATTATCTGTGTAGAATTGATTAGCATGCGTCGAGTGAAGAAGAAGTCGGCCCGCAGAGTGAGCGGCCTGGGGGGCCCGGGGGGTGAATCCTCACGTTTGCTGCCGTCGCCATTCGTACTGGCGCCCGAGTAATAAGCCGAGTCTCGCTGTTCCTTGGTGGGGTTGAGGACGTCTACAATTGTAGCAACCGGCGTCGGTTGCAGAACAGTTGGTGTTATATCGTTCATGGTGTCAGAGAGAGAGAGAGAAGAAATGCAAGCACGAGATGCGACGACGATTTCGTCGGGGATTGCTGCAGAGGGGGATCACAGCAATTTGACGGTTGGGGGTGGTGGTAAGCCAAGCTAAGGCGCGGCGCGGCGGCGCAAAAACGTGGAACCCAGGGCTGGTCTGGTAGCGATGTCAATTGATTTGTAGTGACTGGAGGTGGTGTGCCGCAGAATGTAGGATCGGGAACAGTTTGTTCTAAGTTTTTTGGGTATAGATTGTTTCTTTTTTGTTTGATGAAAGGACAGTTTCTTTTGGAAAACTTTCAAGTAGAAGAAAGGGAAGGGTTCGAAAGAAGAGAAGGAAGGGTAGTAAGTAAGTATAAAGTAGTGGAGTGCGTGAACCACGAGATTGTTTAAAGTGAAGGTAGGAGGAGGAGGAGGGTAGGTAGGAGACTACTACGGAGAGAGAGAGACAAGCAGGAAGGTAGTGAGAGTGACAGAGTTTAGGGTGGGCTAGGTGGGTTAGATGGGTTGGATGGGTGGTAGTTTTTGTAGTGGATGTTGTAGTGGTACATAGTTCGGTATAGAGCGAGTTGCGACTAGACAGGGAGTGTAGTTGTACTGTACCTAGTCGTGGTAGTAGTGGTACCTTTTTTACTAGGAGTAACTAGGAGTGAGTGTATCTTCTTCTCGGAGTACGGTTGAGTTTAGAGAGAAGAGAAAGAACGCCCAGGTGCCCAGGTGACCGGGGGGTGGAGGATATAGGGCGGGGCGGGGCGGGGGGCAGGGGGACAGGGTGTGGGTGGAAGAGAGGATGGGGGTGTGGGAGGGATGGGAGGGAGGGATGAATGGGTAGTGGTATGGATATGGGTGGTGGTTGGATGGGTGGTGGGAGAGGGACAGGGTGTGTATGTGTAGATGGTTAGGGGTGGGAAGGAGGTGTGTCCGGAGTAGGAAGGGACAGGGGTAGGAGATCGGGATGGCGTTCGAGAAAATGGAGGCGGAAGGGAGGGTGGTGGAGGGAAGGGAGGGTGGTAGTGTGGTAATGACGAGTGAAGGGGATGGGATCACCTCCATCGGGGAGACACGAGCAACGCACGGCGTAAGAGTGGAATCCAAGTACGGCCAAGTCCTACCTACTCGAGAATCCTCCGTGCATCGCCACTGTTGATTAGGTCGAGTGTACCTAACATGCCCTTTCAATACCACAATACCACATTCTTTTACCAGTGCGCGAACCCGTGTGGAGGATGGATGTGGAGGATGTTTCGGCGCCGTAGTCGCGCGGTGGGCAGGGTTCGAAGTGGTCTACTACCACTACTACTGCTAAGCTAACTACTACTATACTACACATACTACCATACTACTACACTTATTAGCCAAGTGGGGCATAGGCCCGCGTGAATTGGGCGAGGGCCGGATGGTCAATTGCCCTGATCCAGGTGATCCTTGACCAGCTAGACCGGAGTAGTGAGCCTACCTACTCTACATCCTACCTTGACCTAACTAAGCGTAATACCAAGAAACGTAAACTAGTCCAGTAGTAGTAAGAGTGGAGTGGCGGTTGCGTGCCAAACTTGTGTCCTACCTTCACCTCTGCCCCTGTCTACGTCGTCTGATTGGCTCATAGCTGCTCGGGTAGCGGAGGAAGGGGTCTCAGATGCTTATCGATTATAGGCTGAACTAGAGCTAGAGGCTAGGACGGAGATCCCAGGAAGGGTATGTGACCCGGTATTCTCGACGGTACAGACTGTACGGAGCATATCCCGTGTGTAAGACTAGGACAGCCACGTTGTTGATGACAAGACGAGTGCCTCCAGTGGAGTAGGTGGTGGTGGGATGTGGATGTGAGGTGTGGATGTGAGTGAGGTGTGGATGTCGTGAGGTGGATGTCGGTCGGAGCATGGTTGGAATAAGGTAGACTACTAAACAATATGTACGTAGAGTACTCTCCGTGGCCTGTGGAAGACACGCGAAGAAAAGGCGATGATGATCCCCGAACCACCCACGCCGTCCTTGGCTCTTGGTAGTATCGGCGAACTGAACTGAACTGAACTGAACTCTGCTGTAACTGTAAGCTGTGGTGATGGTGGCTTGCCTATGCATGCGCGCCCATGTTGGTCCGATCTTGTCTCACTCTCCCACCACCTCCTCTCCGTTGCCGCCGCTCTCAATGACTGCAAAGTGTCACGAGGGTGGTGAGCAGTGAGGACGATCGAACGAGGTGTCGAGTGTCAACCTCCCTTTCCTACCCGCCCGGTCATCTCACCTCTCTCCCCCGACCGACCGACCGACCGACCACCACACACACACGGCTACCTGCATCATCTGCCCGTGCAACATTAGCAGGCGCAGGTTACACCTTTCATGTGTATCCGTGCGTATGCAAAACCGAAGTGCACCGTACGTACGTACTGTACTGTCCAAAGCTCAGGCAGGCGCGCGACATCCATCGCCAATACCTGCGGTGGTTGGGGCGTCTTCCGTGCGACCTGGCCTGCTAAGCAAGGGATCTCTGACTTTCATCGAACGCCCATTCAAGCCAAGGGGTTGGTTGGCTGACTGGCTGGCTGGTTGTGCAAGGGACAGGCAGCCAGGCAGACAGACGCCGAGGGAGGAACGCAGGTAACGTCTATTTTCCTCCTTGTGGCCATGAAACGTCCCTCGGTCAATTCGTTATTATCATGAGATAGCTGCTGCGTGCTGTATTATAGCCCTCCCTTCTCTCGGTTTCTTTCCCATTATAGGACGTGTGTGTCTGTGTGTTTGTGTGTGTTTGTGAGATCGCCGCAAGCATCCTGGTACTTGAGCTTATCTCGGAACTAACATCCCCCGCCAACTTCGCGATTGGCGGGCGCGCGAATTCAGGAACGGGTGCTTTTTCTCACGTGGCAGGTGGTGGGTGACGACGTTGTGTCTGGATAATGGATATACACAAGCTACGAACCACCACCAACACCGCTACTAAAAAACCGACTCAATAAACAATTTGTTTGTGAAGTTGTGAGTAACACAAAACTATCAACTCCTCAACTTTTAGATTCCGCATAATTGTTTGGTCAAACACCCTGCCGCGCGCTCTGACATTGTCTTTGCCCACTGAGCCTCGGGACGCCCTCCCTCTGTCACTTCTTCTCTACCTTCCCATCCATCCCCTCCCCTCACTCCTCCCTGTACCACATGTGATACCGTGAAGCCAGGTAATTATTCCCAGGAGGTCGTGCGACACTTTCCTCCGATCCTGCTCGATCTCGCTCTTCCCTATAATTACATACCGAGGCCAGTCAAAGGTTCCGTGCGTCGGTCGGTCGGTGATGCGGGAATGGGAAATATGATGCCCGGCCATCTTCACTCCCTGGATTCCGCTCGATCTCTTCATGACTGCTGCAACGGGAATATCCGTTCAAGACAGCTAGGTGTGTGCGACAAACTGGGTAATAAAAATCCATACCTCCTCCTTTCCCGTTGTACCCGCTCCGTCCTCCCTCCCACCGGCCTACGTTAGATATACAGAATAGACCGACCATTTCACTATCTAATCAGTCCTCCCACTCCTCCCTCTCCTCGTCATTTCTCTCTATTCCCCAGCCCATCCGCATCAACGGTACCGCACCCACCACACCCCTAGAACAACTACCATCCACTAGACCCCCCCATCCATCCCACCGCGTCGGTCCAGCCCACTCCCCGGCCACGAGTCCTGTGCCGTCCCCCCCGTCCTCCAGCCGAGCACACGGCACGGCACCCCCCCCTCGCGTGCTGTAACAGTTCTCCATCACCTACATGAAAGCCCTCTCGGCGAAAGAAAAGTGGGGAGTGCGGTATGAAGTTTCCCGGATCCCCCCCTTGCCCATCCACTTTACTTTCCCTAGATGGCAGATCCCCGAGTGCGTGGACACACACATAGGCACCGGCGTGGTGGATTTTTATGGGAATTCTTGTGGGGCCGTGGGGGGGGGGGGGGGGGGGGGGCCGGGGGGGGTGGGGGGGGGGGGGGGGGGGGGGGGGATGGGGATGTAGAGGTACAGGTTACTTTGCCCAAGGGGGATATGGGCGCGAGCGAGAGGTACTTACTTACTGCTGTAAGCGTTTTGGCTTCATGGAGGATGATGGGGATGGGATGCAAGGGGGATTACATGTGCACGCTTACTTCCCGATTAGTGGTATCAAACGAACAAAGGGAGACGGACGGGGGGAGGGAGAGGTGATAATGGTATTGTATGAAGGCCCATCTGTACCCCAGACACATGGCCCTGTGCCGTCCCTGTCCTCTCCTCCCTCCTGCACCCCAACCAACCCTCACCATCCCAATCCCCCATCAACCACCACCTCCTCCCAAAGCAGCAATCCCTCCCTCCCTCCCTTCCTCCCTCCCACTCCTCTTCCTCCTATAGCGTGCTTCCCTATGTATCCTCTAGCCTCTAGCCTCCCTCCCGCGGGATCTCGGAGAACCACCACCACCACCCACCACCTCGCGGCTCCCGCCCACGTTCAGCCAACAAAGCCACCTCGCGCGCTACGGCGTAAGTTTTAGTGGGTTGGGGGAGAGGAGACGGGGAGACGACACCACATACAGTACAGTACAGTACAGTACGTACTGTAACCTCACGCATGGCTAACAGTACCAAACAAAAAACCTTGACTCTCTCTCTCTCTGATCGACCCCCTTTATTCCCCTATTGGAACCGAGTCAGGGTTTTGGTACTTAAGCCATGTTAAGCCCATCTTGCGCCATGCGGGACCGGGGGGGGGAGGGGGGAGATCCGGAGGATTCCAAATACTTTTTCTGTCCCTTGCTTGCTTGCTTGGTGGAGGGTGGACAGGGATGGGGGGGGGTGATCATCATTCAAGTGGGAGAGGTGATCGTGGAGTGTGAAGCTGTGATGGGAGTGTGAATTGCTGTGGATTGGTGACACGGGGGCAGTAGTGGGAGGAGTGGGATTAGGTGATGTGGGGTTGAGGTGATGGGGGTGCGCTATAGGGTGATGGGGAGGTGATGATGCGGGAGTTCAGCAGCACCAACACCAGCAGCGTGGAATTGAGGGTGTAGATAAAAACCCCCTGTGAAGTAACAGTTTTTGGCCTCAGAACTCGTGGTTGAGTACCTGCTTCCCCTTCACACAGTCCGTGGTGCACTGCGCACTGTCCCAATATCCCCCACGCCGACTGACTTCTCATACATGACAGGTCGCAAGCGAAGTGAACGTGCTTGCTCGCTGGTCAACTATCATGGACATGGCTGGATGTATGGATTGGCCCTAAACAGAACAGGGTTATTACTCCATCGAGGTCCGAGGGCGCGAACTATTTGCTCTGCTTGCTGCACGCCCATCGGAGCGGAAGATCATTTAGTCTGCACTAGCACGGTACATACTTCCATTCCAGTAATGGGATTCCCGCGCGTGGGGTGCCCTAAGTCACGTATACATGGCAACTCTCTTTTTTCCCTTTTCCTTGACTAGGGTGGGTAGGGGGATTCCAAAAGGTTAGTTAGTACTGTGGTGGAAGGGGAGAGGACAGCAGCGGAAACCTGGATGCGCTGCGCTACGCTGTCGCTGTGCTTCGCAAGGCTGGGCGGAATGGGGAGGTGGGCGGGTTGATCTCCGAGAGTGGGGGGGCCGGGCAACGAGGCGTGGACGTGGGAAGGGCGTGTCATATTGAACTAGGAGGTAAGTAACGGTACGGAAGGTACTAGGGATGCTACCGTAGGATTGGTGTTAGTAGGGATAGTCGTCTTAGTAGAGTTAGTAGTGGTTAGTAGCATTAGTACCGTTAGGTTAGTAGGGTTAATATGGTTAGTAGTGGCGTTAGACTATGTGCGTTTATTGATGTACTCCGTGCTATTGTTTTGTATGTGGAAGGTACATCCGCGGGATTCATCGACGAGAAGCAAAGCCCGTGAAGGGGAACCACTCACAGGCACAGGGACAGGGAACATACTAGACCCGCTCCGCTGACTGGGCGAACTAATGGGTCCGTGCAGGGACGGCGTGGTAGGCGTGGCTGTAAAAGTTCCCGGGCGGAGGGGTATGGGTATGTGTATGGGTACGGTATATTGGATGCCGTACCCAGTATATGGAGAAAAACTACGTGTACTGTACTCAGCCAAGGTCTGGGACTGGAAAAGGTGTAAGTAAGGTTAGACGGACCCGCGTCTCTTCCCATGATCCAGAATCCCGTCTCCACACCGAGCGAAGAGTCGGGGTCGAGAGTCAAACGAGCATGGGAATGGGGCCGATCTCAGCTGGACAAAGCGTCGTCCGTTCGGAAGACGTTGGGATGTTTTGTCGATCCCCTTGGGCCAAATCGGGGGACTATGCCTAGGAGGGGAACGCACCAAAGGGGATCATGACGGTATCTCCCTTGCTTCATTGAGAGACAGAGATCGCGCGCCCATGCCCATGGTGTGCTTCTCCCAGATCCAGCACGAAGCGCAGAGGATCACGCCCATCATGGCTCGCGGGCCCCACAAGGTAACGGAGGAGGCTTGTCGGGACGAACCCATTTGGCTCGCTGGAGCGGGCTCTATTGGCGAAATATGGGGAAATTCTGTCTGTTGTACTTCACTCACCCTGTGCCGGCCACAGACAGACCCGGTACAGTGCAGGCGGTACAGAGACCGACCATCAAGGTGTCTGTTTTACCTCTCCTGTCAACCACCGCATCTTTCCCTTGCCTGACCGTGGTGGCTCCGCATCGACAGTACCAAGCAATTCACCTGAACCCAATAGATCCGGGAGTCTCTCGATGCGGCACGAAGCCGATGAGATGGGCCCCTCCTCCCCCGTACATGCACCTCAGCGTGGTCCGAGAGCACGAAACGGGACGAGGAAGGCTCGACTGGGAAAGAGATCGAGGGTCGTGGAAGCTGGATTGGGGGTGAGGTGACACGGTTGTCTCTCTCTATTTGACATCACGGCCCTCGGAGCACCAATGAGGTAGCCGGGGAGCAGTGTGACATGCGAAATGCAATGCGGTGCGGAATCTTGACCGGTGAGGAATCACACCTCAGGTAAGGTAGAGATCGGGATCGTTTGTGCGCATGCTTATGCTTGGTTGCTGCTTCCTTGGTTGCTTGCTTAGTCACCAGCTTGCTCTTCACCGATGCTTGGGCACACTCTCCTCTCCTCGTGTCGGTGGGGGGCTTGGGTGGTCGTGGCGATAATAGGCAGAAGAAATTATTGACTGTGCTGTATTATGAAAATGATAGATTGCGTGACGAAGCAAACGGCTGTGGCGAAGCTCGTGGCCCTCTATCTACTCGGGCGTTGTCAGGCTCCCAAGCCGCCCATCCCATCCCACAGCATTTTGACCTCAGGCTGGCTTTCAAGCCCATCCCATCCCACCACAGCATTTGTTGACCACCAGTGAGCCTCTTCAGCGGTATCGGGCTCCCCTCTTGGCTGAGGGGGGACCAACGTGGCTATCTTCAGGGTAAGGAATATGGTGCGGAAGAGCATAAGCAAATCGAATGGTGAGGCGGACTGGCACAACCGTGCATAAGCCAACCACAACGAATCTCGAAATCGTCGGTGACGTCTGATTTGCTGCCCGACTTTCGAGTCCTGTAGCAGGCTAGCCAGTGATGTCCACCATCAAACCCTCCCCCCCGCACCCTCAAATTCTCCCTCGACGACCACCAACACCACAGTGGACAGTGTGGACAGTGGATGGACGGGGAATAGTCAGGCTGGGGCCGGGGTGCCACGACGATGCGAAACTTCGCTTTTGTTGCCTGGAGATATGGGTGATAGAGGTCACTCAGCGTGCCGTGTGAGAGGAGACCAGGCTGGGTCTTCTCGCCCAACCGGTGTGGTGGTTGATGCTCCCTGTTGGGTCGAGGATCGCTGACATCCAACCCACTGATCCCACGGGCCCTGCAACTCTCTGAATGTGATCCTACCACCATGCATTAAGGCCCTTGGGAGCCACACACCGAAACCTCGAGATTCAATCAGAGAGCCGCCCTGTCTTGTTGATACCCATACCAACCATACATACCCACGAGCTTACACAGCCTCACACGCTTTATCCTCCTCAGCGCCTTACATTACTTCGCTCCCCTCTGACCGCCGTCCCTTTTCGAAATTTATTCTCTTGCGAACCACCTTGAAAGGCAATCACAGACGCCTCAAACACGATAGCCGGTTAGTGAGTTCAGATGAATATATTTTGTTGATTAAGATCTTCACTAACACGTTTGTGAGGCTGCAGAATTCCTCCTCTATTATCTTCAGGCCCACATAGTTTGTTCTTCGCAAACCGTCATGATGTCGACAAGCTTCACTGGCAATCCCATACCCGGGCAACAGCAACAAGAGAGACAACAACAGGATCAGGAACAATGGAGACGGGAGCTATTGGAATTACAGGCTCGAATCAGTGCTCAACTGGCCGCATGCCCACCGCTTCCGGCCGCGTCGTCCCAGCCCACCATGTCCACCGACCGCCCGCCGATACACCGCCGACAACGCTCTCAGAATGAGATCTCGAGGTCTCTATCCATGGCTGGAAACACAAGCCGCGCTGCCTTCCCGGTAGGATGATGCTCCCGGTTCACGATTGACCCTGTCTTGGTTCTAATAGCAACTAGGGACGAAACCATGTGGGATCTATGGGGATGTCGAGGAGCGTGTCACAACATTCTGGAGGCCCTGTGGCCATGTCCCGGACCAAGTCTATGGGAGCACCGCCGTCTTCGATGTCGAGGTCCTTCTCTAGCAGCGGACGCACTGCCCCCGGCCAGCAGATGACGGGAGGCCATCCGAGCTCAGCCGACATCGACGCATGGCAATCTCATCAAGATGGCCCATACACCTATCAGCAATACCATCAAGCACAGCCGGAGCTAGCACAGGTCCCGGAACTGGACGTCGGCGAGGATCCCAGCAACTACTTCTCGCGGAGAAGGACGCCCTACCTCTCGGTGACGACAACGGACTTTCCCCCGAACAACTTCATGATCAACAACCCTGCCCAGGCCAGATTATCACCATCAAGGCGCAGTACATTCAGTAACCCAGCCCCGAATACTCCGAGCAGCACGACGCTAACAACGGATAACACATTTGTAAGTGATATGAGCCGCCAGAGCAGCACATGCAATGAAGCTCTTCAGAGCTTCCAGATGATGAATGTTCACTCGAATACTTCTATGTTTTCTGATATCAGCTCCACCGACGATGCATTCTACAGCGGCTCGACGCAATACTACCCGCCATCCGACTTAAAGCAGGTATCCTCGAGCGAAGAGCAGAACCTTTTGCTGGCTGGTGCTGGCGGGGCTGGCTACAGCCAGCAAGCACCTTACCCATTGTTCGCTCCTCAGAAGATGATGTCTTCAACTTCGAGTCGTCACGTGGAACGTATGCAGCGGACAGAATCGACCGACAGCAATATATCATCCTCATCGGCCTCCAGGTCTCGACAACAGCTACAGAGACAAAACCAGCTCGCAACCAACCGCAAGTTAGCACCAAAGGGCGGCAGCGATGACGATGAATCCCAAACAGTCTCACCGCTCGTCCGCATCAAGTCGAAAGACGGCCAAGAGGATAAGTTCGTTGCCCAAATCTCCAAAACCCCCTACCAGCGCCCCAAGCACGAACGCCTCCACTGCGACCTCTGCGACGACCGCGAAGGCTTCCGCGGCGCCCACGAGCTCGGCCGCCACAAGGACCGCCAGCACAAGGACATGGTCAAGAAATGGGTGTGCATCGAGCCTCTCGACGGCGTCAAGGACGAGTTCCGCCCCATCAACTCCCTCGCCAAGTGCAAGGCGTGCACCCAGCAGAACAAGAAGTACGGCGCCTACTACAACGCCGCCGCCCACCTCCGACGCGCCCACTTCGTGCCCAAGCCCCGCGGCAGGAATAAGTCGGGGAAGGCGGACGATAAGTCCGAGAAGCGCGGGGGCAAGGGAGGGGGGGACTGGCCCCCGATGAAGGAGCTGAAGCGCTGGATGAAGGATGTGTATGAGTCCTCTGATGTGGTGCAGCAAGATGACGACGAGGAGTCCGGCGACGAAGACGTCCTCCTCGCTGATCTCGAGGATCCGACTATGGCGACGCCGGCGAGTCAGATGGCTTTCGATCAGAGCTTCCTCTACCCCGTCGACGCCCCGATGTTCGACTACTCCTCCTCTGGCGGCTCGAGCTTCGTCACCCCCAACGAGGGCATTGACATGAACGACATGGGCGGCGTGATGAACGCCTCCTTCGCGCAGGGGTTCTCGCACCACGGCGAGTTCAACCAGTCGATGTTGATGCCCAGCAGCCAGCAGTCGAGCGAATTCGACGCCTCGATGGTGATGACTGCTGATGACCTGTCATCCTTCATCGACGCGCATCAACCCCACCATCCTTCTTTTGCTACACAGAACACCCTCCTCTCCCACCAGACTTTCATCGACCCAGAGCTCGCCTCTGACTTCCTCTCGTATGACGCGACTATGTAAGGTTTTTGTTGTGCAGGGGGTGCTTGGCTCAATCGTAGGATTGGGCGCAACGATGTGTCTGGTGTTTCTGCACCCATCTTCTGTTCTATCTTGTCCTACTTCTTGTTTTCTCTTTGTTTACCTTTACCCATTCGTGATGAAGTGATGCAGCGTGGTGAGCAGCTATTCATACCTCCCCCTTCCCCTTCCTCCAACATTCGTGTGTGTGATGAAGTTGGAAAGAATCAGGAAGGAAAATTACACATCTACACATCATCATCACTTGGAAGTCAAAACTCCTACGCATACCCCTCCTCCTTCATCACAAACTACACCTTTTTTTTTTCATCTTTCCTCTTCGAAACATGTCTATTGTTCGGGCCTCTTCTACATCATATTAATCGCAAAAAACCCTTCCTATTTTTCTATTTCTATTTTCTATTTATTTCCACTACTCTACTCTTATTTCTGGGTGTGGGGTTGGCGGGGCTGGGCTTGCAACGCACGAGAGTTGCATGTACATATGGTATCCGCAAGGTCGAGTCTGGGGAAAGCGGCGGCGGGCGCGATATTCTACAGTGGGCGGAAAACGACCCTTGATGATGGATCGATGTGGGTGTTTTTTTTTGGGAATGGCAATTTGGGATGGGCAATGTTCGGCTGGAGTGCGGGGGAGGGACGACGGCAAGGGGGGACGGCAAAGTTGAGTGGAGATCGAAGTGCTCGAATCTACGGTACGATATTCAAAGGAAATAATATTTTCTTCTCACGAAAGAAACGGACGGCTTTTTATGACGAACAACGTATTTTATTTTATTCATTTGGCAAAGCGAAGCGTGTGAAGGGCTGGTGGTAATTCTTGAAGGGGGGGATGTATAAATCGGTGGTTTTTCAATATCATAGCCATATTCATAATCATATTTCTGGTGTCACCTGTTTTCAAAAATAAATAATTATTTGATTCTATCTGTTTTTTGTCCGTCGAAATAAGATATGTGAATATTCCAGAAAAAAACAAAAATTATAATAGTGATCTTTCATCCCCATCTAAACCAAAATCACCGATTAACCCACACACTCCCTCCACGTAACACACGTGGCTATTCCAAGTATCCTAAGTAGAGTACACAACTCACGCCTTCCCCATCAAGCACAACGGTGCCCAGGCGGATTCAACGGCGTATTCTCACCACAGTAATCGACTGACAAACGGAACGGCCAACGGAGCCTTGAAATCATATCCCAGTGCCAGCTAGCCCTCTTTGCTTTTTCAAGAAAAACAAGCGGGGACGGCCTGCCTGTGCGGGACGGGGGTGTGATGTACGTACACCAGCTTACGGGGTGGCGAAATAGAATGAGATGAGCTGAGACGACGGGATGAGATGAGAGTCGGTGAACCAACCTAGTGCACCGTATGGTATATGTGGGGTGGACGGGCGGGACGCTGGATGGTGGGGAGCACGGTTGGCAATGCGTGGGGGACACGGCTGCGTGGGATGCGGGATGGGATGTGTGCTTACTACCCACCCCACTCCTCCTTACATACTCACCTCATCCAGTCAATTAGTTAGTTAGTTAACTGCGGTGTGTGTGGATTTCGGTGCTGTGGTGAGTGAGTGAGTGAGAGGTATGGTCGGGGGACTGGATTTGGCTCCCCGTCTCGTTTGTTGTAAGTCGAACACGTACTGTGCCCACCGTAAGCTTGGTGGAACGTGATCGGATCGCCTCTCTGCAGTGTGATCAATGGATGGTGTGGTTGGCCATGAGCGTGGGCTGCGCTCACCAATGCTGGTGCTGGTGCGAGGTGGTGTGTATGCCAGACAGTGAGACGTCGTTGCGAGGTCGGCGTGGGATGGCGATGCTGTGTTTAGTAGTAGGATATCAGTGAGGAGAGTGCACATCGAACAAAGGGGGGGTAAGGCAATTGTGTTACCCAAGCAGAGAATAACGATGGAGAAGGAGTATATGGGGTATTCACACCACAAAACCACCCTTAAAACCAGAAAAGTGATAAAAATGGTCCTTTGTCTACTATTATAAATATATACAGATCCCCCCCTCCCCCCTTCCCCCTTCCCCCCGCGCCGCCGCCGCCGTTCCATCCATCCAAAAAGCGCGGCGTGCGCGCGGTGCAGAACTAGCCATCAACCTGCATCGCGTGCCTCTCCCCCTCCCCACGTAAAATCGTAGTAAGAGGCTTAAAGGTCGTGGCCAACTGACTTGACTGACTGACTGGTTGGCCCTGCCTCCGTGATGCAACGCTGCCCATCGTGCAACCCAATATCGCGCCGAGCCTCACCCCCATCTTCCCCCCGGGGGTGTTTAAGCCTCCTATCTACCCCCCCATAAGACCCAGCTCGTCCCGACGGAGACAGTCTACAACGACCAACTCATGGATATGAAGACCGACGGTCTACCCCATCTCAACGCCCTCGACGCAGACCATGCAGACGCTCAATCCAACCCCCCTCACCAAGAGAGAGAGAGAGGGTCTCCCAAATAAACAACTCAATCCGCTTTGAAAAAACCCCAAGTACCGCTGAAACGCGCACCAAAACGCCTCCGCTGCCCAGACAGACCCTGAACATCAAATAAAAAAACCCCCCAACCCGGCATCATTCGCTCGCTCACTCAACGCCATTGTTCAATTTGTCGTCGTTCGCAAAAATCTACACACAACGTACGTACGTATCTCTCCCATACGCTCTGCTCATGTGAGCCGGCCCCATCCCCAGGGCAATCAGCCAGCCAGCCAGCCCTCAATCTAGATCAGATAGCCCAGCTCCCTCTCCTCGCCCTCACGCCCCACGCGATCGGCTCCCCCGTATTCGTCGACAGATTCGGGTGCTGGCGCGCCCACTCATGGATATACCTCTTCAGCGCCATCCACCTCGGAGTTCCCACGCCTACCGCCCCGGTAGCATCCGTGAGTCCCGTCCCAGGCTTGATGCCCACATTCCCCACCGGCGCCTTGACGTCGTCATCAACGCGCAGCTCGGCGGAGGGTATATGCGAGATGTGCGCGAGCTCTTCGTCGTACTCGCGCGCCAGCATCGGGTAGCCGAGGGAGAGGTAGTTGTACACCTGCGTGACGAACGTGTCGTTGAACTCGACGCAGATGGCGTCCTCGAGCTTAGCTTTTGCGACTTCGCCCTTGAGCCGCTCGTCGAGTCCGCTGAGCATGTGCATCCCGCGACTGGGAGTACATTGGTGGTATTTGGGCGCCGCAGTCCCAGCACCGTCATTGAGGTTCAGTGCGTTGAAGGGGTCGTCGCGCTCGTTGTCGGGGGTCTCGAGGAGATTGGGGTGGCGGTGGTGGGGGGCGATGCATTGGCTTGGGTCTTCGGCGACGCAGTAGCCGCCCCAGAGGCCGCCGCCGTCGTCTTTCTTGGGGGGTGGGGCCTCGATGCGTTGGTCGGTTTCGAATCGGGTGAATTTGGGGGAGGGGCACATTCGGAATATGAGGTCTTCTCCTAGCATGGGCGGGCTGGCAGCCTCGCGCATGACTTTCAGCTCCTCGTCCTTCGGGATAGCGGCGAGGATGCCCTTATCGTTGATGCCATTCGTCCAGAAAGGGTCATGGAAGGAGGGCTTGGCTGCCTCCTCTGCAACCATCCTAAACGTCTCTTCGGCCCGCATCCGTGCCAGCGACTCTTCATGTTGCTGGAGCTCTGCCGCCGTGAATCCAGAAACCGTAGATCTCTTCCGCGCCACCTTCTCATGCGGTAGTAGTATTGGACCGCTATCCTCATCCGACCCCACCTCGCTCTCGAGGTCATAGAAATGCGAGACAGGGTCGTGGAAGTCGCTATTCACGTAAGCCACCAACTCCTGCTCGCGCAGCTGCCTCTCCCGTAATTGTTCCTCGGCTTGCTCCGCCGCGAGCGTCAGTAGATAGCCCGTGTAATTCTCATCGCAGCTCTCCCTCGTGCGGGCCATCTGTAGGCGGTTCGAATCCTCCGAGGACCCGAACGACTCGGTCAGCGAGGGTGTGCTCTCCGCGTTATCGGCCTCTTCTTCCGTGGTGTAGGAATTCGAGTCTGAGAGCGGCGAGCCTATTTCCGGGTGGTATGAATTGTATCGCGTGCCCCGACGGGTGTTCGGGTGCGGCCTCATCGACCCCTGCCGATAAGGGCGGAGAGGCGGTGGTAAACTGCTGGCTCGGATGTCGTGTGGCGATAGTAGGTGCTGATCTGGCTTCGTCCTGGATCTCCCTCCTGACTGGTATGTGTGGTTCGTCCCAGGCGTGACGTCTGTTCTCTCTGGTGGTGTGTGGTGGACATCGTTGACTCGCTTTGACCGCCTCGTGGTTTCGATGAGTTGGGGGGCAAACCGAGGTCTCCTCCGCGGTGGAGACTCTACTACAGCCGGTGGAACGTCTTGGGTAGTCGTAATAAAGTTATCTTCCGCTGGCTTCACCGCTGTCGCACGGTTGCTGCGTCGGGTGGTCTCGATGGGTTGAGGTAGGAATCGGCGTTTCGGTGGCTCATCTAGCTGCACGCGGATAGTGGGATTGGAGTCTTCGCCCGCCGGGTCGGTGTCGTGGGTACTCGGATCAATTGAATCGATTGTGAGCTGCTTGTGGGACTTGAATGTCGTCTCTATGGGAATCGGTAAGAATCGACGTCGCAGTGGTGGTTGGGTGGACATTGAGAGTATGCCAGGCCTGTCGAGGACGCAAGGAGAGGAGGGACAGAACAGGGTGGGATAGAGAGATTAGAGCGATAGTGAACGGCGGTGGTCGAAGGAGGGGAAGCAGCAGCGAATATGTGATAGATAACATGCACACACTCTCCCTTGGCCTGTGCTGTGCCTTGATGAATATTGACCGCGCGCCGGTTTCAGGGCAAGAGGAGGAGAAGGCTGGTGTTGATAGGAAGCTCTTGACCCACGGGGGTGACGGTAAGTTGGAGAAATCCTGGAATAATTGTGGCTCTTGCGGCACATAACAACGCACAACACTTATTAATGGCCACAGGAAGCGTATAAGTAAGAACGGTAAGAGCAACGACAACAGTGAGAACAGTACAAAGTATAAGAACGGTCAACAGAATGCTTCTTGACTACTGGCATGGCTTGTATGTAATGGCGTTGTTCACTTGCATACGACAAACAATCATGTGGGCTGTGGGTTTTGGAGAAGGGGGGGACTTGTAGGAGTCTAGAGCCTGGAGTAGCCGCTGGAGTAGTGTAAGTAGCCTGGATAGTGGGTTGCGGTTGCATTGATGGGGCGGTTTTGACCCCAACAAAGACAGAAAAGAGGATCATCGTGAAGCTGATTTGAAGGGCCAAAAGACGGGGTACTGGGTTTATGGGTATGGGTACAGACGGATACTATATCTAGCATCTAATCTACATATGCCGAGTCATAAATTAAGTAAAATCTCCTAGTTACTGACACAGCAGAACTCGAGTTTTTCTGGAGATGGTCATGCTCGTGTATTGTACTGTACATATTGTCTCGTATTGTACGTGGATGAGTGATTGTGTGATATGATGTTTTAAGTGGCGATGAAGCCCTCGTCTGCACTGCGCACTGCACATCGTGAGAAATAGCGACTACTAGACTAGAATACTATACTTCTCCACGCCACCAATATGTATGTATATATTTCCACTCTCTTCTCACTCTCAAAGTTTTATTTTTACTCTCCCATATAAAATCCCCTGAATCCCCTTGCCACCAAGAAAAAGGCGCAACTAGTAGAAAGAGCAATAGTCTGCCGACTAGGCCCGGACGCTATGAGCAATAAGCAACCCGCGACTGGCTAGAGAGATAGATTGGGGAACAGAGCGGGAGAACCGCACTCACCGTATGAACCCGTATCGACTAAACTATCTAGATATACCAGACCGACTACCAGGGGGGAGGGTTCGCTGGGTTGTACCTTCCTTTCCCATACAAAAAAACCAACAAAACTTTTACAAATGCACCGTTCCGAGTAACAGCTAAGTATATCCCGATACACAATACCCTCCGAATGTGATGTGTGCCCATCGTCTCGTCCGGCATCGCACCAACGGTATCGCAAAGCACGAAACGGGATGGAGTACAAGCGGAGATCCTCTACTGGACGAGGGACGACGCTCTCGCTCTGATAACACCACCGTGCCATGCGGTGGCTTATCTTTGCCCACACACAACAGCGCCAATCATCCACTCTCACCCACAACCTGGAAACATCTTGTCATCGTCGTGGCTTCAACATCGTAACTCATTCGTAACTCCAAGTTGACATAGATAGATAGTGTGTACATCGGATCTACCTGCATACACCTCCAACCCCACCACATGTCTGACCCTCCCATCCTGTCTCATCTACCAAACAAAACGCTCGTGACCACCAACACAATTGTCTCTCCCACCTGCCAAACCCCCCCCCCACCAGAAATACGCCTCGCTATGCTAAACCCAGAACGTGACACATGTTGCCAGCCTCATGACGAAAAACAGCCCATGTTTTCCCCCTCCCTAGTATTTTGCCCCTACGACTCCCGCGCGCCAACCATCGATTCTAGCTTCCCCGCCAAGACGCGGTGCTTCCTGATAACATCCACCCACTCCTCCGTGTCCTCGCCCTCCTCCTCCAGGAACGTGAGGATCATGCTGAAGTCCCCGCCCAGCCGGCCCAGACTGGCCGCGCAGTAGAGAACCTGCGTTAGTAAGCTGTCGCGCGTCGCGCGGTCCTGCACGTTCGGGAGGTACTTCTTGAGCGTATCGAGGAGCACGCCGACGAGGTGCAGCGGGAACGTCGACAGCGACGACGGCAGGGGCTGGAGCATATCGCTGTCCCCCTTCCCCTTGCCTCCCACGCCCTCCACCTCGCCCTCCGCGGCCGCCGGGAAGATGCTCCGGAACATAGAAATGATAGCGAAGCTCTGCTCGCGGAAAATCTCAATATAGCGCTTTAGATAGCGTTCCGTTTGCTGACCCCCCGACCACGCGGTGCTCGGGTCCTTCTTCGTGGCGGACGAGGCGTTGTTTGATAGCTCTTGGTCTGCGAGTTCCCGTAGCGGCTCCAGCGCACCAAGCATGGCCATCAGGTTGGCGAGGCGGCAGACGAGGAAGAGGCCCCCGAGGCTGCCTTCGTGGCTGCTGCCTACTTCGGAGCCGGGTGTGTCGAGCTCGGGGGCGATGCGGCGCAGCCAGCTGATGGTGCGCATTGCGGCTGCGAGCTTTAGACCTTGTGCTTTTAGACTTGATATTAGATTCGTTGTCATGGCTTGCATCTCTTCTTCTGCCTGTACTGTGACCGACGACACCAATCGTGATTCCGGGTATAGTCCATGTAGTCGCCGGATGTGCGCATTTAGATCTAGCGCAGAGGCATAGTTGATTGTGGCAGATGAAGACGTATTGTTTGTCGAGCTAGTTGCGCCAGACGTAGATATCGCCGAGGAGAGGAGGGTGGGGAGCTCGAGGACATCACCCAGGCGGTCCGAATTGCGGGAGAGTAGTAAGGCCTTGCGCCGCCTGTCTAGGATGGCATTCTCTGTGTTCTTGTTGTAGGTTGTGGCGAACCGAAGCGCCTCTTCGTCTAGCTTTGGTATGGCATCCTGAAGCTTCGTTGTGCTCTCCGCTATAGCTGGGAGAGTAGTCTGTAGTGAGGAGAGGTGGTCGGAAGAGGCTATGACGGCCTTGTGCGACCGCGATGAGAGGGCTTGGAGAGATAGCAGCAGTGAGTGGGATGTTTGCGCCAGCGATTGGGGCTCCGTGTCACTGAGTGAGGATAACGGGAGGGTCGTGAGCCTGGTAAGGTAGGTGGATGTGATAGGGTCACTGGGCGCCCTCAAAGACGCAGACGAAGTCTGGCCAAGGTGAGGAGCCAAAAGCTCATAAAGAGAGTCAGACATTGCCGTGGCATGCAAGGGCCCAGACCAGCATCATATGAGCTTATTGGGCTTATTCAAAGAATATTATCACGAGGTAGCCTTGTGGAAGCAACGTGGAAAGGAAGGCTGTCAAGGTTGCAGCACCGCCTTTCTTTCAGCCTCGGCATCCTCCGTTTAGGCACGAGGTCCAACGAAGGCGCTTGTGTGGGGCGATCACCCCAGTGCTAGCTATGGTCATCGTGACTACTGCCCCAACGAATTCAGACTGCGTTGAACTCTCTCACAGTTCATCGCGTCTGCCTTCGTAGGCCTGCGCCCCTCTGACTGTAAATAAGAAGCTTCGTCGCCCGACTCTCTCTCAAAAGCCTCATCTGCGACCTACCGAACCGATCTGGCACATTCCTTAGAAACCCCGCGACGATGCGTGACTTCATACCCCCCATACCCTTCCTAGCGAAGGCGATTACTCCGTTCTCAGAGTATATCGGCGCAACAACACTGCCTCTGCACATTCACGAGGTCGTCATTTCATATTTCGCATATACTTTCATCAATAAGAAGGTCGCACCAGCCGTATCGACATGGCTCTTTCCCCAGAAATATCCGGCGCTCTCGGCCGAGAAGAAGTTCAACTGGAACGTCCATGTGGTGTCGCTGTGCCAGAGTCTGTTGGTTAACAGCACGGCTCTCTATGTCATCTTGACTGATGACGAGCGCAACAACATGACCTGGCAGGAGCGGGTTTGGGGCTATACCGGGGCGTCTGGGATGGTTCAAGGTTTGGCTACAGGGTACTTCCTCTGGGATCTGGTTATCACTATCCAAAATGTCAAGATGTTTGGCCTGGGAATGCTGGCGCATGCCGTCAGCGCCTTGACGGTGTTCTCTTTTGGCTTTGTAAGTAATCTGGGAGAGCTTCAAGGTGCTGCGCTAACGAGATTCCTTCACAGAGACCCTTCGTTAACTACTATGCCTCGACATTCATCCTTTACGAGCTCTCCTCGCCGTTCCTGAACTTCCACTGGTTCTTTGACAAACTGAACCTGACCGGATCTCGTCGCCAGCTCGTCAACGGCATACTGCTCCTCACCACCTTCTTTGGCTGCCGTCTATGCTGGGGAACATACCAGTCTCTGCGCGTTTACCAGGACATGTGGATGGCATTGCACCACACTCCTGGCGACACTTACGGAAAGGTTGACGCTCCCAACCACGACGAAATCATGAAGTACACGAAAGAGGAGTTCATCCCACTCTGGCTGGCAGTCACCTACCTCGGAAGCAACCTCGTCCTGAACGCACTGAACTTCTACTGGTTTGCCAAGATGATCGACGCTCTGCGCAAGCGCTTCGTCCCCGCCGAGAAGGCCAGCTCGAAGCCAAAGCTGGCCATGACTGGCGCTAACGGCACGGTGAAGATCGAGGCCGATGAGACTACGGTGCGCCGCAGAAATGTGCCTCTCTCAGAGGCAGATATCGTGCCGATTCCGTGAAAGGCTCGGGTGCTCAATATAACCAAGCTATGATGGCTCATATTGGATATGAGATTAACGACGTTCGGCCTCCTTTTCTTTTTGGAACGACATAGTTCAGGGTCAACGGTGTAGTATACAGAGTCGCGGGAGGGTGATGGAAGGGTACTCTGTTGGGAGCGAAACGGCACAGGGAGCAGAACGAGCTCCCTGCTTTTCTTGTTTATACGTACAGTGGGTTGAGGATACTAGAACCTATAAGATCACGAGTATAAATACATTTCTACCAAACACTATTGAAATCTACGATCCATACCAATAATTAGGGATATTTACTTTTCTTCTAAATATGATATTTACAAACCATGTGAGAAGTTACTGAATGAGGCCATTTCAAGTGCAGTTGTTTGTGGGGATCCTCTTAAAGCTCAGGGAGGCAAGGCTGACAACTACCGAATGGGGCGGGGCTGGTGCTCGCTTGCCAAGCTCTCTGAACCTCATGGTAGCCTCACGCCTTACACGCAACGAACCCTGGCGGCTTGCTTCACAACCACAACGTTTTAGGCCTCAAGGTAATCTAATCTAGAGACTATTGCGACAATGGCGTCTGCCAGCTCTTCCCAAGTCGAAAAAGAGGTTAACACCTTGCTCCATCAGCAAGAAGACTCAGCCAAACATGGCCGCCCAGCAGACCCCGAAGCCGTCGACACCATCATCACCAAACTCTTCACCTCCAACATCGGCAGCATAGCCATCCGCGAGCTCAGTCAGCGCCTAATCCTCCTCGTTCAAACCCCCGGCTTCGTCCTCAGCGACCGGATCGAAATATGCACCACCCTCCTCGGTAAAATCGAACAGTATCAAGCATCTCAAGAAGAACAGATCGCTGAGCTCCGCATGATCCTCGCAAACACCTACGAAGCTCTCGAAGACTTCCACTCCGCGGCCCAAATGCTCGCCGCCATCCCGCTCAACTCCTCGCAGCGCAAGATCTCCTCAGAAGACAAAGCCGCGACGCTAATCCGCATCGTACGTCTACACCTCGAATGCGACGACCCCACCTCCGCCGAAACCTACCTCAACAAGTTCAAGAACATCATGCACGAAGTCACCAACCCAACTTCGCTCATCCACTTCCAAGTCTCCCAAGCCCGTATCCAAGACTCCCGCCGCGACTTCCTCGCTGCCGCAAAGGGATACGAGGATATCAGCCACGACCCCTCCATCGGCGAAGACGAGCAGCTCCACACCCTCTCCATGGCACTAAAATGCGCGGTCCTCGCCCCCGCCGGCCCCGCTCGCTCGCGCGCCCTAAAGCGCCTCTATAGCGATGAGCGCGCGCCGCAGCTGGAGGAGTTCGCGATCTTGGAGAACATGCACCTGCAGCGTGTGATTGCGCCTGCTGAGATTTCGAAGTTCGCCGAGGGACTGCAGGAGCACCAGCTCGCGAGGATGAGTGATGGGTTGACGGTGCTGGATCGGGCGATGTTTGAGCATAATCTTTTGGCGGCGAGTAGGCTGTATGCGAATATTGGGTTTGGGCCGCTGGGAGAGCTGCTGGGGATTGGGGGCGAGAAGGCGGAGGAGATGACGGCGAAGATGATTGAGCAGGGACGGTTGGGGGGGAGGATTGATCAGATTGAGGAGGTGATTTGGTTTGAGGGAGCGCGCGAGGGGGGAGGGGGGGTGCTGAGGCAGTGGGATTTTAATGTGGAGGGGTTGGCAGAGGGGGTGGAGGGGATTATGGGACAGTTGCAGGCGAAGCATCCGGTATGTGAGATTTGAGTCCTGGGAAAATACTGATGAGCTAACTGGGGTGTAGGAGTTTGTTGTGAAGAATCTGGTGGTATGAGGAGCGGGGAGGCTTTATGATGGAACGACGGCAGCATTAGAGTTACTGGGAGTTTGAGCGGGTGCATTACGAGACTGGATGACGGCGTCTGGGGTACTGAAAAATTTAGCATTTATCCACAAGAATCAACCTTTTCATGAGGACTGTGGATTCACCAAGATATGAGCGAAAATAACCATGAAGTTTGGAAACACGTCGAGGTTGTAAACCAACAGCAGCTTGATATCTATAAATCACGTGATGTGTGTCCGTTGTCCGGTCAGCGTATTTACAGTGGAGAATTGACCCTGTATCAACCCATCCAATCACCTCCCCCGACCACCCCGTCGCGGACCTCGAATTCCACGCGATAATTTTGTCCTCCCCCCCCGAAACCTCTAATTCCATTTACCCCAATAGCGACAACCTTTCGGCCATGAAGAGGAGAGCTCATACGCCGTAACCCAGCATTGAACTTACTATATAGCTCTATACTCGCCCAACGACAACGCGACGCCCGCCCGATATGGCAACCGCGTCCCCAACACCACTGGGCTCAAGCCACTTCGGCAATCAGCAGATGCGCCGACCTTCGTCGAGACAGGCCTTACGACAGGTCCCACCAGCACGACCGACTTTTGTGCGGAGAGAAGCTGCTGCGGCGGCGAATGGGAACCTGGCAGAACAGCTGCCGACTTCTAAGACGCGCCGCTATTCCGATCATGATAGCTCGGATGACGACCTACCTGTGCCGATGAAGTTCAGCGCCCTCACGAATGCGCTGTTGAATGATGAAGCTTCAATGCTTGGCTCTGCTTCACCAGCTTTAGCTGCAAACGAAAACAACCTGTCTGGCTCAACGGCAGTCGCGCAGAGACATACATATACCGCCGACCCCCCAGCACACGAACAGATGGCCCGAGAGCGCACGGCGTCCCCGGCGATGGTATCTCGCACCCACAGCCCATATCCCCGACGAGTAGTACGCCTAAGTGGCACCCCCGGCTCAGCATCCCTTCGCCGGACGACAAGCTTGTCGAACTCTGTGAGAGCGCCGAGTGAGCAGGTGCCGTCGAGACCGGGAAGCCCACTGGACTTAAGTACACCAGCACCATATCCGAGGACTGTACGGATACCAATCACAGCCTCTTCGAATCATGGATCGTCGTTTGGATCTAGTGGACGGGCGTCAAATCGTGTTGGCTCTGGATCGGGAGCGCGATCAGCGGCGCTGGAACAGGAGGAGATGGAAGACCCGGCTACGATTGCGAGGCCGTATAATGCTACTAGTCTGGGCAGTGTCACGAGATATGGGAATTCGACAGCGAACAGAACGAGGTATGGGGAGGAAATGGGAATGCAGAGTTCGATGAGAGTGAAGCGCCTCGGAAAAGCTGGTAGTTTCTTGAGTGGCCCTGCAAGAAGAGGCAAGAGGAGACAGAGTGAGGAGGAGCAGGGTCCTGGGCAGGATGCTGAGGGTGCGGAATCCGCTTTCTCGAGCCAGGAACGCCAGAGCCAGGAGCCGGAGAATCAAGCAGCGGAAGGCCATGATGCTGGGAGCGGGGAGGCGGCATCGAGTCAGGAGTCTGAGGCGCCGAAATCGTCGTTTTATTCGGCTTCGCAGTACAGGGACTTTGCGTCTGGTAGCCCTATGAGTGGGAGGGAGGCATTAAAACAAGCCCGTCCCTCGCCGCCGATGGCTGTGTATAATCGCCCTGCGGATCCTGTTGTTGAGCAGGCCAGGCCTCCACCGTCGGACAACGCACCACCCGCTCAACTTGCACAGCCTGTCTTTAAGCTTCCTGCGCCAAGGCCGGAGATGCCATCGAGCCATGATCAGGAAAATGAGGCACCTCCCACTTTTAAGCGCAATAAGGCACCGCCATCGGTGCTTCTTGATAAAATCGACAAAGTCCCTCTACGCCCACAAAGCTCGGATTTGAGCGCCATGCGTGGTACTGTCTCTCCAGTGCGCCAACCACTAGCTGCAAGATCCCAAAATACTCCGCGCCGCCCTGCGCCGCCGCCCCCTAAGATGTCGCTCTTGGAAACTGCCACTGCTACGGCGGGCGCGGCGACCACCTCGCATTCGTCTAAGAAGAGGAATAATATCAGAGTTAATGGCAAGAGTTATACGAGACTGGAGATTTTAGGGAGGGGTGGCAGTAGTAAGGTGTGGAGGGTAATGGCGGAGAATGGGAAGATCTATGCTTTAAAACGCGTTAGTCTGGAGGATGCGGATGAGAATGCTGTGACAGGTTATAAGGGAGAGATCGATCTATTGAGGAAGCTGGAAGGAAACGATCGTGTAGTAACGATATTGGACTACGAGATGAACGACGAGAAGCAGATGCTGAGTGTGGTAAGTCCCCCTTCTCCCCCCCTTACAAGCACAATTTTTCTAACCCACACCTCACAGCTCATGGAGATGGGCGAGCTTGACTTCAACCGCATCCTCAGCCTCCGCTACAACACCGAGGACGCCGTCTTCGACCCCTCCTTCACGCGCTACTACTGGCGCGAGATGCTCGTCTGCATCGCCGCTGTCCACTCCCACGACATCGTGCACTCGGACCTCAAGCCCGCCAACTTCGTGCTTGTCAAGGGCCTGCTCAAGCTCATCGACTTCGGCATCGCTAACGCCATCCAGACAGACGAGACTGTCAACGTGCACCGCGACACCCAGGTCGGCACGCCGAATTATATGAGTCCCGAGAGTCTTATGGATTCTAGCGAGCTCCCTGAGAATAAGGCACCAGGAGCTATGCGGGGGCACAGCAGCGGGCCGAGAGTTATGAAACTGGGCAAGCCGAGCGATATCTGGAGTCTAGGCTGTATCCTCTACCAGATGGCCTATGGCCGCCAGCCATTCGCGCATATCTCCAACCAGCTGAGCCGCTGCCGCGCCATCATCGATTGGAACTACGCGATCGAGTTCCCCTCGCGCGGCCTCGGCGGCGTGACGCTCCCGCAGTCGTTGATTCGGCTGCTAAAGAGGTGTTTGGAGAGGGATCAGCATAAGCGGCCTACTGCTGCGGAGTTGTTGAGCGACCAGGATGAGTTTTTGAATCCGAGGGAGTTGCCGGAGGGGGCGCTGCCGATGACGGAGGAGCTGTTGGGGAGGATATTGTGTAGTGTTGTGGGGAAGTGTAGGGGGAGAGAGGTGGGGGAGGGGGAGGTGATGGGGGTTTGGGCGGGGGCGTATTTTGAGAGTTTGAGGAAGAATTTGGGTGCGTAGTGGAGGAGGGGGCGGATGTGGTGTGAGGATGGTTTATATTAATTTTGTGGGAGTATTGTGTTGGAGTACAGTTAAAACAGGCGTTTTGACTTGGGATGGGAGGGAAGCGTTTAATGGGTTCATGAAGCGGAGTGCAAGACTCCAAACTGGAGGCTGCACCTTTTTATAGCGGATTTTTTTATACCCTTCGAAATTTTATATGTTCTTCAAACGTAACGAGATGTTTTATATGTTGTAAGCCGTGCCTTGTATTGCGTATCATTGAGGGGAGTCTGGCTATTTACGCAAAACACAACAACAAAAAACCAAAAAAACATACAACAGTAGGTATTTGCTAGTAGTCACCCACCCAACTACTAATCTACCGATTTCAAGCAAACACCTGGATAATTTGTGCCATCTGGCCTAGTGGGTGAGCCTCGCTGCCCTTGCCCTTATTTTGAGATGGCGACCACCTTGACCACCTTGATCGCCCAAAAGTGGGTCTATTTTTGACGACGCGTTACACCGCGACATTGGATGCACGCAGGTGAGCTAGGTGAGTGGGTGAGCAAGGTGAGCAGGGTGAACAGGGTGAGCAAGGTGAGCAGGGTGAGCAGGGTGAGCAGGGTAAGTAAGGTGAGCTAGACAGGTAAGAAAGGTGAGTATAGCGGACCTAAGAAAATGGTATTTAACATGAGGCTACTAGCGGAGGAGATAGTGATATATTACACGCAGCTTATAAGATTCATGCCAAAGCTGTAGAAACAGTGCTTTAATAAGCTTTCTCCTGCTTAGGTAAGGAAAGTAGAGGTTGCGACAAAGGACTGAATTACCTTGTCTTAGACTGCGGGGGGATACAATGGAAAAGGGTTGAACAAGGCTTTTGGGCTATAGTAATTCTGTTATTCGCACCCTCTGCTATTAGGCAAGCTAATAAGGGTACAAAGTAATCCGCATATCTACGAATAATTCCTCTCCTAGACGTTGAAAATGCACTTAGTGACAGCTAAATAGAAATCTAAGATCGTAATCTCTAATAACTTCAAAAGATGTACATCGAATATGTAATAGCCCATTGAAGCTGTGCATACAAGGATATATAAAGTGGCTTTGCTAGCAAACATAAGTTAGTCAACCTGCTATGTGGGCAGCCTGTTCCATTCTCGTCACACCACCGTAATAGATCTAATCATGTCTAAGGATATCTATTTACCGATCACGTTAATAAGCAGATACCAGACCACATTCGCTCCGTGGCAACTTTCAGTCTAATTATGTATCTACTACTCTACAATTAGTGTGCTCTATATCAATCTGCACTGTACCCAAATGGCCAGAGATCGAGATCAGGTTGGTGATCCACTTCTCATGTTGGCTAGCGATATTTAAGTGTTCATGTACGATGGCATTATCTTATAAAGGCTATGTCCTTTCTCCAAATAGCCTACCAGAGCCTGCGAGCTCGTGATTTAATCTCATGGGCTATGATCTCAATCCTCACTTCTTTAGCGACTATGCTCGGGGCTGGCCGCTGAGCCTGAGTCCTTACACGTGCCTAACGGCGGAGGACTCCCGACGAGACGGATTTGGTTATTCGAGACTCTCTCGTGCCATCTGTTCGTTCCGCGCTGAGCTCCTTCTCGGCGACGACACGCCCAGCCAACGGCGGAGGAGTGTTTGAACATTTTCACACCTGCAGCCAATGAGATACCTGGCGGGGTGCGAACCGAAGGATTCTCCTCACTCTCCATCGCCGCTGTTGGGCTCACCGACATCCTGGTAAGTGCCTGGAGCTGCTTCTCCACCAATTCCTTAATCGATAAAGGCCAGCGTGGTACCTTCCCGGTCGTCTGGGCAGTGAGACCCTTTTGGGAGTTCTGCGCCGCCCACTCGATCACAATTGGTGAGATGTGTCGCATGAGTTCCTCGATACACCCGTTCGCCCTGAGCGCAGGGTTATCCCTAACCCAGGGGAGACCACCAACTGCAAAGCTCAAGGCTTTGATCAAGGCAGGTTCCTGTTCGTATAAAGTACTCTTCGGACCTGGCAACCTAAGCGTGGCAAGGTTCTCTTGTAATTGACCACCAGCTGCATCACGTACAGTGATCAGAATATCCCTCCAGGTCGGAGATTTAAACCTCTCCAGGTAGGTATCATCGCCAATATCCCCTCCGAGACTCCCCTCTAGCTGATCCAGTCGACCCTCTACAGTGGCGAAGAGATCCCGCTGCAGCTTGCGTGACTTGCGTGGGGCTTGGCTGTTATGTTCGATCGTCAAGGCCGGTATAAAATTTTGCCACAGCTGCGGCTTGTTATTCTCGCGGCCTATAACCTTGGTGGGCTCACAGTTGATCCACCGCGTGACGTGGGATATCACCTCTGACAGGATCTTCCCTTCCCTCCGACCTGTCCGCAGCAGGGCCTGAATATCAATATATTCCTGACCCGCATTGCCTAGGACGTATCGTGCGGCGTTGTGATAGTGGCCATGCTCGAGTCCTACTAAGAACCCCGACCGGCGATACAGATGGCCCTGATCGCTGAGGTTGGCTAGGACGTCGGTAGGAGCATTAGGGTAAAATAGATCATGCATATTAGAAGATGAGCATGGTCGCGGCAGACGCACCAGGGCAGCCCAATCGCTCAGGTGAACTGCCTTGTCTAACCCTCCAGACAACTTCGAGATCGTTTTCAGCACCTCATCAAACGGATCAAACCAGAACTGTCGCGTCGTAAGTATATCCCCACACAGTACGAACCAGACTCACATCATCAATCCGGAACCTGGCCATGTTATCCCATAGTGATATGTTAAACGTAGACCGCCCCACGCCTGTGCGGCACCACCTCGTAATCATATCCCGCCAGCTGTTGTTCTTCCAGAGAGTCACTAGGCGACGGATTGGGAACCCGACGCAGCCACTCAGGCCAAGTGTTTCTAGCATTTCCTTCTTCACTCCGGTACTAGACCCTTGAAAGAGGGTCTTATCTTGCTCCGCCAGCGTCGCGAGCTCCATCCAGATCTGGCCGTGATTGTCTGGAAGGGTATGACCGACCCTATTCGCGCGAAGTCGGGTTCTGATACGAGGCGGGAGTGTATCTGCAATGTTAGCAACACTGATTAATCGCATTCCGAGTTGTAAATGAGGGCCTACCTTTGTCATAGATGTCACAGATCCACCAGTGTGAGCCTTCATTCGGGTCTTCCTCCAACTTCCGCAGGAATGCCTTCACCGCCTCTACACGATGCTGCCCAACCATTATTTCTGCCCCACGCCCATTGACGGCCTCCCAGTCTTTAAAAAACGGCCAGGGAGGTGGCGTGCCCATACGGTCCCCTCCCTCTCCAAGGTGGTCTATCATCCTCTGGACTTCATCACGCGAGCATGCTATCAGTAAACGATTCTCTTCTGCCTCTCGTTGGAGTCCTTGCTCCATGAATATCTGGCAGAGCCTATGTACATGCTGGCTATTGATCGGTCGGTTGCTGCCTACGCTCCACGAAGCTGTGAGGGCAGCAATAGGGAACTTGGCAGTAATAATCCGATACGGTTCAGCTTGTTGGCGGACAGACTTGGCACTTGTCAAATCCTCTGCTGTCTGATCGCCTCGAGCTCGCTTTAGAGGATGGTCTGGCACAGTGATCTTGCGTTTCGCCATGACAAGCAGGCAGGTCACAGGACCTGATGTGGCTCTTCCTATATTGTACAGAAAAAGCGACCGTACAAGGGTTATAGGTTGCAGCCACGGTAACTTCCGACTGCTACTTATGTGTTAAAGTCTATGTTGAGTAGAAAGGCGGTTCTACTTTCAGAACGAACTTTAAATGTTCGTTCTGAAAGGGGTAAAGGTATTCGGGTTATCTCGCCTACGCTAGTCTTGCCAAAAGGGGTCTAGTGTTACAGCTCTCAGAGGAACTATGGACTGGGTGTGCCATAGAACAAGACTAGCGCGAAATTAACACTAAACTAACACATGCTTCGCCTCTGCTTAGCCCACTCACCCCGCTCACCCCACTCACCCTGCTCACCCTGCTCACCCCTCGCCTCACCCTTCAGGCGGCAAGGGGCCGTGATTCTGCGCTATGCCTATTGGCACGATTGAGACCATTAATCTGATGTTACGCAAGCAATCCTCTGGCTAATAGTTAAATCGGTGCCATCTTGCCTATTGGGTGAGCCCTGCCGCCTTTACCCTTATTTGGTGATCGCGATCATCTCGACCACCTCGACTACCCAAAAGTGGGTCTATTTTTTACAACGCGTTGTATCGCGACAGTGGACTTTAACGCTGACTACTAAACGATAGGAGACACAGAGGTTTCTTCAGTTCTCACAGTTCCATCACGTGAAGTCCCCATAAAGAAGTGCCCTCGTGAACGTCAGCACCTTCTCTACGCAGTGCCCTTCCTTAGACGGGTACCTGCTAAAGGGTAGGTACCTTCTTTCAACGGTGCCTGCTATTTAGTCGGTACCTGCAATTCACGCGGCCACGAATCCGAGCAGTGGCCACACCTAAGCGCCGGAGAGAGGATATTAATATCCCACCTGCCTCCATCTCTTGGCTAAATCGGTGAGAGTTAGAGAGGGTCGAGGCATCAAGGGCATCAAGTACGGCGATTGGACGTGTGGCGGTACGTACCCCAACCCCGTGCATACTATTAGCAGAGCCTCAATGGGAATAGCGTCGTCGTGTCCAATCGGTGATCGGTCCGGGCCGCCATCTGTGTACCCCTGTTAGTACCCGCGTATTGCCCGTTGCCCTCCTACAACCCTCACTATTCTACTGCCCTTCCGCCGCATGTTATTTTACCATCTTACGATGTTCTGCGGCATATGGGGTACAGGTTTTAGCTGTAACATAAAGGTACTAACTAAAAGTTACTAAAGCTGTCTTAAAAGGGAGCTAAAAAAGGGTCGAAAAGGGTCGAAAATGCCCTGCATTAGCGACTGGTACAGCTGAACTAGAACTCTAGCTGAACTTACTGACCCAAATCAATCGCCGCCAATCTAGCCACCACCTGCCCTCCTGCAAATTACCGCGCGCGACAGCCACCGTACCGCCGCCTAGCCGCCCATCTCCCCCCGACCACCACACCGGTCCCAACACACCTTATAAGCCTAAGCCTTCCCCCCGGGCCCTACACCACTCTACTATACCTGCTGTGCAGTTAGTGCTACACCACCACATCACGAAACACACATAAGAAGCATTTGGCATACTGGCGCGCACACGCTCCCGCCTCTGCCACGCTATGTATCTGGGGGTCGGGCAACGGCGCTGCATCACCCTTGTCCTGAGCGCCTTCATCGCAATCGTTTTCTGCGCCTCGTACTGGCAGTGGTCCGGCGGCGAGCATGTGCGGCTAATCCCATCATTCCATGATGCCGATGTGGCCGGCGCAGGGAAGGGCGGCGTGCTGACGAAGCCGGGGACTGCGAAGGAGCTGAGCCCGGATGAGGTTGTGCTAGCCGAGTATGATGAGGCGCCTATACGGGAGATGTGCGCGAATTCGTCGTGGGCGGATAGTCGGAATGTGGTTGTTAACTGCGAGAGCCGCGTCGGCGGAGTCGGTAGGCCTCACCCTCAATCCATCCGTAGCTCCTAGCTAACCCTTCGCCCTTAGGCAACGTTCGCCAAGAATTCCTTGTCTGCGTGCGCCAGGCCATCGAAATCGGCGCCTCGCTGATCCGCCCCAACATCATGCTGCGATCTGAGGGGCTAATAGAATACCAGAACGGGCCCGTCCAGAACATGTCGTACCTTTTCAACCTAGAGCTGTTTGACGCGCGCCTCCGCTCCGCGTGCCCTTACATGCCTATATATAACGACCTTGCGGAGGTGGAGCACGTCGGCGAGATCGCGCGCGTGGACCGGCCACGGAACCTTCCGGAGGAGCAGGGCGTTCAGCTGTCGTTTACAGAGTGGGCGAGGTTGAATCGACAGCCAGAGGGCAAGATTACCGTTATTACCATGCCAAGGATCACGGGGCAGACGTACGTTCCCCCCCCCCCACCCATCTAACAACCCTTACTAGCAGGCAAACTAACCCCCCTCAGACCTGTATGCGACGACCCCTCCCCTTTCGTGGCCAACTTCGGCCGCCTCGTCGAGTTCCGTACCGACACCCAACGCCTCGCCTCCACCATCCTCTCTGCGCTCCTTACACGCTTCTCGCCTGCTTTCCTCCCCTACTACGGCCTCGCGAACAACACCTTCATCGGACTGCACTTCCGCACCGAGATTGACGCCGTTAACGTCGGCTATACTAGCTTCGAGGAGCAGACTGCTGCGTACCTGTCCTTCGTCTCCGCAACGCCGATTCGCGCCATCTACGCCGCGTCAGGGAATACGACGAGTCTGTCCCTTTTTGCGGTTGAGGCGGCGAAGCTCAACCCCCCTGCCACGGTAGTAGCGAAGGGGGATTTACTAGAGGGTAAAGACAAACAGGCGTTGGAGGCGCTTACGTGGGATCAGCAAGCTCTCGTCGATTACCTCGTCCTCACGAAAGCGGCGCAGTTCGCGGGCGTGAGCGATAGTTCGTTTTCCTGGGGCATTGCGTATGCGCGCCAAGTAGTGAGCGCTGAGGCCGGAACGTGTCAGAGTGTTGGCGGATTAGAGAAGGGGGTGCAGTTCCGGGATGAGCTATCAACGGTTTTTGGGCGGCCGAGGGATTGGCATATTAATAAGCTGTGGCCGTGAGGTGAGTAGGGGTAGGGGTGTATTTTTGTATGTTTTTAATGATTTGTTTAATATCTTAAGCATATTAAATTTTCTTTTATAACTCATTAACGCTCACTTATAGCCGTCTCTGTTACTCTTCTTATTTAAGTCTTATTTTAGTAAATAGATACATTATCTTAAATAGACCTAGAATAGCATGGGATCATTAGATACTAGATAGTAGAGGGTATCTGGACATTTGCAAAAGAACTGCGAATAACCTGATTTAATATCAATGCTGCTATACCGAAGAAAAAACACCTTCCTACCTCGTCGTTTACCTAAGCCCGATCTATACTACATGGATGACGACCTCGGCCGGACCGTCTTTTGATTCTTTCCAGCTGCTCCTCTCTGCGGTCAAGCTGCCTCATAAATCCCATTAGGACCCTGAGAACGCGACAGGGGCTGTCTAGGAACCTCGTAGAGACCTCTAGGATCCTCTGCAAGAGTCTGGGGAGGCGGTGAGAACTGATTCCATCCTCTACCCGCTACTGGAGGCTTATAGTATTCCTCGACTGGCGGAGGAGCTTGGTGGCCTAACGTGCATTGCCCGGTAGATTTCTTTTTAGAAAAATGTCTCCAGACAAGGAATCCCAGTCCACCGAGTACCAAAAGACCAGCAAGTGTCGCGCCGACTGCAATACCTGCAACTGTTCCAGTGGACGGTCCCGGGTGGGGGTTTGGTTCCGGCTCTAAAGTTGGTGGTGTTGCTGCTGCTTCTGTCGCTGCTGCTGCTGCTAATGATGATGATGATGGTGATGACGATGATGGTGATGATGATGTTGATGATGGTGATGATGATGTTGAAGTAGGGTTGACTGTGGGCGCACTCGTTGTCGACGACACCTTAGGGACAGTGATGTTGAAATAGTGGCAAGTTGTAATGATCGTATCGTCATGTCCGGCACCGAACAGTGTCAGATAGAATACAGCGTCATTGCCATTGCCATCGCTAGTCGCGAAATTGTAGAAGCTCACTTCCCAGTTGACACTTTTGGACTTCGTGTCAGCTGTGTCTCAGTCAGCTCACATACGACAAATGACCCAAAGGTCTTGGTTTCGCTTACATATAAGCACGTAGGCCTTCCTCGTCGCAGGATAGTCCTGCTGCAATACGAGGTCCGTTGTCTCAAGGTCTGACTGCCATTTAATGTTGAGGTTCATTCCGACCTCATATTTTGAATTGGCATCATAATTCCCAAAGGGTCCCCCACCTGGAGGTACTAGGAAATAGCTGTTGTTGAGGGCATCGATACTCGCACTGAACGCGGCGAGGAAGGTGAGCGGCCATAAGGAATACATAGCAAGTGCGGGATGAGGCAAAGTGTTTTCCTTGAAAATGAACATTTTCGAGTCAGACCAAAGGGAAAACTTCAGACGAGGAGCGGTAGGATACACATCCCCCGCTCCAGCCTTAGTTATTAGAATGAATGGTAAAGTCAGGCTGTTTCAGCAGGCGCTATGGATCAGTTGGAAATTGGCCCACTCATTGTTAACTTGCCAGTCAAGAGCGGCAAGGGCTTGGCGTTGGTCTGCAAATAAATGGGCGCTTATCAAGTCTTGCGGCCCGCCCCGCACCTATGCCCGCGCATCCACAGACTCACCAATATTGTGCCACCTGCGCCTGGGAAACGGGGAGCTAGGTAAAAGGCTCTTATAGGCGGACATAGATGAGATGGAGATATAGAAGGTAATGGAACAATGGTTACTCATACTGCAGCTTACCCTAAGTTTGCGTTTTGGGATACCGCAGCTTCTTTGAAGGTGCAAAGGCCTTGCGCCCGTCTATCCAACTTGATAGCGCAAGGGGACGCGGTAGTCAAAGCTTTCTAGATGATCGGCGTAGTACGTACTCTGTAGTGTGGCATCAAAACCATCTATGACACCTACTGTAAGGATCTTCAATGAACAGGGCAGTACGAGGTCACGTTCTTCAATCGTATACGCGTATATAGATCCTGTAGATTACAGAGACTGAACGCTGACCTAGCTCTGAAGGTCCGCGTTCCTACTATATACTACAGCTGCACGTGTTCTTCGGCCTGATGTTCCTCCGTCTTGGCTCTGCAACTCACGTGTTATAACTCCGCACGTGATGCGTTCGTGACACCTACTCTGAGTTTAGTGCTTCACAATTCAGGTTAAGTATCCGGAATATTTTGTCTCGCCTGTAAATCGAAATTATCTTATCAGGCTCATTACCGAATCGCCGTTCTGAGTATCACCGCAAGTACTGTTTCGATCGCGGATCTTGCGGCGCCCGCGTGTGACGGAAGGTCTAATATTACCAACACTAGAGGATATAAAACGGGAATCACTGAGGCATACTCCATCATGGGCCCTTCGGAATTTGCATCTGAAAAGACTGTCCGCGAAGATCGCCAGAGCTTCTTACTAGTTACCTCTAGCTCTATACCTATTATACCTTAGTCTGTACCTTTAGACCTTTTACCTCGTTCTTAGACAGTGTGAAGCTAAAGGCGTTCGTTCTTACTAAGTTAGGCTAGTAGAGGGCGTATAGAGAGCATGATTCCATGCTATACCTATTAGCATGATTAAGACTATTAGCTAGAGGATACGTAAGCAAACACCTAGATAATACTTAAATCAGTGCCATCTAGCCTAGTAGGTAAGTCTTGTGTAATGATGTACAGTTACGCTTACGCTACACCTTACTAAGCTAAAAAGACTACAATATTCCAGCTTAGCTAGAATACACGTAACACGCTATATATACTATAACGGTCGCATGCCAGCACCCCGTTACACCTTGCTGCCCTTGGATTTTCTTGCTTAAATACTTAATTATAGCAGGAAAGACATCTACTTCTACATGTCTTGTCTTACCTAGATAGAAAAGTAACAAAGGCATTTAAGTTAGTATTAAAAGTAATTACCGCTTCGATCTTTCTTAAGTAGACTTAAGCTTTATTAGATATGCGATAAGATACTAGGCTTAGTTAATTGCTACAAGACACATTTTTTAAGCTTAGATAGAACCCTAACGAGCTATTAAGAGAGTTCTTACTACTATATAACCTTTAATTAAGAAGTAGATGTAAATTTATAGCATTAATTGCCTAATTTAAGCGACTTCTTAGGCACTTATAAGTACAACTCTATCACAAAGACACGCGTATCAGTGAACATATCAGCATGATTCCCTTCTCTTTTATAAGGTAATATTATGTCATCCCCACTCACATAGATAGATTCTTTAGGCGTACATTTTCCTTTTGCTATGAATCTAAAAGCTTCGAGTGGCTTCAACACTTTTAGTCTAGATGGGATTCTGCTGTCCGTGCGCCAACCTGAAACTGTCGATTTCATCCACCTTACCCTTACGAACCGCTTATTCTAACGTTTCTCAATTGAAATTCCACTACTCTAATCAATTTCGAAGGCTTCGTGTGAGCCGCAGGCTAGCACCCACGTATTACTATGTAAACTATGGTAGAGGTTTTGTTATTAAAAGAGCCGTGAGCAGGCGCTCGCGAACACACTTCGCTTCCCGAACGCAGTTTGCCTCCTCCAACCCAGAGCAAAGCGAAAGCGATGGGTTAGTTCCAACGATTAAGGCATTAAATGAGAAGAAAAAAAATTTAAGTTAATAAATTTTAAATACACTTTTAAACTATCAAAAGTACCAAAAAAACTATTTAAAACACACAATTAAACTTAGCCCAGCTTGTAAGTAAGTGAAGAAAAGCGTTTAGTTAACTACTTAATCACCCTTCGGCGGGATTGGAGCACTCCACGCAGAACCGCGAGCTTTAATACGGTCGCGGTCTTCGAAAATCGACCTAGCGGCTGCAGGGTTGCCGCAGGCCAGCTCAGCTGGAGTCCAACATCTGCCGCTATCGCAGCAAGTAAGCAGGCACACGCTGCCAGGAACAGGGCAGTCGGCGATGGTGTTGCAATGAGTGCCGCCGCAGTTATTCGGTATGTTACAGTACCCCAAGCCACGTTCGTCGGGCTGGCAGACACAGTAGGTTTGAGTATTGCAAATACCGGCTCCGACACACTGAGCTACGGCATTGCAGTTGCTTAAGGGGCGGCAGATGCCCTTATCGCATTTCGAATTGGCGGGGCACTATGGTGGTCGCTTTGTTACTAAGGCAGAGAGTAGGTTGTCACAGATATTCAAACGTACAACTTTTCCACACGCACCGCAATTCTTATTGTCAGTGCTGGTCTCGTCACACTGGCCGTTGCAGAATTGTTCAGTTAGAGAAACCTTCTGTGGACCACAGATATAGCAGGGTCCTTGTTTTAGTGCGGCAAGAGCTACACACAGGCCGCCTCCAACGACGTTTTTACCGTAACTATCCAGGCACCATTTTAAGCAGCCGTCAATTAGAGTGCGATCCTCAATCACTAGCGACAGGGCAGTGGTAACTGTGTCTCTTAGTTAGGCAGGTCAAGGAAACACGAACGTAACAGATTATTTCTTGTAGGCTTACTAAAGAAGAGCAAAATGAAGAATCTAGTCATTATGAATTTAGGTCACTGTTAAGATGCAGATTCTGTTATGTGTTAATTGACAACGGACGGCCGTTTGCATGTCATGGGAGTGGAAATTTGGACTTTATATAAGGTAGTTAGGATTATCTAGATGTTAACGGGGACCTCAGGTCATCGATCGGTCAATGGTCTTTAGAACTCAACTGCTGTGACGTGACACAAGTTATCGATGGCACTGACACTCGGTCTTGGGTACCGTACTGGCATTCAGCTCTTGGCGCTATCACCTCTGGCATCGGGAAGTCCCATCGTTAACATCAATCTAGACGGGCCTGACTGAGCCTCCGTCATAACAACATCTCGATCTGCTCGATTTCCTTTCGCAGCTACCGTAGTAATGTTACCATGTGGAATGAACCGTCTTCAACTACTGCCGTATTGCGAAGGAAGATCATGTCACCATCATCACCACTACCACAGCACCCACCCAGGTCAGTCCAATCCCTTACAGCAGCCTCATCTCATAATCCCCATCCGCACAAAATTTTAAAATTGTGCAAAGTCCATACATGCAAGCTTACAGCATAACCCCGCCCCGCCGCGGCCGCGCCAAATCCAACCTCCATCCAATCCATCCCAATTCTGAATTTATGCTCATTCCGGAAGGGGGAACCGCACCCCCCGGTCAAGTGGTGTGTGAATGATGTGGTTGTTTCCTTTCGGGTAACAGGGCGTCAGTCAGTCACTAGAACGACGCTAGAGCCAATCACCCGGACGCCACTGCCATTTCAGGGGTAGTGCGCTGGTTGGTTCGATTTATGTTGTATGCAGGGCGAAGGGAGAAGTGGAGATGGGCTGGGTGGTAGGTTAGCTCTTCCCGTGACAGACAACAGAACAGTATATTAGTGGAACTGAGAACGTACCATTAGTAGTAACACAACCAAACCGGCATTTCTGTGGGGAAACTTGTAGATTAGGTCGACGGTTTTAGAATGACGTCGACGAAAAGATCAGATCGATTAGCGAAACGAAATTCTGCCCACGGGGAGTTGGAGTTGCGAAGTTTGCCTGAATCACTCGACTTTCGACCCAGCCGATTGTGCTAGACCAATCAGGCACGCTAGATCATTTGTCCCGCACCTTTCTGAACACATTTTGGCTCTTCCTGGCGATCTGAATCTGGCAATCTGGCGATCTTTTTGGCTGCTGCCGTGCAGATTCAGGCTCAGCGATGATCAATCTACCTCGAGAGACTTTGGAATTTGTCATCCGCATTCTTCCTAATAGAACAGATAATTCTTCAAATCTTCTGCAATAAGTATATATGTTGTGTGAAATCAAGCTTTACAGCTGACGGTGCTCCCCGCCTATCTTCCGACCAAAATACCTTCCTCCCTTCCCGCCTCCTTTTTGTCCTCCAACACATCAAGACCCTGCGCATATGTCACAAGTCATCGTACGTCGTACAGTCGCTGCGAATGCCAGTTATAGTATACGTGGACGGGATGCCCAATTCTCTTGAATATATGGTCGTATGTGGAAGATGTGGATGTATCCATGCTTTTGAGGTGAGTGAACTTTGCGCAGGATACAGACAACAGGCTGGACTTCCCACACCCTTACTCCCCACCACTACTTGATCTTCGTTAGGCCCAACCGGCCGTGAGTGGACGGCGGTGTAGTGGGGTATCATGTATGTATTCGTTATCCAATTATTCATTAGTGACGGTGGCGATCAGCCCTGTCTCTGTCCCTATCACTACTCCTGTGTCTGTGCCTATGTCTCCGCCTCTCTCGACTCCTCTCTCGATCTCGGCTCCTATCCCGATGTGACCGCCTCCTCGACTCACTATGGCTGGACTTCCGATCCTCGCGATGTCGGCTCTTCGATTTATCCTCCGATCTATCCAGAGAAAACCCCTCAAGTTCATCATCCGGGTCGTCGCGAGCCTTCCTCCTCGAACTAGCCTTCTCCATCTCCAACATCTCCTTTTCCCGCTCCTCCTGCCACTGTTTCCTCTCCTTCGCCACCTGCCTAACCTTCGCTGCTCCCTGCCTCATGGCAGCCAATGGATCGTTTGATACAATCCTCGTAGCTTCCCTCTCTTTCCTCCTTGGATCCTCATTACCCCAAACATCTTTGCTGGGCACCTCGAGTGGCTCATCGACAGCAAGGCCCGCCTTACCAGAGGAATACCACGGGCTCTCTAACCCCTTCTTAAACCCAGCCGCATCAGAGAATTTGACCGTGTAGTTATCAGCGTACTCTTTCTTCCTCTTCGCTAGCTCCTTCTCCGCTTGGAGCTTCTTCGTGTCGTCCTTGGGCGCTTTTGGGCGCTCAGAAGGGAAGAGATCTATGTGCCCCGACTCATCCAGTAGGGGTGCCTCAGTAGTCGGTTTCCTCAGAACAATCTGTGTATCCTCGCTCGCTGATATCTTCTGCTCCTTCGCCACCCTCATCTCAAAATCCGTGTCATCTTCTCCCGCCCGCTTCCTCTTCTTCTTTTCCCTGGCTGGACCACGCTCTCTTGGCTCTCGCCCGGATTCATCGTGCGCTTCATCGATCTCTAGCGGGGGCGGGGTTTCGCCGCGTAGTATGGCTATTCGGCGTGCGGCATCGATCTCTTGCATGCGCTGCTCCTCGGCCTCTTCTTTTGCCTGCGCGATAGCCTCGTCGCGCTTGACCTTCTCGATATTATCGGCATTGTAGACATTCCACGATTTCTTGCCTAATAAATGTCTGTATTCCCATCAGCTTCAGTTCAAGCCAGCCCATAAAGTTAGCTACGGGATATGTATTACTTACAAAGGCATGATAGGCAGTGACAGCTCGTGGCTGGAGAGTTGTACAAACGTTGTGCCGTCGAGGCTCACGTGGGGACGAGGCTGAGAGTATGATCCCGCCAAGACATTGGAGGGGCTAGCGGCGAGACCGACATAAAACCCGCCCACCAGGTGCACAGACCCAAGGTTACTGAATGCTGATGCCGAAGCTCCAATCGTCTCTTGGGACAGAGCAAGCAATCGCAATAAGAACGGAGTACACCATTTCCAAGGGAGCTTCATATTTTATGCCATAAGTTAGAACGAAGGAGAATATATCAGCTTCATTTGCTTTTTGGGAAGACACCGTTGTCTTTATAACCAGCCTTTCTCCACTCGCCGGCACCTACGTAAGAGGAGACACGGCATCAGGACAGGTCGTCACCATCGTTAGGACACATTTCAGACTTAGCTGAGCCAATACAACCTTTATCTTCCATTTGTGAGTCATTGAGATATAACTATTGATTTCTTTTACTTTCGACGGAAACTGGCTAATACGGTGTTATCAGAGTCTCGAATCCGATAGCTTCTCTGCGGTTGCACTCCGACTCAGCACGAACCACAATGTTCAACAGAGACAACCTCTTTGGCAAACCTCCGAACGCTGGGAGAGAACGACAGCCAAGTGGACCCCCGGGTCAGAGAAATAGCCCTCACGACACACAGATGGGCGGTTACGAGGACCCACGAGGAAACTACGGAGGTGGCGGCCAGCGCGGACCGCCACCACCAGGGCCAGGATACCCTTCCCCTCAACAAAACCGAGGGATGCCCCAGAGGACTGCAGTTGGACGAAATGCTGGCATCTCGAAGCAGCTGCAGCTCGGAAAGGTCGAGGATAAGACTACGCAGGATAGATATGTATATGGCAACATGTAAGAATCTCCGTATGACAATGACGAAGCTCTCGTGCTGACCGGGTTTAGAACGGCGGTGTCGCCCCAGGATTTCCCTCCTAGCCAGGATGGAGGCGATTTATATATTCTCGTTAACCGCACTCATGTTGTTACCGCGAGGCCTACGGCTGGTTTCCCCCCTGGGTTAATCGGATTAACTGGGCCACAACGATCATGGTGCGGGATCAGTCTCACGGAGACTGTTTTGGCCGAGCTCTACGATCCGTTTGGAGAGCAAGGAGGACAAAGTTACCTGGCTGCGATGGATGTCGAGATTGGGTTTGCGGCGAGAAAGACCACGGAAACTCCATACGATCAAGATATGTTGGAAGCTTACTTCAACAAGCTATTTGGGAACCAAGTCTTCGCCCCCGGACAACAGCTGGTGATGGACCACAAGGGAATTGTGCTGAGTCTTAAAGTCAAGACGGTGCAGCTCGGTAACCTTGGCATGGAGAAGCCCACAGCGTCCTCGGGACAGGTGGTTTCGAACCCTCAAGCACGCGGTATTCTGACTACACAGACCAACATCACTTTTTACAAGGATGCAAGCTCGCCGATCAAGATAAAGGCTTCGGCAAAGAAGCCACCGGCGAACTCTATCATTGCGCCAGACTTCAAGTTTGAGGATATGGGAATTGGTGGATTGGACGCTGAGTTCGGCGCCATTTTCAGGAGAGCGTTCGCCTCGCGCATTTTCCCCCAGGGTCTGATCGAGAAGTTGGGCATTCAGCACGTGAAGGGCATTCTTCTGTTTGGGCCCCCCGGAACCGGAAAGACCCTGATCGCTCGTCAAATTGGAAAGATGTTCAACTCCAGGGAGCCGAAGGTCATTAATGGTCCTGAGGTCTTGAATAAATTTGTCGGTCAATCAGAAGAGAATATCCGAAACCTCTTCGCTGATGCCGAGAAAGAATACAAGGAGAGGGGTGATGAGAGTGAGCTTCACATTATCATTTTCGACGAACTTGATGCTGTATGCAAGCAGAGAGGCTCTGGTGGCGGTGGCGGCACTGGTGTTGGCGACAGTGTTGTCAACCAGCTGCTTGCCAAACTTGATGGTGTGGACCAGCTCAATAATATTATCCTGATTGGTATGACCAACCGAATGGATATGATTGATGACGCCCTGCTTCGTCCTGGACGTCTGGAAGTTCACATGGAGATTTCCCTACCCGATGAATCCGGCAGACAGGATATTCTCAACATCCACACGATGAAGATGCGCGATAACCATGTCATGGACAACGATGTCAATCTGGCCGAGCTTGCCGCCCTCACCAAGAACTTTTCGGGTGCGGAAATCAGTGGACTTGTCAAGTCAGCCTCCTCATTCGCCTTCAACCGTCACGTCAAGGTCGGCACTGTCGCCGGCGTTAGCGATGATATCGAAAACATGAAGGTCAACCGCAACGATTTCTTAAGCGCGCTAGGCGAAGTAAAGCCAGCCTTTGGTGTCTCTGAGGAAGAACTCAGCACAGCTGTTCGCGGAGGTATCCTGCGTTACAGCCCACACATCGACTACATTCTCCAAGACGGCGAGCTCTTCGTCAACCAGGTCCGCAACTCCGCTTCGGAACCACTCCTCTCGGTCCTCCTACACGGCCCATCGGGATCTGGCAAGACCGCTCTGGCAGCGAAGATCGCCATGGAATCCGAATTCCCCTTCATTAAGCTCATCTCCCCTGAAAACATGATCGGCTTCAACGAAATGGCCAAGATCCAGTACCTCAACAAGGTCTTCTCCGACGCCTACAAGTCGCCCCAGAACATCGTCATCATCGATAACATTGAGCGTATCGTCGACTGGGTGCCTATCGGCCCACGATTCTCCAACCTCGTCCTGCAGACTCTGATGGTCTTGCTAACGAAGCAGCCACCCAAGGTAGGCCTAGCTTCAATCTCCGCCAGTAACTATGAAACATCTGCTAACACATCACCAGGGCCGCCGTCTTCTAATCATTGGCACCACAACCCAGCGCTCCATCCTCCACCAACTCGACCTCGCCGCGAGCTTCGATCGCGAGATGGCCGTACCGAACGTGAACACGATCGAGGAGCTCGAGAGAATCTGCCAAGAGACAGTCGCCTTCGACTCGCCAATCGAGCTGCAGCAGAGTCTGAGTGTGCTGCGCGATACTTGCGGTTCCGGCTCAGTCGGCGTGGGTATCAAGCGTGTGTTGCTTGGTATTGAGACTGCGAGACAGACGACGGGTATGGAGAGGGTGAATAGGTTTGCGGAGGTCATCTCGAGTATGAGGGCCAGTGGGGTGATGGAATAATTATGGGGGGTAATAACAGAAATGGTATTGATGAAATGGGTTCAGCTAGCGCATGGACGTTGGGAGACCAAGGACGGGGAGATGGAAAGTGCTGTAGATAAAAATAAATTATCAGGATAGACTCCAGACGCTAAAATTTACCGCCTTTCATTCAAACTTCAGTGTACAACGTAAACTTTGAGATGCATTTCATACAGGTAGGATGTAAAAGATAACGAGCTTGATCAAACATATTCGCTAGGGTATTGTGCTTGCTCGCAGTCATTAAGATATATTCCAGATCATAAACATGCTTCCCTCCACTCCAAGTACATCCAGTCATATATCCAATGATGGTGACCGTACTTAGACCTTTTGATTAACGACCCCTATGCACCTTCCTCTTCCAAGTTGCCAACAGGATCCCAGACACCCAAACCATTTCATTTACACGTTAGGCTTAAAATTCAATCCACAAACAATTCCAAAATCCTTCAGTTCCGCTCACACAACCGCTCAAACCAACCTCTCTGCACGGCTTCTGATCTCCGTTGGGCTCAGCCCTGCAATCCACAGACACCTATCTGTCAGCCCCGGCACAGTCTGGAACTTGTACCCTGTGCTGCTTTCTAGGTACCTGCTGAATAGCTGTACAACTGTTGCCTGGGCACGGCACTTGCTGACGTTGATGAGGGGTGGGTCAGTCGGGGTGCTAGCAATATAGCTTGGCATATCCTTTAGCACGGTCAAGTCCTTTGCGTAGATCACAACCAACGGGAGGCATGCGCGCTTGCCGAGAACAGACTCCATCTCATCACGCAGGCGGCGGAAGTTGTTTGCTGGTTGGATCAACTCCTCGAACTCACGGAGAGATTGAACCTCAGCTGCTGGTACATGCTTCCAAGTTTCGTGGAGTTCCGCAATTACAGGGTTGCTGACAGCGACAGTAAGCTGGAAGAGCGTAGCATAGTTGCCCAGCTGGCGACAGTGCACAGCGATCTCAATGAGCTTTGCAATTGTCCTGGCCCGTTCGTTGATATCCTGAGTAAGGATGATTTGAGAGATTGCCCACTGCGTCATGATACTGCTTCGTGCTCCACAAATTTCAATGCCATGGCTGACTGTATCGTCTTCTTCCATCTGTTGGAGGATCTGGAGAAATTTAGGCCATGACTGACATGCCGATGCCGCTTCGTGAGACCACTTCATCTCGAGGAGCTCTCTAAAATGGATTTCACCTAATGCTTCTTTCTCGATGAGGGTAAATTGCTCAGCCACAATCTTTGGGTCAAAATGGAGTATAAATGGCATGTGCTCTTCACTGTACAATGGCCCAGTAGATATAGCCCCGTTAATATTTTGCCTCTGTTGTGTCTCCAAATGATCATCGCTGTACCATGATCTCATAGCAATATCTTTGCCGCCTTCCCCATATGTTGGTGTAATATCTGGACTTGGAGGGAATAGGCCTTGGTATTGACCTCCAGTGGGAGACATCAATAATGCTTGCTCCATCGTCATCGAGGGCTCTTTCGTCTGTTTAGAAATCGGAGGAATTTCTACTTCTGTAATGATTGCGCCAGGATGAATAGGCGGGTGTGTGTTACTGGAAGGATTCCCAAGGAAGTCATTAGTTGGGACTTCTTCTAATGACATTTCAGACGACAGATCGCTATGATTGTCGTCGTAATCATCGTAATTGTTGGCATCGTTATCATCGCCAATCTGAAGAAACGATTCGTTTACACTCATTTGGCGTGGGAGAGTGCCTCCAGCAGGTATTTGATTTGAACTCTCCGTCTTATTCACGAAGTCAACTAGCGTCTCGGACTTTTCAGCGCCATGGTGGTCGACCGTCTCTCTATCGTGGCTGGGACCAAGGAGTACAGATGTATTCCTCCAGTTTCGGCTTTCGTCGTCATCGGAGCCATATCGAGATCCGTCGCGCTGCAAAAGAGGTATTGAATTTTGTGACTCCCGAGAAATATCAGGGACTTCTCGTACAGGAGGTCGATAAACAGTGGGCTGGAGCTCATATTGTGAATTAAAGCAGCTTCGTTGTCCGGGCTGATCAACCTCAGACGCTCCATCGTTGTCAAATATTGCCTCCTCAACAACATGATTGTGCTTGTGCTGATGTTTCTCTGCTTCGATAATTAACTCCCCAGTGGTTTGATCATCGTTGTCGTAAGTTTCTTGTCGTGGTGGTGGAATAAATTCTGGAGACAAGCTTTGGGACGAGATATCGGACTTCCTCTTCTCATACCTTCCCTCAAGTTTAAGTAGAGCAGCTTCTACTCCGCCATCATCGTCGGTATCATCAGGGATTTGAGCCAATTTTGCAGCCTCGGCTTGAAATGAGGGCCGCAGGGCTGGCTTGGACGAGGTGCTTAACAGAGAAATTCTGGGCTTTGATGTGCCCTCAGGGTCCGCCAGAGCTCCGACGGAGAATATCCGGGGGTTGCTCTGGGCCCTATCATTCTCGCCCCTCACGTCAGCATAGCTTGTAGAACCACCGCCCAGAAGATATGAGCTTCTTATGGAATCCGAATAAGTGGTAAGAGATCCTGATGAACGATGACGCCTTAGTGGCAGTTCGCCAATGTTTTGAACGGCGCGGAGGTCACCCCCAGGTCGTCGCCGGAGGACGCGATTGCCAGGTGCATGTGTTGATCCAACCGAGGCTCGATCTACAGAGTCGGAAATCGAGGTAGCATCAAAACTTCGTTCAGTCATCTGATTCGTATAGCCACTGTGGAAGGAGGCTATCCGTCTTAATGATGTTGATCTGCGATGCTTATGTCGTTTGGCACGGGAGTGCATTGACGGATTATTCAATGGTCTGAAGAATGGACGTGTGTCAAAATCACTCGAAGGGCTGAGCATGTCGAGGGTCAGTGATGGTACTTGTGCAGTGGGCGAGGGGCGACCATAATTTCCCAGGATGTGCGACGAGCGTCTAGGAGATCCCAAAAATATCTCAGGCGGCGTGACTGGCGGAGTCGGGGCAACTGATCGATTATTGAAGGAGTCTGTGAACGCATCTGTAGATGGATGGCTAGGGAGTGCACCGGACATCATGGCTATATCGCGATCCACGTAACCGTCGTTACCATCATCCAGGAGAAAACTCGTGTTGTTTTGAGTCTGCTCGGCATCCTCATTATCAGGAAGGAGAAAGCTGGTATTCTCTCGAGGCTGGGGCGAGTCGAGGTGGCCTGGCACAAGCCCTGATAAAGAAGTCGAACATGCGGTAATGGTTGCCTTGTCCAAGGATCGCCTTAAAAAGTCACTCCCGGCAGTAACATTAATCCTCCGCACCCAAGGCTCTGGACTTTCGTTCGCTTTTGCTGCATTAATTTTATGTTGCTCGATAGCCTTTCCAAAATCCGATTCAACGAACTTGCTAAGTATATCAGGTCTCATAGTAACTGGCTTCGGTGGGGGTTGCAAAGGTGATTGCTCGGTGGCCATTCCACCTAGGCCGAGACTGGCCAGCTCAATATCATCAACTGGTAGTGATAAGCCCGGGAATCCAAGCGTTAGCGGTGACGTTGGAATTGGTTCAGGCTTGTTATCGGCCCTGGTACTGACTGCGCGCCGGACAGTGCCAAACATTCTCTTCATCCCGAGGCCTTGTTGGTTGGTATCTTGCTTTTGGGCCCCTGTCTTCTTGTTTGGAAGAGAAATCGGTCGGTTCTCGGAATGCTCAGCAGTCGGCAGATAAACGTGCCCAGGAGGGAATACGAGGCCTCTAACAAGGCTACCAGCGAATCGATCAACCAATGTCAAGCCTGCCTCGCCATTTGCAGCTTCTTCGGCGTCGGCCTCCAGGTTCCTATCAGGCCGAGAAGAGTTTGAAACACTGCGGTGGCGCTGGAAACCTTGCCCTGGACGATACGACTTTGGCCTGAGTGCCTTTGGTGTGTGTGCAACTGGGAGGGTACTGTCACTTTGAGATGCTGCTGTTACTGGGTGGGCTCCCATGGCGGCTCCAGCAGAAAATTGCCCAGTCTTTGACGATAGGGGCGGGATAGAGCATGACAAAGCTTCCACGCTGGTAATGCTGCGTGGGGAAAGTGGCTCAGGATACGGCAACTGAGTCCTGTTGCCACGTGGTAAAGACGCCTGTTGAAGTTGAGCTTTGTTGAACTCAATAGGAAATTCGGGGGGGGCGGTTGCAAAGAACCTATTGGCAGAAGGTGCGGCCGGGAAATCGTGTAGTAGATCAAGATCAACCATTGGGGATTTTGATAGCGTAGGATCTTCGAAATCCTGGCCTGGTGTCTGTGACAGTAGGAGGTCGTCCCAAAATTTCGGAGTAAGTTGTGGATTTCTAGACCCAGCAATGCCACCTGGAGCGATAGGAACCAGGGCATCCAGGTCGCATGCAAATTCTGGGCCATCCCAGTACACAGCACAAGAATCCCTCCACAGCCTCTTAATATTTGATAGGATATCGTTTGTCGTCTTGCTGTCGGTTCTAAGCAACGCTTGCTTCTTAACCATTGTATTCACCAAGCCGCAGAATTGAACACGTAAATCATAGTCAAGTACGAAATCGTCGGCGAAAAAGTTCACCAGCCAATGCCGAATAACTGTGAAGCATCTGACAGTGACGACAAGGCCATCAAAGGCTCTATCAATGCCCCACTCTAACCTTGCCATTACCAGTAAAAGAAGGTCGGACCCGGAGATGTACGAACGGTACGTTATAAAAAAGCTTGCAACCAGCTCGTAGGAAAGCTCTTGCGTCACCTCGGCCACAAGACGCGCAGGGGTCGCAGCAGTGATCATATCAGTTTCGGACATTCGTCTGATGACTGAACGGTCTTCACATCGCGGGGGATAAGTCAATGCATCATACATCTCTGGAACGATTTGACCTTTGGGCATTATGTTTGGAGAGGTGCGTAGCAGTCCAGTCGGAGGCAGTCGAAGCTCATAAGTTGACTCCACGTCGCCTGGGTGGGACACAACCGATTGCCTCATTGAATGAGAACTTCGCGGAAGGTTAGAGCGTCGCATCCGTGCCAACATATCAGTATCTCGTTGAGACATGAAGCTAGACCGATGCTCAACTTCGGTCCCAGCATATGATGATCCTCGCATAAATGGCGTTCCTCTATTACTGAAACGTGGAGTGCCAAGTTTATATGATGGGATTGGAACCTCAAGAGTGGGCGTGCGGTGGTGGCCCCCGGATGTCTTTGGCCTTCTTCCATCGGCGCTTGGTCGCTCAATAACAACCTTAAATGCCCCTAAATCAGAGTCTTGGATGGCAGATCGTTGATCGTCTACTGTAGAGTAAGAGTGTGTTCTTCGGTGCCGATTTGTGGATGACTGCGCTGGTGTCGAATTGGTGTCATATAACCCCGGATTGGCGGGCGTCGACATTGATGAATCGGCGCTCAACATCGTGTCTCTATACGACCCTCTTCTCTCTTTCCTCGCGTGCGCTTCATCCAATCCCGCAGTATTTGGAGAAGAGTTTGGAAATGCAAATGGAGGCTGTGGATATCGCTGGTGAGCAGGCCGTATCCGGGGTCTGGTAGTGGTTAGCTTGGACCCTGACCCAGTGGAGGCCCCCGCGTATGTCAACAACCAGGAAACGTGCACTCGTCGAGCAGGAAAAACGTGCAATCGACGGGCAGAAAAAGCTATGGGAATTCGGGGAAAGGCAGGTTACGGTCCAGACAGCTGCGTACCTTAGGTATATCCTCCCATTATTTCCAACCTTGGAGATCGTAAACTGTTTCCCTCCGATCACAGCGTTGGCATTCTCCGCGCTGACATCCCTCTTCACCTCTCCAAATGATCCATTCGAGCGAATAGGCGAATTCTGCGTCTCAAACGCGTCGTCGTTGTGTCGGTTTATCTTGCTGCTCTCTTTGGCCATATCTCCCGTTCCCGGCATCGTCACATCCGATCTCGCAAACGGCTGGGCAGGGAAGCTTGTTACATTCTTCACATCTTCAGCCGACGTCGTAGCTCGTAATGCCTTCGTCGGCGAACCTCTGAGGGCCAGTCGATCAAGCTGTCGCTGTCGTAGTCCTTCCGCCATCATCGTGCCGGGCGCCGACTGGGCTATGGGGAAAGGAGCAGGGGCCTCCCCCATGGCCGCGAACCTTGCAGGCTCTGCGTCAACTGTGGTGATCCTCGTCCGAGTCTATGATGCATTTGGCATTGTCGGCAGGCTATAACAACGACATTTCAAAGAATGCGAGTTCCAAAAACCTCGCAGTACAATAAATCATACGGACGCGAGAGCTTGGAGGGAGAGGAATCATCGAGGGAGGCAGGAAAGTGCATGGGTTACCGAGAGGTCCTAGCGCGGATGGCTGGTCATGTTGGTTGCTTTGACCCCTTGGCATCATCTCAATCCCGCAGCTACTCATGCGCAACTTTAATATGCCGGCGCGTCAGATTGGACCATTTGGGCATGATTTTGTAGAATTTTGATGTTGCATATTGAAGTTCCATATTGTGAATTCAGGCTCTCAGGTTCTCAAAAATAAATCATGGTTATCAACAGACAGAGAAGAGAGGGAGAGGCTCTTCAAATCTGATTTTCGTGATCAGTCACTGTCATGCAAACGTGAGATTTCAAGAATCCTTTTCATTTTCTATCTGCCCCGGAATTTATCATCGTGGGCGCTGCCATGGTATTTTAAAACGAGAAAAAAAACAAGAAGACTCCAACAGACCAATTCCAACAACAGACGCCAAACCAGAAAACTCCGTCGCAATGCCACCCCTGTATGCTTCCCAAGCTCCCACAAACCAGAACAGTCCCATGTACAAACCAGTATCCCACCGTAAACTCCCAGCTCCCCGTCGCCCTGCCTAATCCCACAAGCCCCGGCGCCTCAGCGCGAAATCCAACATCTCCAGAATCCTCCGCGACCAGAAAAAAAACCAGACCCCGACCAGAAGACAAACCAGCTCCAGAATCCTCCACCACCAGACAAGAAAACAAACCAGAAACCCAACCAGGAAACAAACCAGAATCCCAGCGCACAACGCGCAAGAACAAGCTCCGAACCGCACCAAACCACCCGCATATTCCCAATCCCATCTGCTGGTGCCACCGAAAACCAAAGAACCGAATGAACCCATACCGGAATGCCGGCGGACGCCCAGTCAGGAGCCATCGGGTCAGAGCATCACTTTCTGACCCTCCGGACAACCCAAAAGAGCCCATACCGGCAGACACGGCGGACGTCCAATCAGAACCCGGAAGACGGCGGCGGAGGAAACCAGCAACAAACAACAACGCTGTGAGCCTGGCAATAACGCCTAGGTCTCACCACCACCAATCCAAACCGAACGACGGAGCGGGCCAGGCCACGGGCGACCGAAAATCAGGAGGACACCCCGACTGGACCCATATCGGATCCAGCCGACGAACATCCAGCCAGGATGCCCCCCATCATCTCGTCGAAGTCGCGGTCGGGGATGTTGTCGACCATGGCCATCACGTCGTCGGAAATGGCGAAATTGGCGGGGGCGAAGTTGTCGTGGCTCTCGGGAGCCGATGGGAGAGGGATGCCGATTAGAGCCTCGAATTCGTCGCGAGGAATCGCGTCGACGATCGAGGTGATGTCGAAGTCAGTGACGCCGACGTCGGGCGAAGCAAACAGTGCTTGTAGCTCGTGACTCGGGATTGAGTCAACGAGCGCACCAACGTCGACGCCGACGTCACTGACAACGGCATTGGCAGCGGGGGTTGGTGGGGTTGGTGACTCTCCTTCGTCGGAGTAGTCGTCGGAGTCTGAGAAGTAGTTGACGCCGTATACGAGCCCCACCATCCCTTCTGGGAGGTGGGTTCTCGGGTTGATCTCCAGGCCGGCCCACTCGGGGGGGTTGACTCTGGGCTTCTTTCCTCCACGTCTGGCCGGAGGAGCACTGGCAGGCTCGTTGGCGACCATCGGAGCTGGAGCGGGCTCATCGGCGGTCTTGGGCGCGGGCGCAGGAGCAGCGGGGGAGGGCCTCTCGGGCTTGTCGGTGCCCATCTTGGGCACTGGGCGGGGCGTGGCAGCAGCAGCCTCTTCGTCGGCCTCTTCGCTGATGGTTGGGACTCGTGGGGGCGATGCGTATCGTTGGGCCCTGGCGACAGGAGATCCTCTCATGGGGGATCTTCCGACCCTCTCTTGTGAGAGGAACCTAGCAGGCTCACTGGCGGCCATGAAGGCTTCTGCGCGCTTCTTTTCGGCAATGGCCCTCAGGGCACGTTTTTCGCGCTTCAGTTGCTCAAGACGAATTCTGTCGTTAACGGCCTTCCCGGCAGCCACAAGCTGAGATTCTCTCAGGCGCCTTTGGTTCTCTTGTTTGGCATGAGCCCGAAGGCCCATCTGGTAATCATCTTCATCAATCCCTCGGTCGCGGCGATCTGCGAGTTGTGCTTCGTGAATGAGGTCTCGCTGCTTGATTTTCCAGCTTTTCTTGTGCAGCTGCCACTCCTTTGGCAACATGTCGAATGGCAATCCTTGCAATGAAACGGGAAGGTGTCCGTCGGCTGGGCCACTGAAGTCCGGGGCGGATCTTGCCGTGATCTTTCTGCGGCGTGGGTTGCGTGGAGGAGGCAGTGGTTCGCCGTCACATCGATCGATTGGTTCGCCGGTGTCGCTCTCAAATTCAAAATCCTCATAAGGATCAGATGGAGATGGCGCGCGGTATGTTCTGCCAGTCGTGCTGGCTAATTGGTCGAACCTGTACTTTCCAAGTACGCCAACGAGCTCATCGGGAGTCGGGACTGTGTCCGAGTGTTCGTTAAACCAGCCAAGTGCGGCTTTCACTGCTATGAGGATATTAGCATCACGAATCGGAATCCGGACAAGTTTCCGGCCAGGCTTGACAACGGGACCAGGGACAACGGGTGCCGCCGAAGGAGAGACAGGAATAACGGGACCCGCTGAATGAGAAACAGGAATAATGGGGCCCGCCGAATGAGAAACAGGGACAGCAGGTGCCGCCGAAGGAGAAAAGGGAACAGAAGGGACTGCCGAAGGAGAGAGATTGGAAATAGAATAGCAGTGATCCGTACGTTTACCCTTGCGCTGTGGTGAAATGTCAGTGAGTGAACTTCAAAAAAGAGCGAAAACAATTGGAAACTCACGTCTTCATTCGAGTCATCGGACTCTTCTTCCTCAACCACCAACATACCACTGTTACCTTCGGCCCACCCGACGTAGCGAGTGGAAGCGTCGTATGAGGGCAAGCTGACAGGTCTGAGCTCCTCAGTGAACCTGTACGCAGCTTTGGCTGCCTCCTCATCGTCGCTCCCACACTCCGAAGGAGCCTTCAGAGGAACAACATTGCGACGGCCGAGCTTGAGGAGCTTCCTCAAGTCAGCCGCGCGCCGCTGCTCCCGAATCAGGTCTTCTCCAGAGCGCTCGTGGAGGACAGCTGACGCCAATGCGCCGCCATCGGGCTGGACGGGCCCGCCGGTGCTCTTCACCACCTCCTGCCCCGAAGGGCTTTCGGTGGTGGATAGAGGTGCCTCGTGAGAGGACACCTCAGGGGATGGGCTGGAAACCCCATCACCCTCAGCAACCGGACGGGGTGACTCCGTCCTGAACCCCAGGTACTTCAAGGCCGAAGCCCCCACACGCAAGACCGAGGCTCGAACCCCCGAAGGAGTCGTCACGGCCGGCGCGGTCGGTGGAGGCGACAACCTCTTCTCCCGCTCCATCTGCCTCCGTATGGCCTCCCCACCTCGGTCCCCAGCTCGGAGCTTCTTGGCTGGTCTTGCGACCGACGACCTCGAAGACTCTCCGCCGGTTTCCTCGGCAGGCCCAACAACTTCCTCCAGTGTATCCTCCACCCGGGCGTGCTTGCCAATACCTCTTCCGAGTCGGGCTCGGCGTGGCTGGCTGGCAGCATCTGCGTCTCGCAGGGGGGATCTGGTGGTGGTGTTGTCGGGGACTTCGGTCCTCACCAGCGGTGATGAACTCCGCGTCCTCGCGCGAAGGGAACGGGTTTGACCCCGACCACGACGCGGACTGGCGGGAGCATCGGCGCCGCTTTCGGAGTCTTCGACCTTGTCGAAGTCCATCGGATCGGCAGTCCGGGATGATGCCTTGGGTGCTGCCTTGCCGGCAGCAGTGGTTCGACGGCCGCCACGGGCATGTCGCCGTGGGGCGTCTTTCAGCTCACGCGGCCCCCCTGGGGAGAAGCCGGTAGCTCGTGTGCGCCGTCTTGGCGCGGGCGTCATCTTCGACAGAAGGTTCTCGTGCTGAACAAAAAGAAAAAAAAAAACTGTCGTCACAACTGACGGACAGTGTTGTTGGCCGAGAATGGTATTCCGTGAGAGACGAAGCGATTCAAGAAAGAAGTTCGGGCGCGGTGAGCTCGGACCAATCGCTGGGATCGCGGATTGGTGGAGAATGTCTTGGCAGCACCGATGCTGAACTGGCAACTGGACAAGGATGTTAGTATAAGCGCGCGTTAAACCGAGAAGGGAGAAGCCAAAGTGAGAACACAATGAATGAGAAGACGATAGAAAGCTCGAGACTCACAGAGGATCTGATGGAAGAGGGTGGGTGAATGCGAATTTGATTGAAAGTGAAGATTGCTGTAAACATGTAAGCTTCATGAAATAATAATGATGTCAAAGTAACTCACACTTGATATCGAACAGAAGAACAGAAGTTCGATGGTTGCTGAATTCTTGCAGAGGTTCGGACGAAAAAGCTGCGGAGTTCAGAAAAAAGTCGATCTGGAGGGGAAAGAAAACAAGCGCTCGCGCGCGGGCGGGCGCGGACCCTGATTATATACCCCCCTTAGTGCGGCTGGGTGATTTGGCGTGCTGATCTGGCAACGGCTATCAACTACAACAAGCTATACTACCATTGTCAAGGGCAACAATACTATTTCGCAACGCCGGATTGGCTATTGTCTACGCCGAATCACCATCAACTCGCAGATCACCCACCGAATCTGGAATAGCGCAACGCATCAGATCAACATCCAGATCACCACGCTAGATTGCCGCCTCTCGGCGAGCGCCGCTGCCGCCTTTGATACTATTATCATTTTGCATGGCAACAACCACCGACCGTAATTTATTAAATTATAGAAACTTATAATTAAAAATTGAGACTTGAAAAATATATAATAATTATTACAGATTGTATTCCCGTAATTATAATGTAAACCACAGTTTGTTGAGCGATGCAAGCCGTTTTCCGTGCCTGATGCATTATTTCCAGGTGAAGTAGACTAAATATTATGACAATATTCCCGTGGCAACAACAATTCGATCAACACTTTCAGAAACTCCAACCCACTTTTCAAAGGTCGGAACCTCAAATTTTATTTTTAAAATGTAATTATTCAAACTATTAAAATTAACATAATACCCATGCAAACTGTACGGGTTCCTGATCACTTGCACCATTTACGAACATCTGGAATACCATCCCGTCCAACCGACAGTTTCAACAACCCCAGCTCAATTATCACAAGTCAGAACCCCAAAACTTTATTTCAAAATATAGTTCTTCAAGATCATTTAAAATTAACACAATACCTGTTCTAATAGTACATCTTCATGACCACCCAAACCGTAATACAAACTTTCAAACACCCCCAATCCCTCCCCCCGAACGGCCTTGCATCCAGCCGGCCACGCACCCCAGCACCAGACCGCTCAATCACGTAATAACAGGATCCAACAAATCAATCATCGCCTTGCTCAAGCTCTTAAAATCAACGGGCTTCGTCACATAACTGTTGAACCCGGCCGACACGCACTTGTCCAGAACGTCCACCATCACGTTCGCCGACAGCGCAATGATCGGCATGCGCGGGTATCCTTGCTCCCGCTCCCAACTCCGAATCTCGCGACAGGTCTGGTACCCGTCCTTTCGCGGCATGTGGAGATCGCACTGTGAAGAGAGAGTGAGTTAGCTCGTGTTCTGTAGGCCAAGGAGGTTATGTCTGAGAGGTTGGGAGGGGAGGAGGGGACGTACAAGAATAAGTGAATAAAAGTCGTGTGGCTTTGCGAACACTGTTTCTGTGCACTCGACACCATCCATGGCCTTTTCTACATGAATTCCTACTTTGCTGAGGAACTTCAAGAGGACCTTCTGATTGACCAGATTATCTTCCACTAGTAAGACCTTGAGACCCTTGTTCCCGAGCCGCTTCTCCACATCGAGGTAGTTTTGCTTCTGGGATGCGACAACATGCTGAGCACTCGAGCGGTTGCGATCCGTACTCAAATCCCTCTCCTTGTCCGGATCGAAGATGACAGCGAACCTCGACGGCTTCACCGGTTTGTAGATGAAGTTGAGCCGACCGTGCTTTGCCAGCTGGTCGTAGTCGTGGTATGTCGCCTTCTTCATGACCGATTGACGCTGGACGGGGTCGGAGAGGATAACGATGGAAGTTTCGGACATAGATGGCGTGTGGAAGATCTGGTCCATCATGATAATTATGTTCTCCGGTAACCGTAGGTTTAAAACTATGTGTGTAAAGATAATAGGGTCGTCGCCGGAGAGAAGTTTCTGTGCATCTTCGTGACTGGCCACAGGCGTAATCTGATAGGGTATATTTTTCGGAAGGGTCATCTCGATATGTTTCTTCGTCGCTTCGCGGCTGTGTGTTTGCGGACATACGACAAGGATAGAATATAATGGTGGGCGGAAGAGCTTCGTATGTTCGGGGAGAGGGAGAGACGATGCGCTAGACTGTGGTGAAGGCACGCTGTGATCGGTCGAAGCCTGTCGACTCTCCGGCGGCGATAGCTTCATCGTTGTCGAGTCTTGCGAGCCAGTTCGAGCGGACTGATTGAATTGGCAGAGGCTGTGACTTCCAGACGACCCTGACGAGTGCGTTGCCAGAGTGCGCAATGAAGGACTTGACGGGTTTGAGCTGTTCCACGAGATATTCTGTGGGGAGGTAGCGGCATTCTCGGCACTCGGAGGAATGGTAGGGGGCGACTGTGTCAGCCCAGAATTTAAAATCGAAGGACCAGGTCTTGCGGTGCTTGATACTTCTGGAGCACTCGAAGTTTGGCTTTCAGTCGTTCTCTTCATTAGTGGCGTCGTTGGCGGCTCTGGATGGTCGTCCTCGGTCGGTAGACCAAACTTAGCAGTGAAGATGAAAGTCGAACCCTTGCCTGGGACAGCGGTACCATCCATATGGCCACCATGGAGCTCAACCAGCTGCCTCGATATGACGAGGCCCAAACCGCTACCACCATGTTGACGTGTACTGCTGCCGTCAATTTGACTAAATGGCTTGAAGATAAGGTCGGCCTCCTCCTTTGTGAAGCCGCGTCCAGTATCCAAAATGGAATATTCCAGCATAATCTCGTTCTCATTAAGGAAGGCGTCATTATCGTGATAAACACGGCAGGTGCTGAAGACCTCGCCCTCCGTAGTAAACTTGATTGCGTTGCCAATGACATTCAGTAGGACCTGCCTAATCCGGACTCTGTCGCCCTTCACCATGGGAGGAACGTCGCTGTCAACTACGTAATTCAGCTCCAGGTGTTTGGAAATCGCCATTGTCGAGACGAGTTCGTTGACGTCTTCAATGAGTGACGAGGTGTGGAACCACTCATACGAGAGCTTCATCATCCCCGCGTCAACCTTTGACAAATCCAGAATGTCGTTGATGATCATAAGCAAACTGTTAGCACTCGTCTGTATGGTATTTGTATAATCAAGTTGCTCCTCGTTGAGCACCGTATCCTGAAGGAAGCTGACCATTCCAGAAATTCCAATTAATGGCGTACGGATTTCGTGTGACATGTTGCTCAAAAATTTGCCCTTCGATTCCATGGCCTCTTTCAGCTTCGTTTCGAGAAGCTTGTGGTCATTGATGTCAGTGCACGCACCGAACCACGAACCAGCGCCGCTCCCAAAGTTGATATTGTCGACCTCAACACATCGGACAAGATGCCAGCGGTACTCTCCCGACTTTGCCCTGAGGCGGATCTCCGTTGTGTAGGATAACCTCCCGTTGCTATCAGTCGTGACTTTGATGACGCCGTTCCTGGCAAGCTCTGACAAATCGGCGCTAGGAAGCTCATACACGGACTCGCTGCTTGAGCTATTCGTCCGCGACAGTGCCTGGTGCATCCCCTTTACTGTGTTTTCTGTGGCAGTCGACACGTTAGAGTGACTAGTCGTCCTTGAAACCTTCTCGGGCGAAGGAGGCATAGCTGCATCGAATGCACGACGGGATTTTCTAGACGAAGGAGTTGGTCGCGTGTCGGTTGGTATGCGACATCTTGCTAGGTCATCGGGGTGGACAAAGTCCATGAAGCCAAGACCAAGGACGTCGTCGAACTCCTGGCCAGTGTAAGATAGCCATTGCTCGTTGGCGAAGGTGATACCTTCATCCTCTGTAGCAGCGAAGATAATCTGGGGGATAAGGTTGGCGAGAAGTCGATGCTTGGCCTCCGAGGCTTCAATCTCCTCTTGCCTCGCAGCTTTGACTTCAGCGATGTGCTGGTCGTGAATGTCCATGTATGAACCGTACCACTGCACAATTACCCCTCGAGTATCCCGGCCGCCGACTGCACGAGTATAGAACCACCTATAATTGCCATCAAACCTTCTGATGCGTACTTGCATAGAGAATTGTTCGCCAGAACGAATAGCATGAGTCCACGCCTTAAGGTAATCTTCGCGCTCATCTGGATGGATACTGCTCCATGGATCTTGGTGCAGCTCTGTGACTGTCTGTCCGCGGAATGTGAGGTATCTATTATTCACCCACACTATCTCGCCAGTTTGGGGAAGCGCCACAAACAAATGTGCGGGAAGTGTATCGAGCATTAGCGTCTTCAGACGATCCGAAGGTGGAGGCATATCAACTGGCCCATACATGGACCCAGACCGGGATGGTGGGCTTGTTCCCAAAGCCCATGATGCTTTGTTTGGCGTTGTCATCGACGTCGGCTGCAGTGATTGAAAGGTTGATGCAAAATCCGCCCCGTACGAATGTAGCTGGGTGTGTTGTCGCTCAGACCGATTTATATTTTGCGAACTCGTCGCTGTCCGCAGGGCTATGCGCCGTGGCGACATCGTAGATTCGCTGCCGCCAGCCCTGTTTTTACCAGCATCTCGAGCCTCTCCAGTGTCCGTGCCTTGTTCCCTAGCGCCTTCGATTCGAACATGCCTTGCTGTCCCTGTCATCTGGGGTTCCGTTGAAGAAGCATCTGATTCTTGTCTTGACTTTGCCGAATAGATACCTTCCCTCTGATCACCAGCCGCCTGCTCAGAGGCTTCCTTCTCATCGCGGAGTGCTTTCAGTGCCTGTCTCGCATCCGGAGGCGAATAGTCCTTCGAGGACCTCCTTGCGCCTGTAACACTTGCCGCTGATCCGGTATCAAGCCGACCTACGCTGGGCCTTGTCTTTGCACTGGATTTTGCGCCAAAGTACCCATCCCCTCCTCCACCTCCAAAGAAGCCTGGGCTATTCGCAGATGGTTTCCTGTCCATAAAAAGCCCCACACTTCCCGGATCCCAGAGGGGCGTGCCTGGTGGGGAGCCATGAACGCTTCTTGACTGGCCAGAATAGTCGCTTGGGCTTGTAAGGCTGCCAGCTCCTGATGTTTGGAAGGTCTCGTCCTCTGTTGGCGAGAATTTGGCCGACGTTCGTTCATTGGTAGTTCGGTTTACGTTTTGCGCAACCGCGCCAAATCCAGAGTTGTGTGGTCGCCTTCGAGACAACCCTGCGATCTCGTTCTCCAAATTCGTGTAATGCCTGCAGAGAGAAAAGGATGTTGCCAGATGGGGCGCTAGGTGCGCTAATGAGCGGCGGAAATTTGACGGATATGGAATAATAGGGCTGAGGATGGATATAATTGCTATAGGCAACTTCTTTTCTCTTATTGCAGGTTGTGCTTTAGGCGTTGTCTCGGTCTCATCCGTTTTGGATGGCTTTCCTCGTCCAGCATACCTTGAATCCATGATGGTGGAGTCAAGGCGGAAAGTCTGAACGGACTTCGAGAGCAAGACGTGGTATAGAGGTATATGCAAGACACTACATGACCGATCGATGCCAATAGATTCCAGCTGCTGTGTGCTGGAATAATCCTGAGGGGTTTGTGTTGGGTTAAACGACTCCTCATCGATTTTGGCATCTGCGAAAAATGGGTTTTCATTCGGATCTGCTCGCACGGCAGGAGATGGCGCTGGAGATTGTGACCATGGCGACGGAGGTGCTTGTTCATGTTCTTCGTATCTGAGGTTCGACGGATCCATTCCCAAATCTTGTGCATACAGCCCCAAACCGGACAGCTTTGTGCCCCCGCTTGCCTGGCCCTTGGCGGTACGGCCAGAGTGCCATGGAGACTTGTGTGTATTCATAGCAGATTGGGACCTTGATAGGGGTGACGGCCTTCCCTTCGAACTCGAGTCACCGATTGACTCGTGCAACTTGGAGTTTCTCAGCGCAGCCTTGCTTGCGTTTAAGTCGGCTTCGTTGCTGTCGATGAACGGGAAGTCTCTTGTCAAGGCAATTACCTTGCCTCGCTCCAATACCCTAGTCACCCCAGCGCTATCAATTAGGGAGTCTGCTTCAAAGTCCAGTGCCTGGAGAACTGGGAACACCCTCCCCTTTGTCTCCCGCGCACTTGTGTCATGGCTCTCCCAAGATGACGGTGGCCTTCTTGCTTCTTCTTCGGCTTGCTGGCCCTCGAGTTCTTGTAGATCTAATTGTACATCGCGGAGGGTTTGCGCACTGTTACCGGCTCCCGCGCGAGGATGTTGGCTTGACGGCCCTCCCAGGTAGCTTTTGCTTCGTGACAGCTGTGGGTTGGGCCTAGCCTCTTGTTTTGCGGCGTCCGTTCGAGACTGTGGTTGGCCTTTGGTGTCATCAATAGTCGTAAATGAATGCCTGGAAGGCAGACCGGGATGTGTGGCGCTTGCTGGAGGCATGGAAAAAGACCCAGGCTCGTCAGCATTGACGGACTCGGAATTAGAGGTATTATATGTCCCGCCAGTGCTCGGACCCAGACTGCTTCCCCGCGGCAAATATGATAAACTGAACGCATCCTCTTGAGCCGCACTGTATGTTGCTTTTTGTCCCCATGGAACATTTTCTACATCGGTAGAATCTGCTGGTATTGATAGCGTCACGCGATCGGCTTTGTAAAGGTCTCGCATTATCTCAACCACAGAATTCCACCACGGGTCCAATCCGGGCTCTGCAGAAAGAAGCAGGCTGAGGTCGTATAAATTCGGGTTGGGAAAGTTGATGTCCTCCTTTTGGTAATTTTCTTCTGGTGGTTGGAAATTGGAGATTGAGGAGGGTGTTGCTGAACCGGATAATATTTGTTCTCGTGTGTCCATATAAGACCCCCCGAGATCCCTGCCAGGCACAACAGTCGGCGAAAGTGTAGTGAATGGCTTATGCCCACCCAGAAAGCTTGAGGTCTTCATCGGAGGGAAGGGATATGACGGCGTCCGTGTAGCGAGGGGCGCTGGGGTCTCTCCTCGAACAGTCTTCACCGACTCCGTCGAACTTGTCGCCGTATCCATAGGGCTCGCAAACGCGGCCTCGAGCGACGGCGAATTTGTTACTTCCTCATGGATGGGGGATACTCGAGATTTGCCGCCTGCTTTTTCACCACTTTTTTCTCCTCGTTCCAGCTCCGGCTTCACCAACTTCTCCCGCTTCTGCGTTAGCCTCAGCTGAAAATCCATCGCTTCTCGGAGTCGCTCGAGCTCCTCGCTAGAATTTTTGCCTCCTTTCCCCTGCAGCGGTGGCCCTTCCTTGCCATTTCGCTCTGCGGGTTGTGGCGATTTTTTGGGTGCGCCGCCTTCCTCTGGTACGGTATCGCTGGCTCGGTGTCCCGTCTGCGTGTCGCCGGTCGCGGAAACCTCGTTGCCCTTACTTGTCGTCGCCATGCCAGAGGAAGGGCCCGATGGTATCTCTGGCAGCCTCAATATTGGAGCATCCCTCGGGCTACGCTTTGGCGAGGACGAGGCATGCGATTCCTTCTTGTCGCTACTCGATCGCCGCGAGTTACTTGGTCGTCGGGAATGGGTGTGCTGCCGTACGCTTGGTGTCCCAGAGGGCGATTGTGGCGTTTTGGGCATGCCGCTTCCCCAGTCCACCACACTTCAACGGCTTACGACGAGGAAGAAGACACGCGCCAAATCACGATGGGGGTCGTCGTTGAGGTAGTATTGATGTTGTCTGTGTCGCAAAGATCGCAATTCGTTGGAGGTTCAGGAAATCTGCGGTGTTGGTGGCCTTGGTTTGAAGGTGCCGGGGTGGCTGTGGGCTTATGACGTCGTCAGGGTGCCACCCGGAACAGAATCTGAGGCGAACAGCGGGACCTGAATAAGGGGCAAAAGCGCGGACACAGCACCCAAGACGCAAGCCTCATAACGCAGAAATGAGTCTCTAATAATAATTAACACGGTATACTCCTAAAATCGTAGTTATAAAGGCGCTGCAACGTTTTTACATTTCTATCTTGTGGGAAAAAGCACTGGTTGACGACTTGGTCAGACGTCTTGAGCCTGGTCGCCGATCCACGCTACGAGTAGGGTGGTCATCTAGGGGTGTCGACCCAAACAAACCGCCCACCGTGCGACGAGTCGAGCGTTACCGTGGGAGAGAGGCACTCATGATACGAATACCCTCAAACAATATTATAATATTGTGAGGACAGTGAAGCAAGGGATAAAATGTCTGTGAGGGTGTTGCTGTTGGTCCCTTTGCACGTTCTACGATAGTAAATATGCTAATTATGGCTGTAGCAACGAACACCAACGACCTCTTTTCTCCGTCAAAATTGTATGGTAACCCCCACGAACAAATATCAATATGAGATGCATAAGTGTTCCAGATATTATTACCTGGGTCCCTTCACCGTCTACCCGACAGAAGGAACAAGATATGTATATCAAAAAAATTCGAACTCCCACAAGACAGAAAAGTTAAAGACGAGCAACTTCCACCACTAACCCCGGAGTATTTCCCTCATAGGCATCGCTGAACCCTGCGCTACTCTCCGAGTCTAGCATGGCTATCCTCCCCGCCATCGACCGGGCCCTTCAGCGTCCCCTCTCCATCGACAAAAAGTCCACAGTTATCCGCCCGACAGCCTGGCTCAAGTGGCTCCTCCTCCGCCTTTCTGGGTTCCGGGCATCACGAACGGCGCAGGTACGATGCACATAGAAGGCCGGATATCTTTCTCCGTTCTCTGTGTTCAAGACCCGGAAGGCCTCTTGTTTAACGTTAATATCGGCAAGCCCGTCGCGACAATGCCCGTGTCTGAGCACAACTGGCATTGTACGGTCATTATCGTTTCTGCACACAAGACAACTAACTTAAGATTACACCGAACCACTGGCTTTCGCTCCTCCACGCGGGCAACGACCTGCCTTTCTCCTTCCCTCGTTCGCCTTCCTTTTCGTACGCCGTATTCGACAGCAAAATCTAACAAACACTCGCCAATCAGACCCCACGCCAACGTCACCGAGCGCAGGCATTCTCACCACCATGCCCATGCTACAGGACCAGCATAACCTGCAAAATCGCCCAGAACCACGCCAGACCCGCGTCCAGCGACCAGCTGACACCGTGACACCCCCATCCCGACCAAGTAAATAGCGGCAGAAAAGGCCACTTATCCTCCACTTATCCCCCACCGCATAATTCCCCCGTAACCCGGCCAAGGGCGACTGAGACATTGATCGCGGACGCTCGGTACGGCACAGTAGTAGTTTACTACTGTAACCATCACAGTAATCCTGCGGCTGGGTCCATTCCGTAATCCATGTCGTACATCAGCCCCTTCACCGTGCTTCCTTCACCACTCAAACTACACAAGAAAAACCACTCAACAACAGCGTTTCCCCAGCCGCCAAGTCTCCCTCACCGCATCCCTGCTCATGACATCAGCGGCTTGACCGCCAAGGCCCTCCCCAGTCCCAGACGCATGGGTCAGCGACGCCCAACACGTCGATCATCACCCCATGTGTTCCGCCTGTCTCCATTCCTTCCCCGGCCACGCTCACATCACGCTAAGACCTGCATATGGTCACGTGTCATCCCCATTCCACACCGTACTCGCTGCATGACCGTGGTCCTGCATTTGTTCCCATTTCTTCAATAAGCAAACAAGGCTCCAAGTGAACGCCGGTCAGGGCAGCCACAAGAATCCCCACGCTCGTCAAAATAACTCAGGGTCCTCCCCTATCAGCCGGGCACCACGGCACTATTAACGGTCCGCACACCGTCTCCGGCCGAAGGCGGCCTAGGCGGCTAGCTACTATGTACTCCTGTACTTGGCAAAGTCCCCCAAGAGTGAAGAGAGCTCATCTCTGCAAGTCCGCTAGCAGCACAATATCGTGGAAGAAAGTAATATGCGTAATTGAGAAGGATGTGGAAGGGATATGCGTAATAGACATTTACATAGCAAATTAAATAAAATCGCAACTTTCTTCATTTTCTACACCTGTAATAGATGCAACTGTTTCACCTTTTTTGGTAATTAATAACTTTATAACACTATAAAATTTAAATGCTTCTAGCATAAGTAGTATTATGTATATATATATAGTCTATTAAATTTTAGGAACTTTAATACTGCATTTAGGTAGTTTATATATGTTTTTATTTAATGAATTCTACTACATTTCTATCTGTTTATAACCTTAAGTCGTGTTACATATAATTTACTATAGAAAGGTACCTACAATATTTGGCGGTCGGTTACGCATATCGCTTCCACCCACAATTAGTCCGCGCTATTCCTGAAGCGGAATGGCCTTCCCCGGCGGCGCGATGCGGACGACACATGTCAATTCCCGCCTTCGACGCCACCCATCGAAGAGTCGATAATGCCGTGGATCGGATACGCGTAGGGCGAGCGGTCGGGAGGGCGGAGGGTAGTCAGAGAGAAGATGAGGCTATTTTTATCCTTCGTTAGGTGGTTTAAAGTTGTGCAATCCCGCTTCTAGACCTCGAACGCTCATGAACGTCCTCGTTTCCCTACAAGTATACGTGCCATCGCAAAACGCGAAGGTGCACGGGCCTAGCGCATTGTAAGGCGGAGAGTAGTATTGAACCGCTCTTCTTAAGAGAACAACTTTAAACTAAGACGGAGATAGCGAGATTGATGGGCAAAATTGCATGTGTAATAGGAAATAAAGCCGTGGAGTCTTGCTGCACTCTCTAACGCTGCTGCCTATAACGTAATTATTGAGCTGGGAAATGGTAGCTAGGGACTTGGCAGCGCTTAGCTGGTTTATAGCGCTGTTGAACTGTTTGGACAGGTCGTCCCATAAGTTCCGCAGCGCAATTGTAAGTTATTCCCCCTTCCTTTTTAGGAGGTGGATTTTAACCTAGTTAAACTATAGGGGTTACATTCTCAATAAGCTTTCAGTAGTGCAAATCGACTCGCCGAGGCTCTCGGGGATACATCCTCAATAAGCTTATATTGTGTAAATCGATTCGCTGAGGCTCTTGGGGATAGCTTATCTATGGCAAAGTGAAAATTCTCTTTACTGTATACAAAAACCTACAGAGGTGTATCGCCTTACATTTTACATAGGATCGATACATAATTTTATGCTATAGTGCACACATTCTAGAATTCCATGCCTAGTACAAAACTTTTGGACAATATCTCCGTATATCCTTTGGCGCATCCTTCAGCGCCACTAGTTCCAACAAAATCCAACAGGTCCAACAAAACAACCTTACCTTCGATGCATTTGTAACGGGACGCAAAAACTAGCGAAATAATAATGCCGGTGAGCAAGAAATCTCGATTAGAGCCAGAGTTTGTCAACCCCTTATATAGTACCCATTGCCAGCGAAATTATATTTTGGTCGACCATTGTCAAGGTTCCATAGGTGCCTTCGCAGTCTGACCTTCCCTATACTCAACACTTGTTATAAATCCCTAAAATGGGTCCCCTCTTGCATCTAACTGCTGTGTGGCTAGGGATAATCAGCATTGGTATGTTATGATACTTTATATAGGGCCACGTCTGACAGTTGAAAGTGTTGGTCTCGCCTGGGGATGCCTCGCCTACATCCGCTGTCAACCCCGCGTCAATCGCTGCCGATCAACTAGCAGTCCCCTTAGAACCCGCTCTAACGACGCCGAACGGCACTATCATCAAAGTGGTAGCAACTAACGATGACAAGCCCTCCCTTGAACAAAGCTTCCTCTACAACGCAACCAACTTCAACATCAAGACCAGACCCCGGGACGCAATACCAACATCTGCCGACGAGAAGACGCTCCTTAAAATCCGCAATGAGGAGTCAGTTCTCAAAAAGCGCCGCGAAGAGCAGTATGCACATGCTCCCATGTCAGATCAAATTTCACGCTTCAGACGGGGACCTAGGACGCCTCTCATAAAAAGAGCTAAGGCCAAGATGATGATTGTGGGAGACAGTATCTCACAGGGCATGGAAGGAGATTGGACCTGGAGGTATCGGCTCTGGGAGTGGCTCGACAGCCAAAGCGTAGACTTTGAGTTTGTCGGTCCCTGGAAGGGAACTCGTGAGCCGGCAAACCCGGCACCGGTATGTCCATAGCTTTTCTGTTAGCTAACAGGCAGATGGCGGGTTCTCGGCTGACTGTGATGCGATATAGCCCGCAAGGCCCCGTATGGAAGGGGATCCGCTGCCCGACGAGCCGCCTATGGTCTATGGAGGCTACGCTGACGACGTTAACACTCGATTCCAACAATCCCATTTCGCACTATGGGGTCGTCAAGCAGCACAGACTAAAGGGGAAATCCAGAAGATGGTAGCAGACTATCAGCCAACGCATCTCTTGGTTTTACTTGGCTTTAATGATCTTGGGGTAAGCATTTCTTCTAGAAAATAACTCGCATACTCAAGCGGACCGACGTGATTCCGTTTCTTTTTACAAATGCAAAGGCTAACAGTGTGGTATTAAGTGGTTCGTCACCGGCCCCGATGGAACCCTTGCCAGCATTAAGTCTATCGTCGACAATGCTCGTGCTGCGAATCCGAACATTAACATTATCCTTGGTGACGTTGTACAGCGGAAGGCCATCAGCATCCGTGCAGATCTGCCTAAGATTACCGATGAGTATAACGCACTATTAAGAGATGCTGTGCCCAAGTGGAACACTCTAGCGTCACCGATAGCAATGGCGTATATTCGTGAGTATTTCATTAGTGCGGTTCTAGCTAGAACTTAGCTAACGGGTTCTGTAGGCGACACCTACAGCTGTGAAACGCAGGCCTGCCCTTCAGGCTATGATGGATTACATCCGAACGCCCGGGGAGAGTATCAAATTGCCCGTGCATTCAGCGTAGCACTTTTCTACGGATTTGGGATTGGTGCATCTCCCCTCTCGATACCTGCGAACTTTCCAGGCAGAGATACTCCGGTATGTGTCTAGCATCCTTAAATACCCAGATATGTAACTAACATCATGTTCTATGATAGGTACCGTTTAATGTAGTGGCATCCGCCTCTCCATATGGAATTACAGTTACATGGACCAGAATTTATGGAGCGCGAAAGTACGGTGTAAGAAGCAGGTACTGGGGCCTTACGGATTGGGAAGAGAGTTCCGTCCTTACTAATCGAATTGATAATACGTATGTTAGCTTATTATCTCTGAATTCTGCTTCTCTCCTTGATTATATATAAGAAGCTAATTACTTGTCAATTTAGGTGGGTAATAAACGGTTCGCACTACGAATATCAGGTTCGTTGTCCACTTTGACTACCCTGTCCCATCTTATAATAACATTTTAATCTTAATTCAGATCCGTGTCGATAACGAGTTCGATGGAACGTCTGACTGGTCTGAGGTAGTTGATGCAGTTGCTGACCCGGAAACGATTAGAGGTCCATCAATCATCAAGACTTTGCCTACAGCAACCGGTGCCCAAGTATCCTGGAATGCTGTTGAAGGGGCGGAATTCTACGTTGCCCTTCTTTTTGATTCCAATACACCTGGATCGTGGTTAAGTGAAGTTGTGGTCAAGGGCCTATCATACACTTGGGAAGCGCAAAATGTAGGTCGTCGCCACGTTGTTGCTGTACAGGCCTGGAACAGTGTCGGCGGTGGCCTCCCTGCTGTAGGCAGAAGTGTCATTCCAGGAACCGCAGATAATGTAGCAGCACCTACCTCTCTCCTAATTTACTCGTTGGATCCAACTACAGTGGTAAGCTGCAGACCTCTTAGGCCCCTTACCATTCTTTGGACCTAACAATACTAATTCATTGAGTAGAAAGTATACTGGTGCGGCGATTGCAATCAAACTTCATACGTTCTTTACATCCGCTCCCTTAAAACGGATCTAACACAGCTCGGCGACTGGAAAGGAAGCAACGTTAGTGCAAGTTCCTCAACAACAAATGTTGCTTCCGCTGAAGTTGCTTTCTTGTTTCCTGGTGTTTGGAATTACGAGTTCGCTGTCTCTGGTCTCAATGGTGACCTCGAATCACCTATGTCATACGGACTTCAAGCCGCCCATCCTCCCGATTCAGTTGGAAGTGGTAACTGCGAGAAATACTGTATAATGGCGCTGCCTGAGCCTGATCCTGTGCCCGAGACAAAGCCAGGCACACTTCCCTACAACCCCGTGCTCGGCGGTCCTGATAGAGACTTGTCCGACCAAATATGCGCTATGACATGGCAGACTACGAATCCACCCACCTTAGAGAAGGCTATTATCGTCAGTAAAACCTGGTCGGACAGTCGTGCTGGCGAGTATCTGGACGCCTACCTCATGAAACTCGATAACTCTATCGACAAAACTGACGACTGGTTTGTACCCTTCGTTAAACAATCAATTCGCTCTTGTTCCGCTCAAGAAAATGGCGGCACCACCGTCGACTGCGGCTTCATCGATGCGAGTTCCTGCACAATAGATGCGTCTCCTAAGTGCAGCGATTACTGCCCACCAGAATCGATGTTCATCCATGCTTCTGTTGTTAACTTCTTCACGGCCTACAAGAACTTCTACCAAGGCATAACTCAACATACCTTGGTTACACTCGCCGCCACTGTGACTGATATCTCTAATACCTTTGCACCTATCGACACCTCGGTACAGACACTATTTTCCATATTAGGGGGTGTACTAGGAACGATGTCCTCCGTAGGGTGGCTTGTTGGCGCTGGATATAACAGTGCCAACGCAGGAGGAGCTGCAATCTCTGTTATTAGCGGCTTGATATCTAACACTCAACTTAACGGTGCCGATCAAACTGACGTAAAGGCAGAGCTGTCAACAAGTCAGTAACCTCCTCCCCCCGCACCTTCTTGCTTATTTTATGTGCCGAGACCGTCTTTTGCAGGGAATTACTGACTCTCGTTTTATCATCATAGTCCTTGGAAGCACCTTAGAGAAGGTCTTTGGTAAGATAAACGAGACCGTCTCTAACATCGTCAATCCTGGAGAGGGCAAAAAAAACAACACATTAATCGAGAGCGTGTTTGCAAACGGCGCGTTTCTCAATAATAAGGCTATATCTTTTTCTGTCAACGCGATGATCGAAGTCTACAATAATACCATGGTGTGTATTACCTCACGAGAAGCCCTCAAAAAGGGACTACCTACTAATGCCCATCATTAGAACCAATACCTCGTTGTCACTGCCATGAAATCATGGTCAACTGAAGGTACATATGGGCGAGGATACGCCATTTTGAGTAACGATGGTGACACGCACGGCTACGGCGACGAAGCGAGCTGTATTGCTATTGGGAACGAAGCCATGATTTGGTATAAAAACGTGCGAAGCCTAGCCCCTTCTGCCACCTCTGTCCTTCTCGCTAACACTGGGTGCCTAAACAGTCTTGCGTTGGGTTTGGCACATATGCGAATCTCCTACCCGGTAATACAGCGGTTACATATACAGACTTCCTAGACAGCGGTATGATTACCGAGCTGAAAAAATACGTCCCAGACCTTCGGCTCGCTATTATCAACAGCTGGGAATGTTACGTGGACCCGAGTAAAAAGGATCCCGAAACTGAACCCGGTACATTTGACTTCACTAATTTGGGCAGTTATCCACCTTGTTTCTTCGATCTTGGAGGTAAATACATCCATCCAACGAACTTCGGTTGACGTGGATTTGTATGTTCCTAAATTCCGAGATACTTTATTTTCTATCAGAACAATTTCTATTGCCGTTTATATTAGTTTACTAGAGCTTCTTCGCTGGTTCTCTTATTTAAGACAGTGTACTTCGCGCAGATAGATATTCATTTATACTTTTGAAAGCCTCCCTTTACCTATATATCCGCCGTCGCTCCCCGCGTTGTCGTCTTCAAAGAGGTTCCGGAAGGCCACTTCGACTTCGTCCGTCAAGTCGCTAGCCTGAAGGCTGCGGCCGCGTTTAGCGAAGGCGAGGCGGGAGCTCTCCTGAAATATGTCAGTTCATGCCCGTGCCTTCTTCACACACAGCCAGAGAGCACGCAACCGCCGCAACGCTTCACCAAGAAAAGGTAACAGAGCAACTCACCCTCGTAACACAGCTCCCCCCAAACGCCGCCAGCTGCAAAAGCTCCCACTTATCCAACTCCCCGTCATGCTCCCACAGTTTATCTAAATACGCCTTCCGCCACCCTAAAAACGTCGCAATACTCCCCGTCAACGTATCCCCCTGCCCACCACTCCTCTTCAACCCCCCCCTCAAGTCCCCAACAACAGTCCTCTCCCCATCACTAATCCAATCCCTTGCCCCTTTCCTCAGCACCGTCACTCCGCCCAACTTCTCCGCCAGCGCCGCCGCCCCTTCGCCCTCCCCTTTGAAGCTGCCCGGGTCGATCCCCTGCGCTTTGCAGAGGCGCGCGAACTCGACGACATTGGGCGTGAGTATGCACTCGCGATACCCGTGCACGAGCTCCGGTCGGTTCTGCGCTAGTAGAAGCCCATCCGCGTCAAGCACAAGCGGGAGTCCGGATTTCCGCGCCTCGCTGATGACGGAGGCGCAGACATCTTGCATGAGCTTGTCGCGGCCCAACCCGGGGCCGATAACGAGGACGTGGAAGCGGGGGAGGAGATCGATGATTGATTTTGAGAGGGAGGAGGATGTTTCGCTGGTGGTGGCGTGGCGGGAGGAGCGGAGGAGGGGGTGCACCATTAGGTTTGGGGAGTAAGTTTTTATTACCTGCGCGGCTTGGGGCTCGCAGATGACGTGGGACTAGAGGAGAGTTAGCTTTGTGGTTTATTGAGAGGGAGAGAGGGCAAACCATGTCGGCACCGAGGCGGGCGCTGGCCATAGCGGAGAAGTAGGGCGCGCCGGTGTAATCCTCACTGCCGCCTATGACGGCAATCCTACCCATCTGTCCTGCCTTGTGTCAGCTTGGTCCTGGCCTCCATCTTTCCATCTTTCCCTCCCTTATTAAACCGTAACATCCAGACACACCTTTATGGAATTTCTCCAGCATCGGCGGGACCATCTTCCGCGCTTTGCGCAACAATTCTAGAGTAGCCTGCGACATCTTCGGGTCGCTCGACATGCTACCCGCTGCGTCCGATTCTTTCTCCCCCTTCCCTGCTGCTGCTACTCCCTTTGGCGGAATGTCGAAGCCGGAGGCGGGGACGAGGGGGATGTGGCGTTTGTTCAGTGGGGGGTAGGCGACGGGTCTTGGCGCGGAGCCGGTGGGAAGGATGATATGGTGGGGTCCGTAGTGTGTTAGTGGACTGGAGGTTTGGGATGGGAGGGTGTAAGGGTGATTACTGGTTGTTGTCGGAGTTGTTTTTGGGGGTGGGATTGTCCGTGGGCTGCGCATATAGACTTGGTGGATTGGGCATTGCTACGGCTATATTGAGGTTGTGGAGTAGTGAGGGGCTGTAGTTCAGGGATTCATATGTGGTGATATGATGTCACTACGGCGGGTAAGCTATATTTTGACATCACACTAACAACAACTCTAATTGGAGCTTGTCAAATATTTTTTATTAATATGCGAGTTTTTTTATTTATATTAAACTGAAGGCTCAAGTCAGAATATGTCGTAATAATAATTATATTTATTTGTATGGTTCGTATCTATTCCTAATTCGTAAAGCTAACCAAGCAAACGCCTGTCGTCAAATTTCGTTAAGAGCCGGAAGCAACCCCGCTCTTGAAGTCGTCCATATTGCTTGCCTCCCAACCATGCGCTCTACATGCTCTCAAGTATGCTTCAATAGCTTCCCCAACCCCATAATCCCCACGCCCTCCCTTAGTAAGCCTCGCTGGTTTCGGATCCGTGCTTGAGATTGCCATGCGTACTTGTAACAAGACGCTCTCGATCGAAGAAACTGCCGACCATCCCGAGTTTGTGAGCAGTTCCATGCACAACGCCCCTCCGGCCGTCACATGTCCACCACCACCAGCCATGAAAGGCAAGAAGCGTGGGCGGATTACACGTACGAACGGGGGCGACATCGGATAGTTCTTTCCAAATCGCATCTCCAAGACTATCGAGGATATGCCTGCATCTTTCATCTCCTTGGCGAGAGGTAGTTTCGGGTCGAAGGAGTGCAGTTCAACGATCCATTGATACATATTATCAATGGAATCCCCATCGATATACCAGCCGAGCTCGTGGAGTGGTGTTGCGGATTGGACTTTGAGAAGAACTTGAAGATCGCGCGCTAGCATGTTGGTTGCAGCCGAGGTAGCGTAGGAAGGAGACCCAAGGAGGGTGATTGTCGACCTGTCGAGAGATCCCGGAATGAAGTCGGTTTGGGGGCCGCCATTCGCCTTGACTTTGGAATGGCTCTCTTCGTCATCTATTAAGAAATTGATATCCTCAAGATCCGAATCATCAGTAAGATCCGAATCGTCATCAGCCCGATTCTTGAAAAAGATGTTAGTCAAAGACCGATGCTTTTGTTTCTTCTTTCGGTTCCCAGGAGGGTCGGGCTTCTTGGCCCAGATTCCTCCATTCTCAATCGAGAATGTTCGCGAAGGGGGAAAGGCGCTTCTTGGAATCCCAAGCACTTCTCCATTGACTCCAGTGACCTTTCTTGCGGGATCTTGCTTGATGTATTGAATTGCCTTAGAATCAATGGGCAGATGTGGCATATTGCCTTTGACAGCAGCTCCTGGCACGTCGCCGCACAGCACAAAGAGATATCTGCACTGGATCCAATCGACGTGTTGTACGACCAGATGGGGATTATTGCTAGTAAACTCTAGGGGGGCGTTGACTATCTCGTTCAGGCATATAGCTTGGGAGATCTTGAGATTGGAACCAGACCAGTATCTCAATCCGGCATCCTGTTTCTGTTAGCAGTCGAATTCTGATAGTAGTAGTAGTACAGTAACTTACACAAGGAAAGACACCACTACGAGAGTTGCAATACCCCAAGCTTGTCTGAAAGTGTTGGGAATGGTAGCAACCATTCCCAAATGCCCTCCCGTTAGCGATCTGGTTGAAGTCCAGTCCACTTCGAATTATACTGTGCCAGTTGTGGACAGCACTTCCGTGCCACGCAAATAGCGTCGGGAATTCCTCGCTGATGCTGCCCTTCTTAAGTGACAGGGCTTTATGGAATTTCTGCTCTTTGTCTGGGGCACCCTGAGCAAAGCGGAACTGAACCCATCCCTCCAGATTTGTAACCCTTTGTCCCAAGCGAGAGGCATTATTGGACAGGGCATCTGCCTCTGGCTGACCGGGATATCTGTCAACCTGCACGATGCATGACAGGTTTGATGCAACAATCCAGCGAAGTAACCCCAGAGCAGCTGGACACATTCTATCGGTCCACTTACGGAAGCTAGGTTCTCCAGAGGCCTTCGTTGCCTGAAGATATGCTTTCATATCGTCGATAGAAGGCATATTCCTCAACAGTGATAAGATCGTTGCATCTTTTTGTAAAGCAGTGAGCTCGTCAAATTTCACCTTAAAGGCCGCCAGCTTTACGCGGATACGGTCTTTGGGTGAGGCGGTTGTACTCTTTCGGAAAGGCACGCCCCCAAGACCGTTTTCTTGGATTACCTGAGGCATAACTATTCCTCCGGAGCTTGCGTTGTCATATTCCAAGCCGGGATTGATAAGGTGCATGTGAGGGTGCATATATGAAGCAACTCTGAAATGGAAGACATTTCTTCCTGGCTCCTGAGTTGCATCCTGGGTTGTAATTTCTACCCAGTCGCCCACCACTACATCGCAGGGATCTTCGGCATCCATAACGACTTCTTTCTTTCCCAAAATAAAATCCACGACATGGATTCCTGGGATTTTGCTTTCACCACTGGGAGGATCTTTCGGGGGTGATGTTGATGGTGCTCCCGCAGTGAATTGCACAATGGCATTCGGAACTGGTTGTGCCACAACCAATCCCATCCCCGTAGGGTACTTGCGCATACTTCGAGCATGGGCACTGGCGTAGGCAAAACTGACGAGGAGATCGACGACATATGGCTGGGTTGCCACAGAATGCTCAATCGATGGGCCAAATCCCAATGCCATATATTGGTATAGACAGAGTGGGTTAGAGCAGACGTAAGGCTTCAGAGCCTCAAAGCTGTCCTCGGTTTTAGAGTGACACACCAAACAGAATTCGGTGCATCGAATGAGATATCGCAGGGAAAACTGCATCGCGATGAGGGGAAGCGAGTAGTTTTCGTCTTCCGAGTCTTCAAGATGGTCGATGGAGGCAATGGGCGGAAGATCTTCCTTGGTAATATCTTCGTCGGCGGTTGAATGGTCAACTAGCTGCCTTGAAGACATGGTTGCCCTTGATTGGTACATGTTGTAGGCACGTTTTGCCCCTTCCCATCCAAGACCATCGTTTTTTCGGATTTTAAGTAGGCTTAGAAAACGGTCGTTTAGTAGTTGATTCATCGGACTTGATATGAACAGGGCGTGGAACTTGCGATCAGCAGTCTCCTCTGGATTCTCGTCAAGCTCTGTTGTGTTTGAGAGGATATCTGAGGCTTGAAGCCTAGAGGTTGAAAACGCAGCCACAGCGTCGGATAAGCAGGGTTTATAATGATTGCTGACTCCGATTCGAAACTCAATCTGAAGCTGACGGACGGCGACGTCCATGACTTTCTGGAACGTCACATATGGCCCTGCATAGTGAATGAGCAGAACGATGTACTGATGTGGCTGTAAATCCCAAGCCTCAATGGCCTGCTCTGAGAGTCCAAGATGTGCAACTTTAATGGACATGCTCAGAATGCTGTCTGTAGAGTCAGCTCTCATCCCAGCCAAAATTCCAATCCTGAATCCCGCCAATTTCGCACGTGTTACGTCTTGTCTTATTCTCCCCTGAATAGCTCTTAGTATTGACGGATCCAATGTGACCTTGCTGGATGACATGAACATATCACTAAATGGGGAGCCTGGAGACCAGTCGTTATCATCATCCTCATCCTCGTCCCCGTCCTCGTCATCTCCGGCATCTTCTTGGCCGCCATAGCCGTGGTGAGTGGCATGGTCATCCTGGAACGAACCACCCATAATAACATCGTCATCGTCCACATATAGCGGATCTTCTTCTGAGCCGGTTGCTAAAGAGCGTAGAGTTGCCGCAGTCTTTTCCAGAAGACCTTGAACTGTGAGGCCGAGGAAAGAACCCTGGATGCTCTGAAGCTCCCTTTCAAAAGCTGGTGGGGCTGAGACGGACTCGACACCAAGAAAATAGGTATTGCCTTTTGGATATGCAGAGGTATCTACCATTAAATTAGTATGTGCATTTTAATCAGTTTGCAAAAAAATGGCAGTGAACAGGAGCCATCAGTGGGAGCAGCGGTTGCCACGTCAAGGTGATAATTGGAACCTGTGAATAGATCCGGGAAGAAGTGAAGTTACACCAAAATTTGAACTTACCGGTTGCGAGGGCCTTGATCAGCACTGAATCACCTGATACTGTTGTGAAAACGAAGGTGAAGTCTTCTCCTTCATCTCCGATTTGTACACCTTCAATATCGCCAAAAGTGGAGTTTCTCGCCGTGGCAACATCTGCGATAAAGGCCTTTCGAGTCATGTTGTTTGTTTTGAGATTGGTGAGCCGATTTGGTTTCCGATCTGCCAAAGACGAAGATCATTTATAACCACCTGAGGAGTGGGAATTGTAGATGCAGAATTGTAGATGCACAATCTCTCCGAGTGAGGCTGAGGCTGAATGCTACAGTGTACTGGTCAGTTCGAAGCGAGCCAAACCATTATTCACTTGGTCTTTGTCCATAAAGTAATGGTCAAGAGTGTCCGTTGATGTGCCCATATGAATCAAGAGTCAGCGAGAAGTTGGCAAGCGTCTTCACTAAGGGACATCAGTCGATGCCTAATGTGCTAGAAAAGTCGGGAGGGTTGTGGTCTGAGGATAACAAGCTGCACCCTTACGCCGGAGGAGGAAACACAGGAAGACCGAATTGAAAGGAAATATGGACACAATAAGATGTTTTATTGAAGCGATTTACGTATATATCATCAAGATTTCTGGAAAACCCACCCTCAGCTAGGCAGTCGTCGCATTATACCAGGGCGCTGTCTCAAAAGGGGAGCCTCATCAGGTACAGCGCGGGGGCCTGGCACGCAGCCAATAGGGACGACAGATGCCAAGTTCCAACAGTTCCAACAACCCCACGGAACAAATCAAGTGGTGGGGCAAAAGAGCTTACTGGGGTACTCGAGTACAGTACGGATCCCCGTAAGAGCAGCTTAAGTCAACGACTTTGGTCTTTTGCCACCATCTGCCTGACTGCGTAGAATACTCCAATTGAATGCGCTTCGGATTGTAGAACATTTTGCACTCTTTCTTATATTCTATGGTCCAGCATGGCCTGGGACTCTGAGTCTGCCCGGCGGCGGCAGAGTAACATTGCATCTCCGCAACGTGTTGAAAGCCCAGCACAATCGCTGGCCACCGAGACCTACACGCCTAAATCCACCCACGTAGCAGATCCGACCTTGAATCCGTTTCTTGCGCCTTCATTCAATGCGGCAGACTATTTGAATGCGACCCTCCCTCCATTGAAAGCTCGAACATCGACCCAGCGTGTCTCCAAAGAGGTTCCGCTTGCCGACCTGTCTACACAGACACAAACGCTGCTGTCACAACTAAGCGCACATACAACGAGACTTACGAATACTTTGACACAACTCACAGACGAGATAATACGAAGTGGGAGTAGACTGGCATATGAAGTGGAAGTGCTGCGCGGCGAGACGGTTGGATTGTCGGAATCATTGACGGAAGGTCTCCATGAGGACATTTCAAAGTTTGTTCCTGGTGGTATCGACAGCAGCCCAGGAAGGAAATCTTCGGGAACAGGTGGACCGACCCGAAGGAAGTCATCTACATCGCTAGATGCAAAGGCACCTACGAATACTACACAGGCTGCGGCCAATGGCGACCCTCCATATATCCAGCAGTTGCGCACTCTGACATTAGTGAGGGGCCGACTGGATACAGTTATTAAAACCTTTGGCGATGCCATGTCTTGGACGTTTCCCCCGTCGGAAGTTTCAGTCAGCTCAGGCTTTCTATCAGTCTCAGCGGCCGAGCCAGGATCGGAGGCACAAAGCATCGAGGAGAAGGGCCAGCAGGTTTCCAAAAAGCTTCGTGACGAGATTGCCGATATCCTCATTCGCAGTGATGACCCCGTGGACAACATTGAAGCGGCTGCCAAGAGAGTAGAGGAGCTCAAGGAGCTCAGTGCGGTGTGGAAGGGCACGGCAGAGGAGAAGGCAAGGGTTCGATTTGTGGAGTCCCTGGCAAAGATGGTCGAAGATAGACATCGTAGCCTTCTCCGGGAACAACAAGAGCAAGAGAAGGGGGCTAGAAACAAACCTGAGGTGAAAGCGACAGGCACCATTCCGACTGTCAGCGCGACGGATTCGAAGTCTACAAGCAGTTATGGCTTTATTAGCCAGCTTCAAAAAATGCGCGGTGGTATTTAAACGATATCAAATGAATAGAATATTTACAACAAAATATGGTGTGAAGCCAAGCAATCGCTGGCCTTACTGGTGATGGATTGCAACGTGGCTCAGCCCATGTCCCCAGAGTTTTCTCCCATCCAGCCCTGCCCATTGTGCCGATTTTATGTTTATCACTTACATTTTAGGAAAAGTAAGGTGATCGTCTCTATTATTGTGGTTCTTGTGCGCGGAATCCGCCTTTTCGACCTTTATCGTGATTATCATCCGTTCCTTTTCTGGGGCTCATTGCGTCACCCCACACACACATGGCTATTCTGATAAGGTCAAACACCATGACATGCCACGCCACTTCCTTCCACCACTCTAAAATATCATTGTCGGGTCGTGATGCATGGCAGCTATTTGGGCAACTCAGCAATGGAGGATGATTCGGATATAGTTCCCGGTGGAGGCAGCAGTAGACCTGCATCCTCCCCTATCGTACTTGCTGGAATGTGTATTAGTGGTCTTTGCCGGCCAGGTCGTCTTCGCGGTCGTCTGGCCATTGCACTTCTTATAAGTATGTTGCTGGCTACTGCATACATGGTGAGAGGTAATACGGTATGTGAAGTCCTAAACCATAGGGCAGTTGGTTATTTATTTATGGAGATGTCAAAACCTGATCTTATATTCAAAGGACCACATTAAAAACTATGTTTCGTCGTCCCTTTCCTCGGGCAACTCAAAATCGAAACCAGAGGAATCAAAATGGGGAATCGGCGGTAACAACAGCTCCTCGAACGGCTCTATCGACGGAAACAAATTTGTTCTCATAATCCCAGTGCGACGCCCCAGCGTCGCCCTCTGCAAGACTCTAGTATCTGCAGCCATATTGAACTACCCTCCGCCTACTCTCATTGGCTATGGCAATGATAATGGAAACGAAGCAGATGGCGGGGCCACTACGAACACACTGAATTTCTTATTGAGCAGACAAATACAGGACGGCGACCTGGCGTTGGTTGTGGATGAGAGGACATGGTTTCAATTGCCTGGACAAGTCATGGTTGATCGCTTCGACTCGCATCTGCAAAGGTCGAATGCTCAGCTGCTTGCAAAGTATGGTGCAGGGAAGTTCAAGGAGAGAATTTTATTTGGGGCTGAGAAATCATGCATTGATCATAAGTCGGAAGACACAGCATGCTATGCCTCGCCGTTATCGCCAATACCGAAAGACGTATACGGACCCAGCACGGACGTACCACCCGCTTCAAACTACCGGCCACGATATTTATATTCGCCAAACATGATGGGGCGAGCTGGAGATTTGAGAGATATGTTGCAGTACGCGCAACTGAAACTAGACACCAGAACCTCGAAAGAAAGCACGCAATACCTCTATTCCGAGATATTTGGAGACCAAGAATTAAAACGAGAAAAGGTCCGAAGGGATTCCCTCGGCCCTATATCCGCTTTCAAAGAGTGGCTCATACGCAACAATCCCAAAAATGACCCTCAAACGCTTCTCGGTATCGAGAAGCTCGACCTGACGAACACCGGGTCTGCGAACAATAATAACCCCGACTTCGGCATTGGCCTAGACTATTCGAGCTCGATATTCCAGGTTCTCGATAATAGTGTCGATGACATACAATTTGTCACATTCAACCACCCCACCATAGTCAACTCCCCGTCGCGAATCTCCGCCTCCAAGTTCAGCCAGCCAATCTACCTACCACAAGACTTGAACTCGACTGCCCCGCCCTTCAAACTCCACAGCACACCAGTTCAAGGCCCAGTATCCGATCTCCCACTTCTAGAGGTCGACAAGCTGCCCGTCAATAAACCATGGGCGGATGTGGCGCTGGCGACGAATATCATTGTCCCCGGAACGGAAATCCCAAGTAGTATGAGCCTCTTCGGGGCAGGAACCCCGGGGCTGGAGGATAAGTGGTGGAAGAAGATGTGGTACCAGCCCAAGGCGAGAGCGTTGATGAGACGGTATATGCGGAGCTATACTGGGCATATTGCTGCGGAGGCGGCGGCGAGGGGAGGTGAGTATTGGTGGGATTTCAGGGGAGGGAAGGGAGGGATATGGACTGATAAAGGTATGACATCCTTCCACCAGGGAGTCTGTGATAATGGCTAACTTGAAGCTTAGGCGAGTTCCTGGAGTGGCAGGAGGTTTGTGGGCAATATGATGAGGCTGTTTTTGGGGATAAGATGGGGAAACTGGGGGAGGAAGATAAGGTGGCCCAGCCGGTATACAATAAGTTTGGGAAGATTATTGCGGATAAATCTCCGCAGTAGTCGGTGTGTTTTGAATTTTATAGATGGTGCATCTGGGAATGGTGTTATAGGGGCTGGCATTTTTAGAATGGGAGGTTTGGAAAACTATCTGACGGCGCCCGGAGATTTATAATATGCTGGAATATCATTAGATATTGAATAGACACACTATCAAAGTCTTAGAACAGGACGTTTGTTGTCTGAAAGTTGGACTGGGGGGGTTTCTATTATAAATGGTGCAGCCTCGCGTGTACTGTTAGTTCTCACATGCAAGATATATCAATGGCAAGACAATAGCTGTCATTGATGCCAAGAGATGATTCAGATAATATTCACCACATATTTACTATTTAATTCAATAGAAGCACAATCCTACCGCTATGTACACGATTGTCTGTGGTCTTTTATCATTGTCCCTTTTTAAGGCTTCAGCCTCGCGTTGCCTTGTAATACACGCCAGCCTCGCCTGCACGGCTGCGACAAGCAGTATTTCCAACCTTTTCATTGGCTCAAACCAAAAATTCCCAGACGACGCTAAATCCACCTGGTGAAGCGCACCAGGGCCATGGTCATCAGGACTGAATCTTAGCAGCAGACGGTTCAAACGCTGGTAATGGGAATATTTTAACACAACAAAGGCCAGGAGTGACAATAGCTCGCCACGGATCGGATCTTCTATTTGTTCCATTAAACATATATTTACCTCAACTTAGTTACCGTCGCCAGGTTTTCTGCATCGACAATCACTGCACCGACCGTGAAGCTCTGTCAACACGATCCTGCTTCAAAACCAATTCTCACACTTTAACAACACCACCACACTCTCACAGGCATTCTTAAATACCTGCTGACTCGTTATACGTCAAGCAATTGGACACACAAAATATCGCGAGATGGCAACCAGTCAATCTCCGATTCTATCACCGGTCATGGACAGAGACGACAATGCCCCTCCTGTCCAGCCGCTCTCGAAGAGAGACAAGCGCCGCACTGCGTTGATTGATCGACTCAACGACATCACGATGCAGTTCTCAGCGAACAAGGACCAATATTATCGCGAGCAACTGGGTGTTGTTCAGCAGGATATTGCCCTGATTCTCCATGCCATCCCATACGTGGAAGATCCGACCAAAGAATCAACTGTCGAGCTACTGGCAGTCATCCAAAAACTTACCAGAGGTGACCCACGAGCCCTCCAGTCTGTCAAGGAAGGAGATCTTCAAGGCGTTGGAGGGAGAATATACCATGAGTTCCGGGATGAGATTCAAGACGCCATGGAGCGTCGAGATGCCGCCTTATCAGCGTATGCAGTAAGTAGAAGAACCCCCCAGTTAAAACTCAACCATCACTAACACATCTCTCTTAGTTTGAGCACAAAAGCAACCTCAGTGAACTCAATACCAGCTCGGCATTTTTGACGAAGCTCGCTGGACGAGAGCATTCCGCTCTCGCCAGTACCATTCGCGACCGACTCATAAATTCGATTACAGAAAGAAAGCGAAAGCTTAACAGAGACATGACAAGCAATGAGGGGATCGACAATTCAAATGCATACCACTACCACCCAGCGCAATACAGTGTTCTCAACCCTTCGAGCCCCGGAGGCGTTCTCGGGAAGCGTTCCTCGAGACACCGCCGAGACCTAGACGACCTGCCGGCGATGCTCGATCCCACCAAGCGCAAACGCCGAGCTGTCGACGATGGCAGGGCGTCTCCAGTCCCGAGCCGCCGTGCACCAATCGACCTGCACCAGATTGGCTCGAACACACCTCTCAATAGATTCACAGAGAAGGCCCAAGATCCCGAATACCCGCTATACAGCGTCGACAAGCTCTTCACCGAGAAGGAGTTGTCTCTGCTTGAGCGCCAGGCTGCCGAGGCTGCACACAAATACATGGTCCGCCATAAATTCAACGAAGCAGCGACACGCTCTCAATCCGACAGTGACGGTTCTCGCAATGGCGACGCAGACCAGCGCAACAATGACTCCACACCCGACTCGCCTCTCGTTGCCCCGGCCATGGACCGCACAACCCGCTCAACTCGCGGCATTGGCGGCGCCACCAGCGGCTTCATTGGCTCAACCGGCATTGAAGTCATCGCTGACCTCACTCTCCCATCCACATTCACCGGGCAGCTGAACCAGATGCCTCGCCTCCCCCCACCGTTGTACCCCAGCATGACCAAATTCTTCGGCTCCACCAAGGGCGATAACATGCGACCCAACCTCACCGAGGGCGTAGCCGGCGACGAGCTCAACCAGGACATGAACCGCATCGAGTGGGGCAAGCGCGTGAACTCGCAACTCAAGCCCGGAGCAAGTCTGGACCAGGACGTCGAGACCGACAAGGGCACCATCCCCGGCGACCGCCGTTTCCTCGCCGCTGCGATCGCCGAGCCGGGCGTGTATCCCGTGTGGCTCAGCGGCAAGAAGAGGGAAGAGCGCATCGAGAGCGAGTTCGGTGTCGGGAAGCGCGCTGCTGCGCGCCTGGGGCTGGATGCCGAGGAGGTGGGCAGCACGGCGATGAGCAAGCAGAGTAGTCGTGGTGGAAGCGAGGCTGGCGGCGTGGAGATGAGCAGGGAGGGCTCGAGGCGGAAGGCGAAGAACAATTAGTGTTGTTTCTGGGCTTTGCACTTTTCTTCATTACGAATTACGATCAATGGATAGTGGCGTCTTGAGTCCTCCCGGCGCGGGCTGGTGGGGTTTGAAAATGGGATATGGAGTTTTGCTTTCTTACTGGGTATTATTGCTTGCTGGATTTTTATCATCCGGGTTTACCCATTTGGTTTTTTGTGCACATAATTGGGATGCTTCGGCATCATATTTAGATTTGGCATTGCGTGGATTTTCGATGCAGTATACATACACCTGTAGCTTGAAGACAAGACAGACCAGTACAAGCGTTCATTAGATTTCCAATCCAATAATTCGATTTCAATATTTGCCCATTGCACACTGAGAACTTGAACCGCATCACTTCGAAACAATTCACAAAATTTAACAAAGCAGACGGAATGAAGAGGAATCTCTGAATTTTATTTTTGAGGAAATCTCATTAAGAGTTCATGCCCAAATACACCCCCTAAATACGCCATTGAGTACAGCCATATCCATGTACGACCGCCGTGCACATATGATACAAAACGCCAAGCAATTACAAAAAAAGAAAAGCATACTCTCTCGCCCTCTCTATGCCTTGCTCTTCTTGCTCTTCTTCTTCTCCTTCTTCTCCGACTTGTCAGCCTTCACCTCCTCGGCATCCTCGCTGGCATCGCGCTTCCGCTTCTTCTCCTTCGATCCGTCAGCGGCGGCAGCCTTCTCCTCGGCCTTCCGTTGCTTCTTGAGGTCCTTCTTGCTGACCACGAGAGGAGTGCCGTCGGCGTTTAACTTGATCTCGCCACGCTCAGCCTTGCGCTTGTACTTGGCGACGCTGATTCCGGCGGCCTCAGCAAGAGCGCCGTACTTCTCCTCGTCGGTCTCGCCCTTCTTGGGGGTCTTCTCCTTCTTGGACTTCTTCTCCTCCTTCTTGGACTTCTTGGGGGTGCCGTTGGTGGCGGACTTGGCGTCCTCCATCTCAACATCCTCGTCAGACTCCTCGGACTCAGACTCGGACTCGACCTCCTGGATCAGCTTTTTGTCCTTCTTTGATGCCTTCTCCTTCTTCTCCTCAACAGCGGCTGGCGCATCGGAAGCGATTCCGTCGGCATCAGCGTTGTACTTCTTGGCCTCCTTCAGCTCCCATTTGCCTGGCTTGTCCAGAGCCTTGCCGTCAGGGCCGACAGCAACGCCTCTTGGAAGAAGCGGCTTGCCCTCAAGGCCACGAAGGTGGCGCTCGATCTTTGCGCGGGACAGGACACCAAGAGCAGAGCGCTCCTCCTCATCGACATCATCACCCTTGCCCTCACCCTGTGCGCTCCAGTCTGAAAGAGCATCGACACGGAGACCAATGGCAGCCTTGGCGGCAAGCATACGGGCGATCTTTCCCTTGTTCTTACCAGTGGCCTGTCCGACGAGGGAGGCGTGGTAGATGAGACCGTACTTGGGTGTGTCGTGCTTGGTCTTGAGAGCACGGAACAGAGCCTTCTCGGCACCAAGAATTTGGATGGTAGAGGCAGGCGACTTGGCAAGGTTCATTAAAGATCCAGCGTGTGCGATAAGTCTGGCACCGACGAGCTCACCGACAAGCTCGGTAAGGTTGGGGGCAATGGCTTGCATACGGGCGCTGAGATAGCTGGACAGTTGCTGCCTGTACTCTGTGAAGCCAACAACTTGCTCGGCGAGGAGCTGGATGTTATCCAAATCCTCGGGTGTGATCTCGGTACCCATGGAAACCTCAGCGGCGGCCTTAACAGCGGCCTCAATCTCCTCTGGGAGGATATCCGAGAGGTCGGTGGTAGCGGCGTTTGTGCGCATACCCATCTTCAAGATGATTCTGGCGATGGCGAGGTTGTCGTTGATAATACGAGCCATCTCAGGGAAATGCCACCCGTACCATTCCTTGACACGCATAGCGTAGGTGTTGAGCTCCTTGTCCAAGTCGTCCAAAAGCGCAATGGCCTGAACAATCATGGTGTCGACCTTGTCGGGAGAGAACTTGAGCTTGTGACGGGACAGAGAGTGAGACAGACCAAGGGACATGGTCGAGATGTTCTCTGGGAGGAGGCCCGGAATGAGGGCTGGGAGGTTCTCACGAATCGCACGGAAAAGCTCGTTGGAAGCGGAGTCGGAGATTGGGGTGAGCGTCACCGATGGCAACTTGTTAATTGCCTGCCCGAGTTTTGGGTCGGCAACGGCCAGAGAGGCCTTCTTCTCATCCTTGATTGAGTCGAGGAGCTTGGCCAGCATGGGAGTGACCTTGCCATCTACCAGCGACGCAACTTCCTCGAGGGCCATAGCGGCACTATCGAACTTCTGGAAAGTCTTGAGTTTGAGCCTGGAAGAAATAGAACGTTAGTTGAGAACGCGCAACACCAATGGCTCGAACATCATTGCCATTGTACACTTGCTGGTGAAAACTTACATGCTGCACACACCCTCAGCCGTGCCGGCCTCTGTTGCGAGGTTCTCATTTTTCAGAAGTTTCTTGTCTTTCGCCTTGAAGAGCGCATATCCTGCGCTCGTCTCCGTAAGTATAAACAGCGTCATTTTGAAGGGTGGCGGTTGCTGTTGCCGGAAGCGTGGAGAAGTCGTCGTTGGAGAGAGCTGTTTTGCTGAACGCTCTTGCTCCAGAAGTTTTTAACTTTTCAAAATGTTAGAGGCAGATGGGACTAGCGCGGATTGGCGAAAGTTTGTACTCCACAAGTTTGTTCGGTCACGTGATGCAATGGTAGCTCCAAGGTGGAGCCTTGGGAGCTTCACAGGACGTTGAACATCCAGCCAACTCTCAAATAACCACCAAGCCTTCAAGATGGAGGGCCTTTTCTTCAATGTTAACAATGGGTAAGTGGTCTGATGAGTTTTCTGGGATTGTTTCTGACGTATCCCACAGCTACATCGAGGGAATTGTCCGTGGCTACCGCAACAGCCTCTTGACGAGCCAGAACTACAACAACATGACACAGTGCGAGACTATTGATGGTGGGTCATTCTATATAATACTCATGACAGAAAGGATATTAATGTTTTAGATCTCAAACTTCAACTGGGCCCTGCATATGGGGATTTCCTTTCGTCTTTACCTCCGAACCCCTCCACTTCTTCTCTCGCAGCAAAGACGACAGACAAACTGATATCGGAGTTCCGCTATCTGCGAGCAAATGCTGTGGGGTCGCTAGCAAAGTTTATGGACTACCTGACGTATGGCTATATGATCGACAACGTTGCGCTCCTCATTACAGGGACACTACACGAAAGAGACACCAGGGAACTACTGGAGAGATGCCACCCGCTTGGCTGGTTCGAGACCATGCCAGTTCTCTGCGTCGCCACGAATATGGAGGAGTTATACAACAGCGTGTTAATTGAGACCCCGCTCGCACCATATTTCAAAGGCAGCCTGAGCCACCAGGATCTTGACGAGCTGAATATTGAAATTGTTCGAAACACCCTTTACAAGAACTATTTGGAGGACTTCTACAACTTCGTCACCACGGATTCCGATATTGCCGGCACCCCTACGAGCGAAGTCATGTCAGAAATGCTGGAGTTTGAGGCCGACCGCAGGTCGATTAATATTACGCTGAACTCGTTCGGCACCGAGCTATCAAAGCAGGACCGCAAGAAGCTGTACCCAACCTTTGGAAAATTATTTCCCGAGGGAATTCTGATGTTGTCGAGAGCAGATGACATTGAAGGTGTACGCCTGGCCGTGGAGGGTAACTCAGATTATAAGTCATACTTTGACCAAACAGGACTGGGACAGGGTGGTGGTGTTGGCGCTGGAAACATGAGCGGCGGTGCAGGGAGCGACACCAAGAGCTTGGAAGATCTCTTCTATCAAAAAGAGATGGAAATTTCCAAGAATGCCTTCACAAGGCAATTCACATATTCGATTGTATACGCATGGATCAAGCTGCGGGAGCAAGTAAGTCAACCCCGTCTTATCACGGGCTGTTCAAGGTCTAACATAGGATTAGGAGATCCGCAATATCACTTGGATTGCAGAGTGTATAGCACAGAACCAGAAGGAAAGGATTGGGAACTATATCAGCGTATTCTAGTCATATAGTCAGGCTTTCGACACGTCGTCCTGCTTTTATTTTGCACGGGTTAGAAAACAGTGAGATGGGCGCAATAGGCGAATGGGACACTGGTAGTTTTACATAATTCACAATCGAGTCTACCTACTCGATCCTTATTGTACATTGCGCCTCAACGACATATGCTGCTATTTTACAAACTGATCTCGTTCTTCCATGTTCCCTCAGTCAGACCCAACGTCGAGATTAGGTTCTGCCAACGATCGCCTCCACGCTCCTTTCTCCTGAGGTACTGTAACAACTTCTGCCTCCTATGCACCAGTAGTCTCAGGTTCCTCTTGTTGACCTTATCCTTTTGGCGCCCCTTCAACAACATGTGGTCTGCAAGGACCTGGATCTTGGCCGTCAAGATGGCTATTTGAACTTCGGAGCTACCAGTATCTGGGCCAGCACGGGGTGTTTTCTCTATCTTCGACTGTGCCTCAAGAACTCCAGCCGCACGAGGTCTCAGGACACCATCGGTGTTGTGGCGGCCAAAGGTATCAATGCAACGTCGGATGTTGGCTCTCGTCCTGTCCTTCTGGTTTCCATTCTCCAGAGCCAGAATGCGCTGGACTGCAGTGGTGGCTCGCTCGTGATCTTCGGCATGTTTGCGGATCTGCTGGGCTTCCAGTTCTGGGTCGATAATGTCTCGGTTTTCGGAGATAACGGGTTGCGTCAGGATGAATGAGTGCTGCAGTGCTGTCTCAACTTCGGAGGGTTTGATGAAGTGGTTTAGGTGGCGTGTAGTGTCCTTGTCCAGCCCTTGAATCGGGGTAACGGTCTTGAAGGACTCGACAAAGGGCGTTGAGATGCCACGAACTGGGTCCCCGAGGGCGGCGTCACGCTCCGCATTCAACTCATCCCGCCTCTTGACATTGGCTGCCTTCCTTTGGCGTGCTTGAGCCAAAGCATATGGGTCACGGTGTCGTCGCGTTGTCGTGGACGCATTGGCGACAGATATCTTTGATACTGGGCTGGCGACTGTAGGCTTTACAGCAGGTCGTGCGCATACTGAGGAATATTAGTAACTTGTGGCATTATAACATTGCGTGTACCACATACATGACAGAGCGCCAAAGCGCGCCAGCAACGGTATTTGAGGCGGCATGGCTGGTTGCTTTACTTCCTCCTGACCTGAATCCCGGCCTCATCTACACAGCTATTTTCTCGGGCGTCGCCAATGGTTAATATGGACTAGTCTGCGTTTGGATTAGTGGTTTTTACAAAACGCTAAACTATTTTGGGCATTGTCGCGAAACCCTACGAGGGCCGACGCACACTGAATATCGCCAAATAATTATCGTGAACTTTTCCTCCTTCACGTCTTTTTCCTCCTCATCTTCCGTCAACCACAACACCACGGTCTTACCAGGTACCAGATCAACCGTCAAAATGGCTCCTTCTCAACTCCCCCCGATCTTCAATGCCACCTCCCAGGACATTGAGATGCTCCTCGCAGCTCAGTGCCACTTGGGCTCCAAGAACATGCAGGTTCACATGGAGAACTACCTCTGGAAGACTCGCCCGGATGGAATCAATGTCATCAACATTGGCAAGACCTGGTAAGAGACGCTCTAATATGCTATACGCAGCTTCTACTATTTGCGCTGGAATTTCGTATTAATTTTTACGCTTAGGGAGAAGATTGTCCTCGCTGCCCGTATCATCGCAGCCATTGACAACCCCGCCGACATCTGCGTTATCTCCGCTCGCCCATACGGACAGCGCGCTGTCCTGAAGTTCGCCCACCACACCGGTGCCGTCGCCATCGCCGGTCGCTTCACCCCCGGTAACTTCACCAACTACATCACCCGCTCTTTCAAGGAGCCCCGTCTCATCATCGTTACCGACCCCCGTACCGATGCCCAGGCCATCAAGGAGGCTTCCTACGTCAACATCCCAGTCATTGCCCTTTGCGACACTGACTCCCCAACTGAGTTCGTCGACGTTGCCATCCCAACCAACAACAAGTCCCGCCACTCCATCGGTCTCGTCTGGTGGATGCTTGCCCGTGAGGTCCTCCGCCTGAGAGGTACCATCGCCAACCGTGAGGCCGACTGGGACGTCATGGTCGATCTTTACTTCTACCGCGACCCTGAGGCCGAGGAGAACAAGGAGATCGCCGAGGAGGCCAAGGTCCCCGGTGCTGAGGAGGTCGGAGCCGCTGCCATCGATACCGGCTTCGCTTCCGCTGGTGCCGCTGACTGGGAGGTCTCCGGCCCAGCTGCCGGTGCTTTCGCTGCCACTGCCGCCGCGACTGGTGCCGCTGCTGCTGCTGGTGCTGGATGGGATGGAGAGGCTGGTGCTGAGTGGGCTGCTCAGCCAGCTGGCACCACCGACTGGGCCGCTGCTGACCCAAAGGCCGCCACTGAGGACTGGTAGATGCCTGTCTTCTAGGTCTTATTACAGGTCAAACTGTAGAAAAAGAAACGATTTGCTACCCCATCATGTCGTTGCCTGATTGAGGATTCGCGTGCCTGACACTTATGAGGGAAAGATACTGGGCCGCTGTTGCAGTCGTTCGGCGGTTGAGGGAAAGCCCTGTGCTGGCATGTGTTTTGATTCCTTTGTCTTGGGACGCGTACTATATGGAATGCGAAGCTTGTCGGAGGAATTACGCAATAATGCATTACTGGAAGCTGTCCTCGGCCGCATCTATTTTGTGTGTCATTTGGTGCCATTGTGTGATGTGTATGTGACTAGTGTTTCTGCCTTGGTGCTATGTTCCGTAAGCTGTCTCTATTCCCCCTGGCATATCTATTGTACCTTCCTACGATAACATGAATGCTTCTCCAAAAGAGCTTCCCCTTTCGTTCTACCACACCACACCTCGCCTTTCAGTTTCTTCCACGTGAGCCCAGCCTCCTCATCCATTCTGCTTACTCTACTTTCTACAGAGTTATGCACGTGCATTTATACAGCTTGTCAGTATGACCAGCCTAAGCCCAAACATGGAGTGTCACGCACCATATCCGGAAGTCTCGTGAGCAACAATGCCATAACAAGTACGTGGATATCATTAAAGTCATATAAACAGCCTAACCCTACCAAAACAAGTAAGAAAGAACCTCCAAGACGCCCAATCGATCAATACACAGGCCCGAATAGGCAAAGCACCCACCCAAGCGCTCAAATCCCTTCCTGAAAGGGCAGAAGACCCCCCCGAAACAGCGCTAAACCACCCTATCTGGGCGACTGGGACGCCCTTCTCGCTCAAAACCCAGCAAAAATAGCCTATCCAAAACCCGATTTTCGCCCCGGTTTTACCCCTCTGCACCCCAAGCCAGCCCAGGCGCCCTAGCCAGAGCGACCCCCCCTGGCTAACCCCTCGCAGCTGCCCCCCGGTAGCAGAATCTGCAGCCCTAGCGCTAACTCTCAAATCAGAAGCTCGTAATGGTCGTGATAAAGCAGCAGCGAGTGTGCCGGACAAGGTTGTGCGCGGCTATTGGGCGGGGAGAGGGGGTGTTCCGCTCCGCTCCGCCAGCCACAACGCAGATGGCGACGACGAGGGTTTTTGCAACGCCGACGTAAACAAAAAAGAATAATTATGAGGGAAGTGAAAGAAAGAGGTTTCCGTGGTGACTAAACCTAGTATTCTGGTGATGGGTAGCGCGCGCGGGCCTGTTTGTACTCTTGTGGGTGCTTTCGCGAGGTTTTGCTTGTGAGAGCACTGGAAACCGCATTAGCTAGGTTCTCAATTTCCTTGCTTTGGGAGTTCGAAAACGGCGAGATTCTGTCCTTTCTATCCGTGCAATTTAAATCGCAGCCGGTAGAATTTTGCAGATATCATCTCATTGTGAACCGTCCAAACCCGGTGAAACCAGCATTCCAGGACAATAGAGTTCTGGATTGCAGTTCAAATTAGGGGTAAAACTTACGAAACGTGCTTCTGGCTCCACTCCAAATCCCTCTTCACCTCCTTGACATCCTGGAATCCAGTCTGCATTCTGGCGCGGGATTTCGCAAGACGAGCCTGTGCTTTTGCGCGCAGCTCCTCAATCTCGCGCTGCTTGTTGTTGAGTTTGCCGGATCTGTAATTTAGTCAGTTATGCACTCGTTGATTTCGGCGAGAAAAATTATCAATCAGCTATCACTTTTCCCGCGCGCCACAGATTCCAAAATGTTGAATTCTGACTGGAAGTGAAAAGGGGGCGGTTTCGCTAATGGCGGGGTAATGAGGGGTAATGCGCCGAGACGCCCCAAAAGAAATAGAACTCACGCCTGTGCTTGGGTCGCCAAACTGCGATCCAGCGGAAGTGGGTCAAAGTTCATGTTGGAGAATCGCTCGCTGACGTATTCCTGGAGATCGATACCGTTCGCTGAGTTCCTCGTCTCGTACTCGCTGCTGGCGTAGGAAGGAGTAGTGCTGTATCCAGAAACCGAGTATGATGGCCCGGTGGCGGAGCCAGAAGTGACCGAATCAGCGGTCTCTGGTGGTGAGACAGCGTAACTGCGGCTAATAGGCGCAGGGTGATAATATTGCGACTTGGAGGTCATGGCGATGGGGGAGGTGACGGCATAAGTGTAAGTGGCCATTTTGATGGTTTGATAGAAACAATAAATTGAAACTGTGCGGTTTGAGAAACGGTGGCAAGAGGGATGATAGCGTTTGGAATATGGATGTTAGATGAACTGAGGTTTGGTATAACCTTGGTGTATAAACAAGAGTATGTGATAGCGGTCGGGTGGTGGATGTTTCTGTTTGCTGGTGAGACGACGAGGTGTGTGAGTGAGGTGCTTGAAAGAGTATGTGCTCTGGGTAGTTACTGTGCAAACGGAGGTATGTGAATGATAGGAAAGGAAGAAGGAGGAAAGTCCTCCATCGAGGATTCTGACCTCCCTTTTATACTTTTTCCTCATCCCTCCTCGCTTCGGGGACAGGCTCGATGGAGGAAGGGGTGAATAGGTTTGACCCTATTCCTTCCCTTTGTGTCCTCGTGTCATGCTCTTGACCCCGCTCGAGGGACTCCAGAGATAGGCTGAACACCCCCCTTCACCCCATCCTCCTCCTCAGTTCCGGAAGCTCCGCCCTCCTTAGCCGCCGTTCCCGTCCTCCCACGGTCCTATTTCCTGTAAGTGTGGTGGTCCGGCCATGGACCCTGGAGGACCCTGGTTGACGCCATCTACGGGGATTGGTCTCAGAGGCAGTTTCTATTGATCACAGATAGCCGTCATTCGAGTTTTGCTCCGTCGGCACACCTGGTATTGGTGGATAAGGGGAGGGGATGGGGGGGGACGGTAGACGGGCATTGTCCAGTTAGATGCTGGTCTCAGGGAATGAAAGTTGTGAGGCGACTTGATTAAGGCGATGATACACTTCAAGCGCGGTGACGCTAGTCGGACTGGATAAAGCAGCACTGGAAAGTGGGAGAATGGGAGAAATGTGGGAAGATCCTATGAAGGTTGTTGTCTCAGCGTTGATATTAACATGCCCGATATTGGGGACATTTGTGGGAAATGTATGGGAAATCCCAAGGGCCCGGGAAAACAGAATAATCAATGATGTCAGGCAGAAGTGCATCGTCGGGCTGTGCGTGGGCGTGGGCGAATTGTGTGTCCAAAATATTTAATTTTTTATTGAAAATAAAAACATAAATTCGTCCCTGACATCACTTTGTAATGTCCGATCGGAACCCATCAAACAGACAGCTTGGAAATGCCATTTTCTGCTGTGATAGGCTAAGTGACACAACTGCGGTATCATAAAAAACCTTTGTGGCTTTGTGTTATGGGAACACAAGAGTCCTGCCATGGATGGTTACAGTGCAGTCAGTACATTTCACGGGCAAGTATCATGCTCCCCGCGGCACGTTTTTCCCCTAGACCCTCAACTAATAGCTAATACATTGGAACGGAATGCCACAAGGCTGCATTCGTTGGCCAAGGACGGAGTAAGCCCGCATATTTTCAGCGATCAAATGGCCGTAGGAAGACGCGGCCGAATATGCAGGGCTTCGGCTTGAGGTGGCCTATACATGCCAGGAACCAATGAAGCTGGACGAGGCGACTGGCACCTGTGGCACGAAAACATGGGCTGGACACAAATTCCAAAATATCTCGTCACAACCACTGAAGGAATTCGTGCATCGGAAGGGATACTGACGAAACCATGTCTGGAGGCACAAGAGGCACAAGAAAGTCTCAAAACGTGGAGTGCTGTCTAGTGGCAATTAGGTTATTCGTCTACTATAATACATGTGATGTGCTATTCGTGTGCTATTCGTTCTGTCCAATGCTGAGCTTATCCTAGATCTTCCTGTCCTTCTAACCAAAGATCTTGAGGAAGCCCCAGATGCCGATACCACTCAGGACTGGTATGGTTAGGTTGTCATCCCAGCCAAAGATATCAACAGCTTCACTAGCCGCTGCCGCAAAACCCGTCCACACGCTCATTATTGCAAGTGCAACTCCTCCTCCAATTGTGCTCTGAGAGTCAGTGAGGCTCAGCCCGTTCTGGATGGCGCCAGGGAGTCTTAGTACACCCGTGAACATAAATGGCCAGTCGTCATCACCAGGGAACGGCCCAGTTCGCGGGGCCAACCATCCCCAGAAACCCACGGCAGTCACAACACCGACAATAAATGCAGCGGCAGTGCCAGCAAGGGATTTTCCTTTCCTGATCCGTGGAGTGTATCTGCCCCAGGCCCGCCCGAAAGTGCTTGCAGCTGTATCACACCAACTGAGGAGGAGTACTGCAACAACACTGACGTCTTTGGGAAGGAAGTAGAGCACGGTCCATGTACCGAGTAAATACCATATGACGCCGTTCCATGAGTTGTACTCCGTCTCGCGCATGAGAGCACCAAGTGCCCTTACATATATTCGATTCAGGTATGGGAACCTAAACCTTAAATAGTCTGTTGCGGCGATAGGTACAAGTGCAGCCATCAGATAAGGTGGGATGGCGCTGGTTTGCTTTCCGGAGACGTATGCCCATAGCGTGAAGAATCCTATCGACACATGCAGTGCTTTCCTGGGTACCTCGTGCCTGTGAATGAAGGCGCGGAATTGTTTATGGATCGGAATCAAGCCGAGAGGGCTCGGGCTGCGACTGAAATCGCGCCAACTCCAGGCCGTCGATGGCGACAGCTTTGCTGGACTTAATAATGCCTCATCTTGTATTTCTGGCACCCCGTTGGGTTGGGCTTTGGAGATTCCGCTGGTCTTGCGAACCCTGACCGGGCTTCTGCTCTTCGGCCTCGGCCTTCTGCCAGTCGCATCGGTGCTGGAGTCTGATGACTCGTCGTCGAGATCTTCATGAATAGCCTGGGGGGTATTTACGCGCTTCCTTGCGGATGCGCGTGTCATCGGACCAGAATATCCATCCGGTGACGTCTCGGAGGGGGTGGGCGACGGTGAAATCACCCTCGGAGTTGCCGGGATCGACCGCGGAGGCATCATATGGTCAAAGGTCGGTAGCGCCCAGCAAGGTGCAACGCCGACGATAGTTCGCCGGATATTTCGCAGTCGTAGTATATTATATGTAAAGTGGAGTTGAGTGTCGTGTGTCGTTAGGTTCGTAATTGTAGCGGTGGACTGCGCTATTGGCTCCAGTGGAGCGATAGGTACAGAGCAGGGCTGCGTTGCATCTTCATAGGAATGGAGACTCTGCCAAATATTTCGTGAGCTGGCGGCCACGCTTATTATGATATAGGAAATAGGATGTGAGAGGAAGTGAAGGATGTCGTGGCATATGAAAAACGTGGGTTGGGTTGCTGACCAGGTACAGGCACAAGGCCGCTAAGATAATGAAAAAGTGACGAAAATGGTGGATGACGGCAGCCTTCTCTGTTAGGTCCGAGGCGCCGATGTATAAGATTTTTACGATAACAACTTTCTAGTTTGGATTCACCGCGAGGACGTTAGAAGGTATTTTATATGAGTGTAGAGTTTAGCTATCTGAATACGGAATTTTAATAGAGATGTCTGCATTTGTTTACCTAGTCCCTGACCTCATTTCTCCAATTCTTTATCACAGATGGGAAATCAACAGCAGGCATGTGCAATGGGGGCCATTAGTCACGTGCGCTATCGATAACGATAAGAAAATTAATTCAGCGGACATTTTCGACCACGACCACATATCTTTGATACGGCGGGGAGCTTCGATACGCTCAAGCTGAGAAAAGAGCAGATATACGGCGACATGCCAGCAAAGGATGTGACCAAGAAGGATCCCCGGGCGTGGGATGCGCTCACTCCTCCACTGTCCGATTGGACTCTCGGTGCGATCAAGACGATGGGCTTCACTCGCATGACACCAGTCCAAGCCTCGACAATTCCACTGTTCATGGGAAATAAAGACGTTGTTGTAGAGGTTAGTTGGAATGCTTGGATCAATTTGCCAATATAATAACTAATAAACATAGGCTGTTACTGGAAGCGGAAAGACTCTGTCGTTTCTAATACCAGTAGTTGAGAAATTACTTCGACTCCAAGAGCCACTAAGGAAGCATCACGTCGGCGCAATAATCATCTCTCCCACTCGAGAGTTGGCTACTCAACTGCACACCGTCCTGTTGTCGCTCCTTGGTTTCCATGCCCCGTCAGCAGCAAAGTTGACTCCATCCGAAGATGCGATACCATTCCCCGCGTCGACACTCTCAGTTGTCCCCCAACTGCTCCTCGGAGGAACAACAACCCCAGCCCAGGACTTGAGCGCATTCCTCAAGAACAGCCCGAACCTCCTCATTTCAACGCCTGGCCGCCTCCTCGAACTGTTGTCTTCTCCGCATGTCCACTGCCCTCAATCGTCGTTTGAAGTCCTCGTCCTCGACGAAGCCGACCGTCTCCTTGATCTGGGATTCAAAGAAGACCTCCAGCGCATTCTCGCCCGCCTCCCAAAACAACGACGCACTGGGCTCTTCAGTGCCTCTGTTTCAGAAGCAGTTGGCGAAATTGTCCGTGTTGGTCTCCGCAACCCAGTCAAAATCGCTGTGAAAGTAAAATCACTCAGCGGAGATGATAAACGAACACCGGCATCATTACAAATGTCCTATCTCCTCACACGTCCGCCCGAGAAAATACCCGCATTACTCTCACTCTTGGAGAACCTAGACCCTAAACCACAGAAAACCATTGTCTATCTTTCCACCTGCGCAGCCGTCGACTACTTCCAGCATCTCCTCATCGCTGTTCTACCGCCCAACTTCTCTTTGGTTCCCCTCCACGGCAAACACCCTCCTGCCGTGCGCACTAAGAACTTCACTAAATTCCTCAACTCCGTCACTCCCATGGTCCTTCTCACCACCGATGTTGCCGCCCGTGGTCTCGATATCCCACAAGTCGATCTGGTAGTCCAAATCGACCCACCTTCCGACCCCAAGGCTTTCCTCCACCGTTGCGGCCGTGCTGGACGCGCTGGCCGCAAAGGACTGAGTGTCATTTTCCTCCAACCTGGCCGAGAAGAGGATTACATCCCGTTCTTGGAGATTCGTAAAACGCCCATTAGCGAGCTGACGACACCGGAGGTGAAGATTAGCGAGAAGGATGTGCGTACTATAACTGATCGTCTGCGCAAGGAGGTCTTGGATGACCGTGCCCTGCATGATAAGGGTCAGCGTGGCTTTGTATCGTGGGTCAAGAGCTACAGCAAGCACACTGCTAGCAGTATATTCCGCGTCGCAGACTTGGACTGGACCGATCTTGGTCATGCGTGGGCATTGGTGAAGCTCCCAAAGATGCCGGAGTTGAAAAAATGGGACGGAGACAAGTACCTGGGCGTCAAGCTCAACATGTCCGAGTATGAGTATAAGGATAAGATCCGCGAGAAGGCACGCATAGTTGCTATGGAGGAGGCGAAGAATGCCGGTCCATATGTGCCAACTGCAGAGCAGCTTGCAAGGAAGAAGGAGCGGAGTGCGTGGAGCGCGAAGCACGATGCACAGGATCTGAAAGAGGATAGGAGGGAGAAGAAGAAGAGGAAGAGAGAGGCGGAGAGAGTGGAGAAGATGACTGCCGAGGAGAGGGAGAAGGAGAACGAGCTGCAATCATTATTAGAGCAGGTGAGGAAGAAGACAAAGATGGAGCAGAAGGCTTTGCTTGAGTTGGATAAGCAGGAGTTTAAGGGATTTGATTAGTTTAAAGCGTACCTGCGAATGACGATACGACGACGCTGTATATTTATTGCGTAAAAATATTACCACTTTCATGGAATGAGACTGAAGATTATGTTTGAAATAATAACCGTTATTTTGTAAGTGAATTAAAGCGTATGAGCGGTGGTATGATATAATTTGATATGTTGGTGTTGGCCGTTTCGCCTGTGACGCCTGTGACGCCTGGGGCCTTACAACCTCTTCTCCCCGCCATTGTACACCACCTCTCGTCAACAGTCAACACCATGCCTCGTTCCAGGTCGCGGTCACCAGCACCACGGCGCTCGCCCCCGCGGCGACGCAGCCGCTCACCAGACCGACAAGAAAAACCCCGCGACCGAGATCGCGACAGCGAAAGAGACGGAACCCGCGATCGCAAGCCTCTCGACAGACCCAAGAAGAGCGGCTTCAAATGGAAAGAGAAGCGCCGCGACGAGGACCGCCCCGAGGAGCCCAAGCGCCTTGAGCGAGGCTACCGAAACCGCTCGCCATCGCCTCGAAGACGTGAACCAGCAGCCAAGGGGTCGTCGGTTGAAGACAAATTTGGTGTTGCTACGAAGTTTGGGCCATCTGTGGCTGATAAGTTTGGGAACTCGTCGAAGTCGGAGAAAGGTTCCGCGGCGGACACCTCGAAGCCACCAGCTCGGGCGGCGGCTGCTGCTGCGGCTGCACCGGTTGCAAGTGGTGAACCTATGATTATCGTACACATCAATGATCGGTTGGGGACTAAGGCTGCGATTCCATGTCTTGCGAGCGACCCGGTTAGGCTGTTCAAAGCTCAGGTTGCGGCGCGCATTGGGAGACAGCCACACGAGATCATGTTGAAGAGACAGGGAGAACGACCATTCAAGGATCAACTGACGCTGGAGGATTACGGGGTTAGCAATGGGGTGCAGCTGGACTTGGAGATTGACACTGGAGATTAATTGAAGCTCTTCAATGCTGGGAGGCTGTGGGACGGTATCATGAGGGCGTTTAGTAGGGACTACTGGGTTTACTGTCAGAAACATAGGAATATTAAAGCACTATGGTTCATTCAAGAGATATTAGACTCAAATACTGTGACTGTGACTTATGTAGCGTACGTTCTGATCTGTTGCCATCCGCCAACTCCACCATCCACCACATATTCCCTTATCGATAAGCCTCGAGTGTTTGTAAATATCCATGTGCTTCAGCTACCCCAGCACCAAGAGCTTCCCCTTCACGGCACAACCAAAGATGCAGACAGCCATTGCCAAATGTTAACTGTCGCACCCACCCTCCGCGTGCGGAGGCCCTCTCCAACGACGGTTGAATATATCGTCTCCACGCGCCCACCCTCCACGCTCTCGTTCCGCCTTCTGCTCGGCATCTTAACAACCATCCGCGTGCTCCTCCTCCTGAGCATCGCCCTCCTCCTATTCTGCAAATGGCAGCTCTACCCCTCCGCGCCATCGATACTACCATATTCCCCAACGCCTGAAGTCCTCAGCCTAGACTACCTCTGGCACTCCCTCGCACTCCTCCATGCTTCGCAACTCGGCCTTGTGGCTACGCACGTGGCATCTCTCGTTCCTCTTTTCATCCTGCTCCCGCTAGCAGCTGCATTCGCCTATGTGTCCATCCTGCGCATCCACTCCCAGGAGTCCTTACTGGTCCTGCGTGGTCTTGGGATTCAGACTTGCTCGAGCTCGTCGACGTACCTGACTGGCGCATCGACGCAGTTTATCCCCACCCAGAAGATTCAGGATCTGCTCATTAACGAGGCATTTCGTGGGTTTGAGGTCAGGTACTACTTGGTTGTGGTTGTAGAGGGGGAAAAGGAGGTGGTGGTTGTCTTTCCCAAAACGTTACCTAGGCGGAGGGTTGTGGAGGAGGTGTGGAGGGGAGGGAGGCAGTGTTTATATGGTCGAGCGAAAGCTGTAGATAAAGCTGCGAATGGGAAGGCATAGGATGTTTAATGTTGGGATGGCACAGATGGAAGGGACCGAGTCTAATGATGAATATATGTATTGTTAAATGTTCTACTCGTCTCCGTTGTCAGTAGGATTGTTCATCCTCCTAAAGCCCTGCTTCTTCAGGTCCGCGGAATCCTCGAAGCCTTTCCGTACGGCGTACTTCTCGTTGATCACCTTGGGCGTCTCCATCAGCGGCTTCTTCATGACTGGAGTGTATTGTCCGGTCAATTTCGGCTTGTTGTTCCCGTCATAGACCTTCTGGCTCCTGACAACCTTGGCCCAGTGATCGCTTGTCATACCTTCAATGGCACCTCCTTGCCTTGCGACTGCACCCAGGAGGTTACTTGCAAGTACCTCATCAATCTTTCTCTCGCGCCAGACCTTCCAGAGATCTTCCATTAGACCAGTTGTGCCCCATTTCGTGTCGCCGCGGCCGGGCTCGTCACCGACATGGAGCCATTGGATGGCATTCTCTCGACTGGGATCATCTTCATGAGGAAAGACGCAGTCCCAAAGGACGAGTGGTGAATCCTGTGCCATTTCATAAGCTGGCCGGGAGGGAGTTTTCTCAACGTCAAGGAGCTCCTTTATGATAGTTGGTTTCTCCAGGCCCTGGCCAACTAGGAAGAGAATAGCCACCATGCAGCGGACTTGATGCCATAGGAATGCCGAACCGTGGAGAGTGAAGGTATATACCTTCGGAGATATCTGCTCGTTTGGTCTAGTGATAGAGGTCGCTGGAAGAAATTCCTTCTTCCCTACAAAGTCCAATGTCGGGGTTGTATCGTCCACTTCCAAGATATCAGCGAAAAACATCGTCCGCTCGAAATTCTCTATCTGTTTGCTGCCATCGATCTTGCAGAAGTTCCTGAAATCATGAGGCCCAACGAAGTAACTAGCCGCTTCACGCATAGCCTCGATATCGAGCCATCCATCCTTGACATTGGTGTTCTTATTCGTACTTTTGATGCTTGGATTCTCTGGCGTCGGTGCGAACGCGGGTTGCGTGAAGAAGTACTTATACTGCCTCTCTTTGCAGCTGAACCTGGCTGAGAACCCGAGAGGCGGCGCCGGGCACCATGCCAAGATTCGGATATCTGGAGGAAGAAGTCGGTTTAATAGGTGGCAATATGGTAGCTCATCCGCAATCGGATCGAAGTTGAGAGCTTCCTCGAATTCCGGATCATCGATGCTTAATTCAGGCGTGATCTGTGACCTTGCCACTTCAATGCTAGGACGAAGAGCAGGCGAAGCCATCTCAACTGCCCCATCGCGGGGCTTTGTGTGGCGAAAATCATCCGTCTCATCCTTAGGTCCCTCGGCCGTGTGCTTTGGTAGAGGCCTATTACTCCTGACTCTCAGGCCGATGACCTGCCCAAATGCACTGACGCCCTTGTCGGTACGCCCGCACTTCGAATAGTCGCATCCATCCCAGTTTATTTCGCCGCTGCCATCGTGCTGACCCAGAGATGAGCCCTTGGGGAATATGAACCGTGCTTTAACGAGCGCCTCCCATATCTTCTCCTCGACAGTTGGCAACCGCGTCTTGTTGTTTAAATGGTGCTCGAAGCCGTTGTAGGCCTTTCCCAGATATGCCAATTTCAGCGCGATGAGGCGGGTAGAGTATCTAGAGGGGTCGAAGGCCTTTTCTGTGCGCACTTTCTTGTAGCTCTTTGCTGGTGTCGCGACGGGATAGCTGCATGGTCATTAGCCAGGTTGGGATAGAAGATTAGGTTGCCACCAACTGTGCATTCTTGAGTTTTAGGTTGTGCTCCAGCTCTGTCACTCGTTTTATGAGATTTTCGTGAGACCACTCTTTGTAGTTTATTTTCTCTACAGGCGGGGTTGCCATATTTTGAAGCCCGAGTCTTGCCGCCTTCTTCCTCCTCTCGATTTCAAAATGAGTAAGGAGTTGCGGTGGTGAGGCGTGAAAATGCCTATTTTTTGAGTCGCCAAGAGATTTTAAAGACTTTCTCCAGTTGCGCAGTTGTGAGGTTCTCATCTCAAGGCCTCTGGTGGCCTGGGAGTCAGTTGGGTTTCTGAGTCGTACCCAAAGACTTTTTTTGGGGAGACGCGGAGTGACACATTAATCGCCGAGTCCCTGAACTCTGTGCTCTCCGGTCCCACTTCTGGGCCTGGCTTATCGATAAGATAACGATGGATTTGAACGTCAGTTCGCCTTTCACTATTCAACCACCATTCAATGGCCGATTCCGATCCCGATTCGCCTGTGGTCTCTATTCTATTCCTCGGCGATGCTGGATGTGGAACGTCTACGTTCTTCTCGTAAGTCTTGAATTGGTCATGATCGATCCAAGCTAAACAAATCCCAGGCGGATAAGCCAAGGCGCCGCGGGGCAACAGGCCGACAGACACATTGCGCCTCTTCGTGATGGCGACCAACCGTTCGTTTATGATATAAAGTTTTGCAATCGTCCGTTTCGATTTCAGCTTTATGACACCGCAAGCCCTGTAAACTGGAAGCTCTTGCATCCCGATGTGGTTGTGCTGTGCTTTGATGTGAGCCAGAGGTTGAGCATGATTAATATGCAGAGATATGTAAGGATACACTTTCCAATCCCAGCTTACTATCAGCGAGGCTATTGATAGACAGTGCCTAACGTATGTTCAGTGGATCAATGAGACTATCAAGTCATTTATGCTGGAACGAGAGCTTCCAATTATTGTGCTTGGCTTGAAGCGCGATTTGCGTAGCGAGACAGACCCGAATGGGATCATATATCCACAAGAAGCATATAGAATTGCTCAAGAGATGAGATGTGATAAGTATATAGAGTGTTCAGCGGTCACGGGCGAACTTTTGAAGGAAGCTTGGGAAGATATCTGCAAGACTGGTGCACAGACAACGAACAAGGTAGATGGGCTGCAGGGTCTCAGTGAGGGAGGGTGTTTGATAATGTAAAGAACCATCTCGTGAAATTTTCAGACACCCTGAAGTTATGTGTCTTGTTCCCGCGCCTATATACCCCGTGTGAGAACGCCGCGCAATGCTAAATACCAACCCAACCTTATGTTCCGTCTATTGCTGCCCTTCCATCTTTATATCTTCATTCCTTGCCAGCTTGGCTTCATTGTCCTTTTCTCTATGCCCACTTGCCTCAGCTGCCATGATCTGTCTATCCTTTTGGTCAGGCGTCCCGAGCACCTCTGCGACGATATTGAGGATATCGTCGCGAATACCGTCGACATCTTCGTAGAACCGGTCATCAAATTCCTGGATCAGGATATTCAACACCGCAGGGCTCATCGGCCTATTGTTCATAATCATGATTATCTCGGCTTTTGTGAGGTCGTACGGACGGAGGCGCTCCAAGAGAGTACGGATAGTGTCTTTGTTGTATGGCAGGGGCTTGCTCCCCAGTGGAGACGGAGGCTTCTCGAAGTAGTCCATGAGCTCCATGACTATGGTTTGCAGGTTTCCCGGTCCTGGAAATAGTGTTAGCATTCCAGCCAGAAAAGACATTGAGGGCGGGGTCGAGTAGATTTATTTGCAGACTGTATGTCGCGGCTTGAACGCTGGCTATTCTTACCTCTCTTGTTTTTGCGCTCCTTCGCATACCTCTCTCTCAATTCCGACAGATGAGTGAACACTTCATAGTTTGTTAAGACCGCTGACTGGGCTTCAAGGATCTTCATTCTGGTTTGCGACCCCGCGGTGCCGTTGTCTCAGAGGCTTCTGGTTGGTGTTCAGGCAGTGAAACAGATCCCTGATCAGCCAGACGAGCTACTACTGAGTTGCCTCTTTATTCTTTGGTACAGTATGAGATGTAAGAACGTGGATAATATGGAAGGCGCGACCTGGTTGTTTATATGAGCACTATATGGGCAGCTTGTACAGTAGATTAGCGAAGCAGCGTTTTAGTTTACTGGTCACCGCTGAGACACCAACGCCGCTTAAAGTGATTACAGTAGCTGTGAATAAAATAACAGCCTTTGATCTTCCAATACGCCTTTTCATACACCAGGAACTTAAGAATTAAAACAACCAGCGTAATTCCCATCAGCTGCATTTTTACTATTTGATTCCCAACTACTGCACCGTACGCACGGTCCTTCCTTCAAACTTTTTGGCCGCATGAGCAACTTCCAGTATGCGTTTATCGGAGTGAATTCTGCCGAGGCGGTGAAGCTGATTAGGTTTTTAATGCGCCATTTATGTCAAAGCTCTAACATTCCGCATTGATTGGGGTGGGGCACAACTTTTTTCCTTGACCTCGCGCCGAAACTACGATTGAGCCGCCTCTCGCAATTCCTCGTTTTCCTCTCCATCCGGAGGAAACAACCTCAAAATTCCTGTGTTTTCACAAGCACCAATATTCCAAATGTTGAAAGCAAACTTTACATTCGAAAGTGCTTAACCACTACTCTCCCCTCTGCCTTCACCGCATCCTCAAGTCACCCCTCATACCGACTTTTCCTTATCCAATCGAACGTGAACGGGAAACATCGGACAATCGAAATAATCCTTCATCTGCTCAACTGCTTCTTACCGGCAAGCAAGTTTGCTTAACTAGCAGACCTCCTACCTTGAAAGAAACAACATAAATACTCCGACCTTTTCACGATGACCAGAAACATCGTCATACTGGGTGGCAACTCGCATCCTCAGCTGGTCGAGACGATTTGCAATACTCTTGGCGTTGCTGCCTGTGATCGAATCCTCAAAAAGTTCTCGGTCGGTGAAAGTCGACTTGAGATTCAAGACTCAGTCAGAGGAAAGGATGTCTACATCATTCAGTCAGGTGGTGGGAAGGTCAACGACAACTTCATCGACCTATGCATCATGATCTCCGCGTGCAAAACCGGCTCGGCAAAGCGAGTCACCGCAGTCCTACCGCTATTTCCCTACTCGAGGCAGCCAGATATTCCTTATAATAAGGTTGGAGCGCCTCTAACCCGAAATCCAACAGACGTTAACCGGACTGACTTTTCCTTCGAGAGTCGTCCAGCTACACCGAGCTTGTCTCAGCCACAGAGTCAAGGCTTGGCAAATGGCATCGGTAACTTGCACAAGAAGCTTGGAAAGTCGTCGTTAGAGGATAACATGTCGAATGGTATTACCCCGCCTAGGCGACAAGATACGAGCGATAGCAGCAATGGATCAGTCAGGGAAGAGAAGGGCGCTCAAACACCCCACTTTACGACTCACGACTACGAGAACAACGCAGTCATCAACAACGCGGCATTTTTCCAGCCAAAGCCTGGATACAAGCAGTGGGTTGCTCAAGCGGGCACCCTTGTCGCGGATCTGCTTACCTGCGCCGGAGCGGACCACATCATCACCATGGACCTTCACGACCCGCAATACCAAGGCTTCTTCGATATCCCCGTTGACAATCTCTACGGCAAGCCGCTTCTCAAGAGATATATCCAACAACATATTCCAAACTTCAAGGATGCAGTCATCGTCAGCCCAGACGCCGGCGGTGCAAAGCGAGCCACAGCAATTGCCGACGGCTTGAACATGGACTTCGCCCTGATTCATAAGGTAACATAACCTGCCTCTTGACCGGGGCTACAAACTAATTAAACCCTAGGAACGTCGTCCGACTCGCATCACTGACCGCCAAAACGCCACCATGATGCTTGTGGGAGATGTCGCTGGCCGGGTCGCCATTATCATCGATGATCTCGCTGATACATCCAACACCATTACCCGCGCCGCCAAGCTTGTAAAGAGAGAGGGCGCTACCTACGTCTACGCTCTCCTCACACACGGAGTTTTCAGCGGCGACGCCATCGCTCGCATCAACGCGAGCGCCATCGACAAAGTCATCGTCACTAACAGTGTCCCACAAGAAGAGCACAAGCGCCTGTGCCCGAAACTCGAAGTACTGGAGATTGGCGGCATTTTCGCAGAGTCGATCCGAAGGGTATACCACGGCGAATCCATCAGCGTCCTTTTCCAGTACGACTAGAATACATGTAATGGAATTACACCAACCAATCTTGGGAGAGGCCGTTTCTTTCATGGCGTATATTTTTTCCTCGTTCTTGTGCTTCATTGGAGTTGGGAAGGCGGGTTCGTTAATCCCATTCATTTGACACCGTGCGTGGGTACACAGTACAGTTGGCAGTTGCCACAGGACATGATCGGTGCTTCGGCCGAAAAAAAACAAGCCCCGTTTACATATCTTTGCTATACCCAAAAAAAAGACTCCGAAGTCCAAAGACGGGGGAGAAGAGCGCAGGATATAACGGGCATCTGCGGCTCTGATTTCTACCTACCAGCTTAATTTTGTTCACACTATGAATGTCTTGACATCGTAATTGCACGCTTCCCAAGTGCTGGATACGGGCGTGAGACAACTTGAGAGGGTAAAGAAGACGCCAAGAAAAATAAAAGATAGTTGAAGAATATGGTTGAACATGGGGAAAATTGATGCGTGATTTGTTGCAATGTTATTGTGATTGTCAGCCCAACCTCCAGCTAATATGCATGTGATTTCCCGGCTCCTATGACCGTTTACGCCGTCTGACCCTGACCCTGACCCCTCTGAGGCCTCTCAACCCACGTCCCAACCTCTGGCAGCCCATTTTCCTTCTCCAGTCCTCTCCAGGGATTATCATTAAAGCTCGGATCATAATAGCCTATATACCACAGCTCATTCCTTTGCCCTCTCTGCCCCGCATTTTGACCCCTACCCACTGATACTCCCGGTGGTCCCATGGTACTTGGAGAAGGTGGCGGTGGGCGCTGTGGTAGTGAGGCCACTGCTGGGGTTTGCAGTATTGTCGTCGTCCCGGGCGCTGGTGCTATGCTGGATCCCGGTGGTGCAACAACAGGCGTCCTCAACGCGTTCATAAAAGCTCCAAGTCCAGAACTCTGCGGTTTCTTGGCTTTCTGTTTTTGCTTTGGAGGGACTGGGGCCGCCGAGCTTCCTGTTGAGGATAAGATGGCATCGATCTTCTCTTGTGCTTCCTGAGCTGCTTGATTTGGTGGTGGGAGGCTGGTATCAACATATCCTGGGCCTTGCTCGTCCTCATCCTCATCCAGCAAAATCTCATCTTCATTCCTTCCTATCCCATCCATGATAGGTGGCGGACGACTGGTGTCCAAATATCTCGGCCCATCGTCGCCCTCATCCACGTACTGCGGTCCTTCATCATCATCCAATGCAATTTCCTCGTCATTTTTCGCAGCTCCTGTTGGGGCTTGTGACGGCACGCCCAATTGCCTTGGCCTTCCCAGCGGAATCTGATTTCCTCCGCTGCCCTGCCCCTTTTTGCCCCCTTTGTCCACAGCTTCCAAGTCTTGGCCCTCAATGAAGGCATCGCTCTTGGGGTTGAACTTCCGTTTCTTGGGTGGTCCCTGGGTGCCGAAAGAGGAGAAGCCCATAGCTGCCGCCATGACGTCAGCCTCATCGTCGGACGAGGCATATGAGGGGTCCATCCTTGTTGCTTTGAGGACAAAGTATTACAGGTTTGAAGGTGAGTATAGTATCGTAGGTCAGGTGACGAGATGGGAATTCACGTCCAGATTCTGGGGAAGAAAGCTAGCAGGGGTCCGTGCTTTACCATGCATTAGGTGCTCTCACCTTGTCTCAGATCTTGGGCTTTGCGGCTGGCCAGCACTTCGATTTTTTGTACGTGTTGCAAGTTAAGAAATAATTTGGCTGGCAGAAGAAATCTTCTAAATAGTGTATAATATCCCAGAATTCCCATATAATTTGACGGGCCCGCAACTACCACGTTATCAAAATCACCACCGCACAAGACCTTGCCTCCTTAACTATCACCAACTCACCCCTCCAAAACAATGTCAGACCCAATCGCCGCCGAAACTGTTGCAGCTGCGCCCACCACTGCCTCCAGCATCCAGATACGGGCCCCAAAAGAACGCGGCGCACCCTCATCTCCATCCTCCGCAACCTTCGTCCCTCCCCGCGACTCTATCACAGGAACCTGGCACGTTACCCACTCCACGCTCCCCATGTGGAGAAAAGCCCGCAACGTCGCCATAACCTACGCGCCTCTCTCGGAAGACGCCAACCCCAAGCTTGACGACTCGGTGACCTATCAGGGCCTTACGGGCTCTGGTATCAAGACGGTCTCTGGCATCGATACGCCCGCGGGTGATGGGGCGTGGAGCTGGCGAGGGAAGGGGTGGTTGATGATTGCGAGTAGCCATTGGCAGTTCTTGGGGTATGGCGGGGGAGGAGAGGGAAGAGAGGGGGAGGGCTGGGCTGTGACGTATTTCCAGAAGACGCTGTTTACGCCGGCGGGGATTGATATTTACAGTCGGCGGAAGGAGGGGCTGGGTGCTGAGAGGCTGAAGGGAGTTACGGCTGCTTTGGCAGAGAATGAGAGCGAAGAGATTAGAGAGTTGGCGAAGGTGTTGTTTGAAGTCAAACGGGACTAGATGGGCATTCATGAGGGGAGCCCTGCAAGTGCGAGATAGACGACATGTCGAGACAGATGTATAGAGATACCCAAATTTGATCAGCAATGAATTAACATAACCTGTACGCTAGTAATAAGTGCACACAGAAGCTTGCAAATACTTGCAGTCAAAATGAAACGATCACATGCATGTAAAGCAGGGCCGTTTTACAGTTGCTTCTCTAGTGAGATAGAATAACACAATTGATAGTTACACATGCCTCTCGCCGCATGACAGTATATACTGCAATAATCATACAACATATCCCCTCTCTATTCCCTCCATCAGATCCCCCATCTATTCCCTCGGCCTGGCCTCTCGCTATTGCCCATCTATTGCTCAATCTCCGCCAAATCCTTAACCCTCAACTCAGACAACTTCAACACCGTGAACTTGTGCTTGCTGATAACAGTCTTCGTCCTCCGATTCCTCTGCTTCTTCTTAATCTTAATCCGTGCCGGCTCTCCCTCGGTCCCCATCACAATAGCCCTGCACTCGAACACCCTCTCGTCCACGTGTGGTTGCCCCTTCAATGTGTAGTCTCTGCTGCCAATAGCGGAAGCGCGGTTGAGTCGGAGAACGTCGCCTGGGACAACGCCAGGCATGTGGAATGGGAGGCGCACGGTATCTCCGACAGTGAGGAGGTATGGTCGGCCGTGGATGAGCGCGGTTATGAATTTCGACGGTTGCGCATTGAGCAGCGGTAGGAGCTCCTTCACCGATTCCGTGACGGCGTAAGGAGTAGATGGCGCGGCTGGCTGAGCAGCTTTGATTTCAGTGGCAGACGCAATGGCCTCAGTCGAGATGGGAGAATGCGAGGCCAGCGGAGCCTTCGAGGTCGGGGGCTCGACGTGCTGTTCTGTCGAGTTGAAGTATCGTGCCTGGCTGGGGAGGAGGAAAGTTGGCGGGAGTGTCGAGGAGGGAACCCGCACCTCCTGCACCGCTCGTCTTAATGCTCTGCTAAACATTTTCGGTCTTGAATGTGGCCTGCGATGCCAATTGCAGGAGCTGGTCTATAAAAGTTGGTGGTTCAGGGCGCTCGAGAATCTCGAAATCTTGCTGACTAATCAGACGCTACGACCATGAAGTCTTGGCATGCCGATTGCGAGGCTTATCTTTGGGAGAGGGTTTGGCAAAGTTAGAGGAAAGCCATTTGGGACTGTACAAATAAGAAATAATCGTAAAGGAGATGGGTGTTTGAGTGCATCTTCCTCATTTGAGGTTGTTTGCTTGAAAAGTAACTTATTTCACGTTGATGGCTTTGACTCTTGAAAAACGAATGGCAAGATGGTGTTATATAATATGTCTGTCTTTGATATAAATGCGATATATATTTATATTCGAACAATTAATCTAATTACCTTCGGCGGCGAGCCTGGACCTCGCAGTCTATATTCTCATCTGACCCAATAATTCATCCAGAAACGCCCATTTCTATCCAAGCCCTGGACGCTTTATTTCCCGTCTTCCACAACCACAGCAACAACTACACATATATCATCGACCTTTCCGCCGGTCCACATCTCATGCGGGTAGTGCTTCTGCACCTCTTTGGCAAACGGCCCATCAACCCTCCTATTAATACTCGCCGCCTTTGCTGCGCTCGCTATCCCCATCGCCAGGAACGACTGCAACGATTTAACATGGTCAGACCCTGGCGAATCATCCTTCAGAATATAATCAGATAAGCGATCCGTAACGTTGATGCCGTCGTCACTGTGAGTCCACGCATTTGACCCAACCATCAGCTTGCTGACAAGCCGAAGGATATCGTAGCTATTGAGATTATCCCACACGCCATCTGTTGCAAAGACGAGCACATCACCGTGGCGCAAGCTGTGCTTGGAGACCGCGGAATCCTTTGGCATATCATCCAACTGTGTTCCTCCAAAGGCTTGGGTCATCATCCGCATCGATCTTGGTATGATGGCCAGTTGATAGGGGGTGTTGAAAGCGTGTGTCTGGGGCTCGGAGTTGTAGTGCACCGCATTCAACCGCAGCTGAAGGAAGCCAGAGTCGCCCAAATTCGCAACATCCAGACTTCCATCGGTCCTCGCGATTGCGACGCAGGCAGTGCTACCGCCTGCTCTAATAGTCTTGTCATTGACCACAGAATCGTATCCTTCTTGCATTAATCCCATTGCACTCAGTGCATCCCCCGATTCGGTATCGTAATTATTGGCTTCATATGCCATGTAGTCGCAGAAGGCATGGGAGAAATCCGCTGGGTCCACTCCCGAGTCTGCCCACCCACCTACTCCGTCTGCAACGCCCATCGCCACATCGCCGCTGTCGCCGAGCTGAGAGACGAAAAAGGCATCTTGGCCGGAAGCAGGGCGGTCTTTTCTGTTCGTTCGCCGCTTGACCGGGATTGGGCGGGGTTCGAAGTGAAGCACGTTATCTTTCGGCTTGAAGCGTTTGTCCTTGGCTGTAAAGGAGGCAGCAATCCCGTATGAGAATCGAGGTGGTGGGGATGTGGCTGACGAGGAGCTATATTCCTGTCGTTTCGTTATGGGTGTTAGGAGGCTATGCTGCCGTTGTGAGGGCGCTTTCGTTCGAAGAGAGGGGGCTGTAAGGTTTCTTCGTCCTGTTGATCGTTGGGCACAGAGTGTGGGAATGGCATATTCTGCTAGGGCAATTCTCTTTGATGCTGCCGTCACCAACGTGTTGGCTGATATGCGCCGCGCCGCAATGTCCATGGCTGCGAAAGATTGATGTCCTGGACTCTAAGAAATGCGAAGCTCGGGTGGCTTGCTGTCGGGGAACCAAAAACGCGCGCTAAATTGCTGCCATTATCGCTCTGTATATGTATGATTGAAGTCGCGGGCTCTATTATGCGTTGGAGTCGTAGTTACTGGGCTTAAAGTGTTGGTAAAGCCAGCTCCTGTTTTATGAAAAAGGTATTTCAGAGAATTAAGGAAATCGCGGGATTGGGGCGCGGCGGCGCTATCAACATATCGGACGGTAGGGTGCCGTGCTCCGATAGTATGGAGCTAAATATGACAATGGGTTATAGAGAAGAGTCTTGGTATTAGGGTCCTAATACAGATAATGAGCCTAAGGAATAATTCCTATACTTGAAATGACTATTTTTTGTGATGTGGCCTTCTAAAACAAGAAAGAGACCCATCGTTTTGATATGCCGTATTGAGTTCCGGGGGAATCGATGTATCAAATCCAGCCTCGTAGCCTCGCGGCAGATCTCCAGTTTTAGCCAATTACCCGATCGCGTCACGTACAGGGGGGTTCCAGACCTCAGCCGCCTGCAACTGCCCGCGACAAAGACCATCGATCGAATAGATCCATTTATTCCCAAAGGGGTTCTCAATAGCATTTCCTGGGAACCCTCAGTTGAGATATATACATTCATATTTCTCCCGACGTTCCACACAAATGAGACTTCGTTACTAAAACTGGCCGACTCACAGCTTGGCAATTTACACAGCAGTCGCCTACAACGACCGTCACATACAAAGCTTCCGACCATGGTGGGACGCGAAGAAGAGGCCACAGGCCTTTTAGACAACAATCATGAGGCCCAATCACGGCCCTCAGTCGATTCAATATCTTCAGCATCGACGACTAGCCTAGTGTTTGAACGAATCGATGAACAAAACAAGAGCCAAGCCAAGGCATCGAGGTTACAAGCCCAGAACGGCTCCCGACCCTACAGCGACCATATGGACGCGTCCTCAATAGACCCCGAAGAGGAAAAGCAGCAAGACCTCGAAAATGGCCTTTTAACGAGCGGCAAGGGAAGCAGCAGATGGTGCACAAAGCTCGTCTGGATTGCTGGGGGAATATTCGTCGCGGCATGGGCTCTGGGAACTGTTATATTTCTCATTCAACATCCCGTAGCCGATGCCCCTCACAACCCAAATGCGCCCAATATCGGCAACGGAAATAAAGTGACCCTACCACAGGTTCTTGGCGGGCAGTGGCGCGCGCAAAGGCACGGCATCAGCTGGATTGAGGGCGCCAATGGCGAAGACGGCCTACTTCTTGAGCAAGGTGCGAGTGGCAAGGACTACCTCGTAGTCGACGATGTGCGCGGGGATAATGTGACACAGGGTAGCTCTCCAATCAGTGTTACGTTGATGAAGGAAAGAGACTTCACTTCGGGAGGTGAAAGACTTAGCCCGTCGAAAGTCTGGCCAAGCAAGAACCTTAAGCATGTTCTCATTGCTACCGACGTCGAGAGCAACTGGAGGCATTCCTTTTATGCCCGATACTGGATCTTTGATGTCGAGACTCAAACCGCTCAGCCACTGGACCCGACCAACCTCCGTGGTAGAGTTCAGTTGGCAAGCTGGAGCCCCCAGAGTGATGCCATCGTGTTTACAAGAGACAACAACATGTTCCTTCGGAAACTCTCTTCGCCAAGCGTCATACCTATCACAACAGATGGGAACAAGGACTTGTTCTATGGTATTCCCGACTGGGTCTATGAAGAGGAAGTTTTCTCCGGAAACAGTGCGACTTGGTGGGCTGAAGATGGGAAATATATTGCATTCCTCAGGACAAATGAATCTCAAGTGCCAGAATATCCAGTCCAGTATTTCATAAAGAGACCGAGTGGGACGGATGCCGCCCCTGGAGAGGAGAACTACCCAGAGGTCAGGCAGATTAAATACCCAAAGGCTGGGGCCCCGAATCCAATAGTCTCTCTCCGGTTTTACGATATTGCCAAGGGCGATGTCTTTGACGTCAAGACCACGGATGAATTTGCCGACGACACTCGTCTTATCACAGAAGTCATCTGGGCAGGCTCGACAGGAAAAGCAATCGTCAAGGAGACCAACCGCGAAAGCGACATTTTACAAGTCGTTTTGGTGGATGTATTAAGCCGCTCAGGCAAGACTGTGCGTACTGTCAACGTGGCTGAGATTGATGGCGGATGGTTCGAAGTTTCTCAGAAGACTCGTTACATTCCAGCAGACCCTTCGAATGGAAGGGCCCATGACGGTTATATTGACACGATAATCCACGAGAATTATGATCACCTCGGCTACTTTACGCCTCTGGATAATGCCACGCCAGTTCTACTTACTTCCGGAGACTGGGAGGTTGAGTCGGCTCCATCAGCTGTGGATCTGAAGAAGAACCTGGTGTATTTTATTTCCACCAAGGAATCGCCGATTCAACGGCACATTTACAGTGTCAAACTAGATGGAACTGATCTAAAGCCCCTCACTGATACTTCAAAAGAGGGGTATTACGGTGGCTCATTCTCCAGCGGTGCTGGTTACGTTTTACTTGGCTACGAGGGTCCTGCTATTCCATGGCAAAGGGTTATTAGCACGCCGAGCAATCCCGACTCTTACGAGAAAATTGTGGAGGAAAACAAAGGACTGGAAAGGATGGCCAAGAAGCACGACCTACCCGAAAATATATACTCTAACGTTACAATTGACGGGTTTAACTTGCAAGTCATTGAGCGCCGCCCGCCTCATTTCGACAAAAATAAGAAGTACCCGGTGCTTTTCCACCTCTATGGAGGCCCAGGCTCACAGACAGTCAACAAAAAATTCAACGTCGACTTCCAAGCATATGTTGCTGCCAACTTGGGATATATCGTTGTCACAGTTGACGGTCGTGGCACAGGGTTCATTGGGCGCAAAGCGCGTTGCATCATCCGAGGTGACCTGGGACACTGGGAGGCGCGCGATCAGATCGAGACTGCAAAGATCTGGGCTGCGAAGTCTTATGTCGATGCGTCTCGCCTTGCTATATGGGGATGGTCATATGGTGGATTCATGACCCTCAAGACTCTTGAGCAGGACGCCGGCAAGACCTTCCAATATGGTATGGCAGTTGCTCCAGTGACGGACTGGAGGTACTACGATTCCATCTATACGGAGCGATATATGCACACGCCCCAGGAGAACCCAGGGGGGTATGACAACGCAACCGTCAGCGACGCACTGGCATTGCAGAAGAATGTGCGGTTCTTGATCATGCACGGTGTTGCGGATGACAATGTGCATATGCAAAACACATTGGCACTGCTCGATCGACTGGATTTGGCCGGCGTGGAGAACTATGATGTCCACGTCTTCCCCGATAGCGACCATGGGATTTATTTCCACAACGCGAACAAGATCGTGTACGACAGTAAGTTTGCCCCTATAATTTCAGCCACGTGCCATATACATTCACTAATACATTACAGAATTGAACAACTGGCTTATCAACGCCTTTAACGGCGAGTGGTTGAGGACGACGAATGCTGTGCCAATAGCAGTAGACACTGCTGCTGACAGGGAGAAGGAGTAGGCTTTTGGAACAGGTTGAGCGCTGCCTCAATGTAGAGGGGCATAAGGCGTTATCACGTATCATATATGTGCGATAGGAGCTGTATCAGCATTCGCGGCGTTTGGATTGGGACCTTGTATACTTTTATTTATTCACTATTGCAGAGATACCAGCTGAAGCATATCAAATGGCCAAAAATTTATTACTCAAAAGCTTCGTTGATTGACATGAATCTCCAAGTCAACGTCGTAAGCTCAATCGTCACGACAACCATAAAGCAATATCGCATGACCAATTGCTCTGATCAAATTATACAAGCTATCTCCTTTCTAGCTCGCCGGCGTCGGTGCAAAAAGTCGGATTGTCCGTGTTGACATTCTCTCTATATATAATTAGCACGCCATAACCCCACACAGTGTTATCATATTGCTCGCATGGCATCAACCACCAAATTTCACCACATTACGAAGCTACCATGCCCAACTCTAGTGTCGCTAGCGACCACACTGATTGATCAGACTGAACGGTTGATCTGGGTAAGCTGTTGACGTCTTCTGACGCCTTCGCAATCACCCATCCTCCATCGGTCAACTCTTTCTGTCACGCCGATGCCTCCTCATAGCTCGACCTTGAAACCTGCACATCATCACGGTACGGAGAAGTCAACCACCGACCGCCGTCTGTTTTAACCCACTAGGTATGTGCAAGATTTCGTGATCGAACTACGTAGCCACTTAGGACGCGCTGATTGAAAGCACGCTCGATAGCGGGGTTGGTGGGACCGACGACGCCGATATAGAAACAAGGCGCCATGAGGATACGCATGGCGGGGTAGCCTCGAGGACGGGCAAAGCATGGTAGTTGTCGCCGACAGCTCCTCAGAATGCTTCAATGAGGAGCACAAGCATCGTTGTCGTCGCCATAGGCTGCTATCTCGCGTCATTGCGATCTTGCATACATAGCGAGCTATTCTCTCACGAAATATATATATATGCCCTGCAAGCCTGAGTCGCAAATATGTCTCCCGGACTCTGTTTTATAGTCATCTCTTCCAACTATCCTACTCGACCGAAGCCACAGAAGCCTACAGCTATTTCAATACCACCAGTACCTATCAAGACTTAGACATTATGGCTCCTTCTATTGAACAAGTCGTTCCGGAGTCCGTCGTGCAGACTGCTGAGCACATCCAGGAGAAGCTTACAGCTGTTAGCCTTGGCAACTCTGAGGAGCAGAAGCCTGTTGAGAAGGTTGAGGAAGCTCCGGCTGTTCAGGCCCCAGCTGTCGAGACTGCTCCAGCTGTTCAAGCTCCAGCCGTCGAGGCACCGGCTGCTGAAGTGCCAGCTGAGGAGGCCGTCAAGCCAGCGGCTGTCCCAGCTACCAGCTACATCAAAGCACCCCTGAAGCTCAGCGGTGCCATCGACTCATGGAAGAACTTTGAAGTGACCCCAGTTATTGGGCGTGAATACGCCGATGTTGACCTCGCCGCCGTCCTAACGGCTGAGAACTCTGACGAGCTGCTCAGAGACCTTGCCATCACCAGTACGTTTAGAAAAACCCGACCACACACAGAATAAGAAGTGCTAACAGATCTCTAGTCTCCCAGCGTGGTGTCGTCTTTTTCCGTGCCCAAGATAACCTTACCGACGACCTCCAGAAGCAACTTGCACAGCGCCTTGGCGAGCTCTCTGGCAAGCCTGAGACTTCCAAGCTTCACATCCACCCTGTTGCAAACGCAGGAAGGGAGCACGGAGGCAAGGATGACGAGATCAGCGTCATCTCATCCGAGCAGGCGAAGAAGATCTACTTCAACTCAAAGTCGAAGTTTTACAACCAGGGCGTGAAGAAGCAGAACGGAAAGATTGGCTGGCACTCGGACATCACCTTCGAGCCCATCCCATCCGACTACTCCATCCTCAGACTTGTTGAGCTTCCCTCGACTGGCGGTGGTAAGTCCTAAAACAACCCCCCAACGCTTGAGCCAAAGCTGACAATCAAACCACAGACACCCTCTGGGCCTCCGGCTACGAGCTCTACGACCGCATCTCCGAACCATACCAGAAATTCCTCGAGACCCTGACCGCCACCTACGCGCAACCCGGCTTCAACGAGGCCGCCGACAGGAACGGCTTCAAGCTCTACACCGAAGCCCGCGGCGCCCCCGAGAACGTCGGCGACCTCCTCGAGGCCATCCACCCCGTCATCCGCACCAACCCCGTTACCGGGTGGAAATCCGTCTTTGCCGTCGGCCAGCACGTCGCCAAGGTGAACGACGTGAGCGAGCTCGAGAGCGAGGCGCTTCTGGCTTGGTTCGTCAGACTGTTGGTCGATAACCACGATCTACAGGTCCGTCATAGGTGGCAGAACCCGAATGATCTCGCTATCTGGGATAACAGGAGTGTGTACCATGCTGCTACTCCGGATTACCTCGAGGGTAACTATGGAGAGAGGAAGGGGAACCGCGCGGTGAGCTTGGGGGAAAGGCCGTATTTGGACCCGGCTAGTGTGTCGAGGAAGGAGGCGCTGGCCGCTGAGAGTGCTGCTTCTGCTTAGAGCATTTAAGGAGAGGTTTTTGAGCGTAGTGTACTTGGCTTATTTGGGGTACAAGTAGGATGAATAATGAAATTGTTAAATATAACCGAGTGCATGCTTAATTGTAAAAATGCGACGTAAAGTATGAAATAAGAATGAAAGCGATCGATATAAACGCACAGAAACAGTTGAAGGCTTACCGTTGTCGTCTTTACCACCCTTGCACGACGGATAGCACCTCGTGAACAGACATAAATTCTCACTGAACAGCTAGAATAATGAAGGTTGGCTGACACCGGTAGTCGTGAATCTGTTCAATTTTGTACTTCTTCCCGTACACTGGGAGTGCCTATATAACCCAACTCCAAACAAATGCTGCATCGACCCACCCAACAACGCCTGGTATGTTCCCCAAAATCCCCCCTGCCCACAAAATTTACTTTTCGTTGACCAACACCATCTTCTCGCGCTCCGGCTTCCTCTTCTGGAACTGCTTCTTGGTATGCTTCCTCTCATTCTCAATCTTGCGCTTAATAGCCTTAAGCTCCTCCGACTTGATCTCCCCAGCCTTCTTAATCACCTTCGGCACATGTCTGTGTCTCTTGATACGGCGAATCTCAGGCATATGCTGATACCTCTCCGACAGCGCAGCGTTGTATTCTAACGCCTGTCTTTGCTTGGCGGACTTGATACCCTCGCGTCTCGACGACTCGGCGCGCCATAAGCGGATGTTTCCGTCGTCGGAGCCGGAGAGGATGTATTTCGAATCCGGAGTGAACTTGGTGGAGAAAACACGCTGCATACGCTTGGTGTGGTAGATATCTCTGGAGTGTCCGCTGCGGGCCTTCCAGATGCGGATGGTGCGGTCGTAGGAGGCGCTCACGAGTTCCTCGCCGGTGGGGCTGTACTCGACGTCCATGACTGCTGCGACGTGGTCCTTAAGAACGTTGAGGGCTTTGTTCATCTTCCTCATGTCGAAGACGTAGATGTTGTGGTCTTCGTTTGCTACGGCGAAGTTAAAGGCTTCCATGGGGTTCCAGGCGATGGCGTTGGATGCGAAGTTCAGGACTGTCTTTGCGAGGGGCATTGAGGTGCGTAGATCGTATAGTACGATCGACCTGTCTGTTGCGCAGGAGGCGAGGATAGAGGTCTCGACCTGGTTGAATTGCACGGTGGTGATGGTGTCTGTGGATGTTGGCCACTTGAGCACCTCTGGTGGGGCGGTAAACCTCTCGAGGTCGTAGATAGAAATAACTCCCGACGAAGCCGCAAACGCATTCTTCGACCTGTGATGTGATATCCCCGTAAAGGCATTCGTACCCAGCCACGTCGCTAATGGCGCCGTTCCAGAGGGTGTGTTGTAAGGATCGAAGAGCTTGATCGAGCGATCCGAAGCGCAAGTCAAGAGCTTCTGGTCTCTCGTCCAGCTCATACTCTTCACAATATTCTCATGCGCACCGACATTCCAAATTTCCTCCCTGCTAGTTAAATCCCAGACCTTCACTATTCCGTCGCCACTGCCACTTGCAAATCGGTGCAGGGAATTCGGGTCCTTCGCCATGGTGTAGACTCCGTCCACATGGCCCTTTCCGAGCTGCCCAATAAATGGGGCGGCAAACATACGCTCCAGCTTTGTCGCATTGAGCGCACGAGTGTATTCTCTCGCTCTTTCGAAGGGATGTAGTGCTGGATCAAGGTTGCGAGGCTGTCTGGCGACATCAGAACCTGGCGCTTGCGCCGTGGCCGCTGAGCGCGTGAGCGCTTTAATCTTCTAAATTGGAGTATTAGCACTATTTCTCCTTATTAAAAATCAGTCTTTCACATACCATGATGTGCTGAACAGTTGGCTTCCCATTTACTGTTGGTTCATTCAAAATTCGCAAGAGGCCGTTTATCGAAGCCTCGTCTCGAACTTTTTCGAGCAGGGATGCTTTATCGGCGAGCACGTGACCATCCACTAGCGCGTCAAGCTGTCGCCCAAGGCGACTGCAGCTACGCAAGACGGTATGCCCAAACCACCTCAATCACACAACATCAAAATGGCGCCGGTAGATTCAGATCGGATAATAGAAGCTGAGAAGCTGGTGAAGACGGAACCAAGGAAAGCGGAGGCACTATACAAGGATATCCTCTCGAAAACCCCGTCCGCAACCAACGATGCGGCCGTGCGGGAGTTTGAGACGGCGCTGGTGAAGCTGGGAGAGCTGTATCGTGATGAGCAGTATGTTTATTCGAGTGGGTTTGGATGACCTCTGCTAACAGGAACAGGAAAACTGATGAGCTTGTCAACCTAATCACAACAAGCCGGACAGTTCTATCGTCGTTTGCAAAGGCAAAGACAGCTAAACTTGGTAAGCAACCTCCAACCTCCCCCCCAGAGCCTGACTCTAACCCTCCCCAGTCCGCTCCCTCCTCGACCTCTTCCACAAAATCCCCAATACGACCGACACGCAAATCTCCGTCACAAAGTCCTGCATCGAATGGGCGACCTCCGAGCGCCGCAGCTTCCTGCGCCAGAACCTCGAGACCCGCCTCGTCGCCCTGCACATGGCGAAGCAATCCTACTACGACGCCCTCACCCTCATCAACAGCCTCCTCCGCGAACTCAAGCGCCTCGACGACAAGCTCGTCCTCGTGGAAGTTCAACTCCTCGAATCCCGCGTCTACCACGCCCTCGGCAACGTCGCCAAAGGCCGCGCCGCCCTAACCAGCGCCCGCACCTCCGCCGCCTCCGTCTACACACCCCCCCTCCTCCAGGCGGGTCTAGACATGCAATCCGGGATGCTGCACGCGGAGGACAAGGATTTCAATACCGCGTTCTCGTACTTCATCGAAGCGCTCGACGGGTACCATACCCAGGATGAGCCCGCGAAGGCCACAGCGGCACTGCAGTACATGCTCCTCTGCAAAATCATGCTCAACCTCAACGACGACATCGCGCAGCTCATGACCTCCAAGCAAGCCGTCAAATACGCCGGCAAGAACCTCGAAGCCATGAAAGCCGTCGCGCGCGCACACGCCAACCGCTCGCTCGAGGAATACGAAGCCGCGCTCGGGGACTACAAGTACGAGCTCGGCAGCGACACCTTCATCCGGAACCACCTGCGCCGGCTGTACGACAGCATGCTCGAGCAGAACCTCATCAAAGTCATCGAGCCTTTCTCGCGCGTGGAGATCGCGCATATCGCCAAGATGGTGGGGTTGGATGAACAGCAGGTGGAGCGGAAGCTGTCGCAGATGATCCTGGATAAGGTGATTATTGGGGTGCTGGATCAGGGGGCCGGGTGTCTGATTATCTTTGATGAGACGGAACCGGATGAGGGGTATGAGTCGGCGTTGGCGACGATTGCGAAGCTGAGTGGCGTCGTGGATGTGCTTTATACGAACCAGGCGTCGCAGCTTGAGTGAGCGGTTTTTGGGGGCTGAGCTGGGGGGATGGCAAAAGGGCTTGTAATAAATAGAGGCGCTACATGGCGGATCGAGAATATCAAGGCGTTGCATTACTCATTATGTGTGTTTTTTCTTCACTCTGGACTTGTTCGCGTTTGTGACTGTAACGTAATTCGTGATTCCCGACCAACTCCTAACAATGAGGTATATACAACAGTAACCCACCATCCCCACTAGCATCACACTACATATCCCTACAACCACCCCATCCCCAACCCCAAAATCCCCTTCTTCTTCCCCTCCTCCTCCTCCTCCACCCTCCTCACCCTCTCTTCCTCCTCCCTCTTCTCCCTTTCCCTCTTCCTCTCCATCCCCACCAGCCCATAAAGCCTCTTACACACAAACCCCTCATCCCACCACCTCCCCCCCTCCTCCTCCTCATCCAGAAACAAATGTACCACATCCACCATCCACACCTCCATCACCAGACTATCACTCCCATCGCTCTCCCGTCCCCACACCGTCTTCCCCGCAAACTCGCTCTCCCTCACCGACGCAGGGATCTCATGCTCCGGCGTCGGGTTCTTCTTGTAGTCACGGTAGATCGAGCGGAGGGTGAGCCAGTGGCTTTTCGCCCACTCGGAATCTTCCATGAAGCGCGGTGGTTTTGGGAGAATGGAGGGGGACGCGGCGGTCGTGGAAGGGGAGGCGGCGGTCGTGGCACTGAAGATGACGGCTTTGATGGGGGACGCGGTGCTGGCGAGGCGGAGACAGGATTTTAGAGGCGAGGGGGCGGAGGGGCGGCGGTAGGGGTTTGGGCGCGCGGGGGTGGTGGAGAGGCGGGTGGATTCGTCGAGGGAGGAGGTGCGGGAGAGTTGGGAGAGGTCGGAGAGGGCGGAGGGGGAGGGAGGGAGGTCTTGGGTGTATTCCTCTTCCTCCCTTGTTTGGTCCTCTTCGTCTGTGGCGAATTGAGAGTCGGATTGTTGGGTGAAGTCCGCTTCTTCTGTTGTGTCGTTGTATTTCTCGGTAGCTGGCAAGCTCTGCGTTGGTGATGCGAGGGTTTCATCTTCGGCATAGGAAGGCTCGGGTTTCTTCACAGGAGAGGACGCGAGTAGCGCGGAAATACCTAGGATATTGCTCTGTCGTGGTGTAATCCTTGGTTTGAAATTCTGTTTCTGTGGGAGGTCCCAAGTTGATAGCTCCGTTTGGTCATAATCTTCCGCGATGGGGGGTGCCTGTGGCCGCTCTATTGGTGCCATGAAGGGTGTCGATTGTGGTTTTGACAGTCCAATACTCCGTCTTAATGGTCCCAGTTGTGGCGGACCAGAAACCAAATCGGAGGGCTTGGAAGTGCTCTTCGGCAGTAGAACAGCCTTTGGTGCAAGCTGCGAGGTTAGCCTAGCTAGCACACTGGTCACTTTGGCGTCCTCTCTTGGTACCAAGGTAGCCCTGGGAGCAAATGCTGGTGGCGCTGGAAGTGCCACATTCCGTGCTTCAACTGGCGGTGCTGCTATCGAGGTTTCATTCTTGTTTATTGGCGATGAATCCTGAGCGGCAAGTTCGTCGCTATACACCAATCGTCTGCTATTCTGCCTCCATGGACTTGGGAGCTTGCTCCGTCTCGGCCTTTCCAATGCGGATGCAGCCTGTTTTGGGGCAATATCAACATGCTTGCCTATCGATGGCGAGGAATTGCTGCGTGCTTCGGCTAGCCATATGTCCTCATCATCAAAGACGTCTTCGACAACGTTTGCCTTCGGGGCGAGTTGAGGTTGTGTTAGGAGTGGAGTGCTGTTGATCGTTGGCAGATCCGATGGCACGACATACACCTGGGTCAAGTCTAGTCCCAGATGTTGAGTAGTCTCAACCTTATCCACTTGCCATTCATCTCTCTGCTTCTGCTTCTGAGATTCCATCTGACGCTCCGCAGTGCGAGAAGACCCCACCGTAGCCTTACCACTTCTAGACCCCTCACTATCATCCCGCGGAGGCGTCCTCATCGCAGGATACTCAGCTTGCCAACTCATCTCATCAGAATAGCGAACAGTATTCGTATCCTGAGTCACCAAGTTAACAATCTGCGTATTCCTAGCCTGACCCGGCGTAGGCAGCCCCAAAGAATAATCATCCTTCTCCTCCGGAGAAGGCGAGCGTAATTGCTCAGATGCCTCTGCGAGGAAGGGGTCATCGACAATTAATGGGATGTTCTTCATGAAGCCCGGCTTTCGCTCATCTGCGGCCCCGCTTAATGTTCTGCTTCGAGAAAGGTTGCGCCATGACATTGGTCCGAGTCCGGGAACAGAGGAGTCTAGTTTCGATGACTGGGCCGCTGCCTCCTTCGTTGGCTCCTCAGTTGGAGATAATGGGTGTCTCCTAGCGTTTGGGCTTTTGAATGGGCTGCGAAGGAATGATGAATGTGTGCTTGCCGAATTTGGAACGAGAATCTCCTGAAGTGCACGACCTGCAATGACACTTGAAGACAAAAGTGGTCTCGGTACTCCATTGACATCCGTCGTACTCGGCAACTGTTCTCTTGGAGGTGGCCTTTGTTTTGGGGGAGGTAGAGACGGAGATGAGAACACGATTGATGGGGTTTCGGTTAGGCCGAGTGATTTCCGCTGTCGTAGATGTGCGGTGTATGTGTATCGAGGAGCTGCAAATGATGGAGGTGACGATCTCATTTGAGTCATATTTACTGACGAATCCGCGGTTGACTCGACGTGAACGCTTTCTCTATGCGTAACTGAAGCTGCTTTTTCCTGAGAAGGTTCCTGAGCAGATGATCCAGCTGAGTCGTTATCTGGTGATGGTGTCTCTTCTGGAGTCGGCAGCCAAGGTGTTGTGGGATGCTCGGAATCGCTATTCGAGGTAGTGATAGCCTCAACGGGCTGAGTAAGGAGTGCAGATCCAGTCACAGGGCTTCCTGCTTGAAAATTTTCACTGACATCCGCCTCATGATCCTGGTCTCGCGGGCTACTCGTGGTGGGCTGGGACCTAGCAGATCTATTCGAAGCGGAAACACCAACTAAACTTTGCTGCATCGTCTGCACATTATCAAAGCTTCGGCGCTTCGATGAAGATGCTTCTGATAGAGACGACATTCCCGATGAAGATGGACGATTGTCACTTCTCCTGTGGTCCACTTCACGTTCTTCAAAGGAAGACAGAGACTCGAACGGCTTGCCCTGGATAGAAGGGCTGCTGAAGTGTTCCCGCAACGAAGGCACCGAATCAACTGATATCATGCTAAATCCCTCGCTCTCCAGGATCGTATCAAACTCTTGGAGATCACCCAGGCCATCTTCAGCCTCATCATCGTAGTTTTCCTCTTCATGCTGGGATCTATCATATCCGGAGCCAATCTTATTCGCGGATAGCGATGAACGAGGAACCTCCTCCACCGCCTGATGAACAAGCGGCGACCCCCGCCTCGAGCTGGCCGTGGCCTGGAGGTGTCTGGGGATAGCAGAGACAACTCTCGGACTCGACCACCCTTCCGCTTCAGGTGTTATCTCTCTGTCAAACTGGGCAACCGTAACATCCTCGCCGAATGCGGTCGATGTAGATCGGATGGTTGAATGTTCCGAATTAGACCCCATCGTATTTTGTTCCACAGCCCGTAACGGCATATCATCTTCGGGATGCATCTCTTCAGACTCCTCGGCCGGCGAGCTATGTCCCATGAGATCTTCCAGTATCGGGATTTCTTGCGGCAGTAACGACTGTCTTCCCCCCCTCTTGTTCGCCACGCTCGATTCCGGCAGATCTGACGAAGGCCCAGTCGATTTCGCAGCAGGTGTCTTCCGAGTAACAGATTTAACAGATCTTGACCGTGACCGTCCCTTACCTCTTCCGACCTCGACGCTCTTCCCAATCGCGAAATCCCAGTCCTCCTCGTCATCACCATCCACTAAACTTCCCAGTGTCCTCCTCCTCCTGGGCGACTTTCCTGGAGTTACATTTCTAGTTTTCGCGGGCACCGGGGTGCCTATCGACTTTCGTGGGCGACCGCGACCGCGTTTTGGTGGCGCGGCGGGGCTGTCTTCTTCGGAATCGGAGAGGCCCTTGAGCGGGACTGTTGTGGTAGTAGTTCGCGTGTTTGGGCGTCTTGAAGACGCATAGTAAGGCGACGGCGAGGGAGATCTGAGGTCTGAGAATTCAGGGTAGGAGTTCTCCTTGTTGTTCTCCGCTTCGACGGTGACCCTTATTTTCTGCGGCGAGATGCCATTGCCGACGTCCAACTCGAACGTTTGTTTGGTTGGCGAGCTGCCGTACATTTGTTGTGACCTGCGGACTCTCGATTGCCGTATAGATTTTGAAGGTGATGAGAAGGTCGGAGTGTCGTTGAGAGGGTCCGGCGAGGAGGGTAAAATGTCTGCCATGTTATAAGACATGTTCTTGATTGTGTAGTGTAGTAGCTTCGACTAATTGCTCATGAAGCTCTGGACAGCGGAGGCGCGTTCCAACTCGCAACAATATAAAAGAACGCGTCTTTTTCCGAGCTCGTATGGTGTTAGTAGCAGTTACCGCATTGATTTCGTATATTTATGTACATGAATATAGTTGCTGAGGCTCTTGGAGTTGCCTGGCTGGTTTGTTTACATTGACTGTTTGCGGAATTGGGGGTTCGACAGCTGATGTCCAACCATCTCACAAGTGGCGGGAAGGGTCCTGTAGTTGCTGTAGATTGGGTAGAGTCTAAACTACTTTAGGAAATACTAGGTAATACTAAGATACAAAGCTAAAGTAGAAAGTTACAAGGCTACAACACGGCAAAAAGCGGGGAATTTAGGAATTTGGGGATAGAGGGGACCAACTTTTGACTTGATTACTAATTCAGGATGATTAAGTAAGCTGCCATGATATCCGATTCATGGGATCTTGCGCCATCCAGTGCTAAGAGAGTTCTAAGAGACCATGACGGAAAGGAAGGAGGGGGTTAATGGTGACTGGCCATACATACCACAGCATTCCGGATATACCAATGGCATACCCATCATGCACCATTTTAAGCCCTGTCGAGTACAACTACGTGTGATATACCTGCTCTACCTGCTCTATATGGAGATGCCGGAGGTATTCTAGGCATTCTGGGTATTCTAAGCAGGTCTGTATTATAAATACAATATGCCCTTTTATCACGGTAGGTCGCTGCTTACTATATCAAACTCCACGTTGACGCCATTTCCTTGTGGCATCGAGGATTCATATGTCTCTCACGGCATATATAAGACGTTCCCCCGCTCTTGCTTCATCTTTCTTACTTTCCTATTACTCTACTATCCTACGCTGTCTTCCGGTCGGACTGGCATATCAAGTGCAACTAATCCAACAACAACCACTACCACATATCACACACCATATCACCTTCTCATACCTCACTCAAGCAACTAATCCTCCAACAACCACTTACCACTCTTCACATCACCTCCTCACACCCCAAACCACAGCCATGGCCACAGTCTCCTCCCAGCCCGCCACCCCCGCACACAACCTCTCCTCCTCCGCCCGCGCCGAATCCGCTGGCGTCCAAACCGAAACCGCCACCCTCCCATACCATATCCCCCGCGGCAACGTCGAAGCCGAGCTGCACTTCTACCTCCCCCCCGAGGACGGATCACACCCCTACAACTGGGTGAACAAGCAACCCGAAGGCACTCCCCAGCACAACTACGGCTCCACCGTGCAAACCGTCACGATCCACGACATCCGCGGCGACGAATCCTCCTACACCCTCGACAAGGACGCCTTTGCCGTTCTCCAGAATGTCGAGTCGTTGGGCGAAACTGAGTTCACGGATGACGACCACATCAAGGAGTTTTACTACCCCGAAGTCGAAAAAGTGCTCCTCGATAACGTCCCGGGGGCCAACAAAATCTTCATCTTCGACCACACCATCCGCCGCTCCGGTCCGGAGGCAAAGAGGGGTCCGGTAAACCGCGCCCACATCGACCAAATCGCCAGTTCCGCCGCCGAGCGCGTAAAGGTGCACCTCCCCACCACCGCCGAGACCCTCTTGCAAGGTCGTTACCGCATCATCAACGTCTGGCGCCCCCTCAACGGCCCCATCGTCGCACAACCCCTCTCCTTCGCCTCATCGCACACAGTGCGGGACGAGGATCTGATCCCCGTCGAACATCGGTATCCGGATCGCGTCGGGTATACGGCGAGCGTGAGGTGGAATGAGGGGCAGAGGTGGAATTATCTGTCGGGGATGAGGAATGATGAGAGGATTCTTTTGGAGTGCTTTGATAGTGAGGGACTGAAGGAGGGGGGGGAGGTTAAGGGGGGGAGAGTGCCGCATTCGGCGTTTGTGGATCCGAGGACGCCGGAGGGGGGGCCGGGGAGGGAGAGTATTGAGGTTAGGGCGTTGGTTTTTGGGCCGTAGATGGTGGTGATAGATTCTCCTAGAGGGTTTGCTGGGATACATCAGAGGCGGGGGGTGGGGGTCGATAAAGTTGTAGGATTTGGTTACACTACTCACTCATTAACGGGTTATGATTACAGTGTTCGGCACGGATGCCAATATACCTGTGGTATCCGGGTATATCCTTAAGGATATACCTACTTGGTGATATTTTAGGAGTATCTAGCGTATCTAGATACTCTCGAGTATATATCTAGATATATACTAAGAATAGCTAAGCATTGCTAAGACCTCTTTTTTCTAACGTCATAAGACTAGTATTAATGCTATATAAAGTAATAATTATCCTTATAATGTAGATTGTGGTGTTTGAGCTTCGGGTTTAGCGCCCGCCCTAATCGGGCAACGCGCCTGCACGTTCCTGCCACCGCTTTCGACTTCTATAAAAGGGCCACTCCCTCCCCTCTCCTCTGTCCCTCTCCACCGTCGCCCCTCCCTCTTAACATTCTCGCACCTGCTGCGCTCATCGTGCGACGCTTGACCCATTTGCCCCCTCCACGCTGCATGGCCCCGCCTAACGGATCGCAGCTGAAAACCCGTAGTGGCACATGAACGCATTCGTAGAGCCACAACCTCGATTTACGCCCTCCGATAACGCCCTCTAATAACTGCGCCTTCCATGCCACCGGGCTCTTTGAGATGGCAACGAGCCCTTTGAGCATCGACGTTCTATCGTTTTGACTCCTCTAATGCTAGACATTAGAGTAGTCAAAATGATGGATACTTAAGCATCTCGAAATCAGCGCACGTATCGACCCATATCCGTATACGCCGTGTTCCTTAACCACCCTAACTCCTCCCACTGTAAAATCCGTCCGCATCGTCGCCTTCAAGCTTAATTCACAGCGTCCCTCCACCAGCTGCACCATCGCGATCTTACGATCCCTGGTACTTAAAAGGTCACATCTTAGCTCTAGGGCCTCCCTAATGAGGAATGGCCATTGACCGTATACTTGCTATAGCACGCAAATACCGCAAGGTCGCCCTAGTCAATACCTGAGCAGTGGTGGAACGTATGTAATCATCTCACAAGAGTGTCTTGCGCATGGTCGATGCAGCTGCCGCGAAAGCCAGAGATACCGTAAGTGTGTTAATCATTCCAACCCCCTCTTCAACGAATCCAGCGCTCTTTCGGATAATGTGTGCATCGTCGTACTCGTACGCTCCGAAATAAAGGGGCCCAGCTTGTCACAAAAGCTTGATTCGCCCTGGCGGAAATGATCCTTGCCAAATTCCGTGTGGGGATCCACACGAACTCGGCTCGCTGGATCGGCTCGCCAGAAGCGGGATAGGCGGGTGCCTAGGGCGCGGTGGTTACATTAGGGGATCGATAGTTGCAGGACCATGGCAAGGGGAGGAGCAGGTCGGTGTTGGATGCGTGGTGGAGGTTGTTGTGAGGTTTAGAGGAGGTGGGGTGATGATGGTGAGAGGGGGATACTGGGGATTGAATGGATTTGAGGGAATAAGAGGAAAGGACTTTCGCTGCGTGGGAGCGAGAACGAGTCGTTATCCCGATATCCTCAAGTCTAGCCCTCGGAAATTTTAGCCGCGTATGCAAGAAATGAGTTACTTTATTTTAGTCCCAGTCCTCAACATACCGTACTATAATAAATAGCGCTAGAGATCCCCCCGTCTCGATCGTCCTGGACGTTGCTCTTCCTTTCTCACTCTTGAACAAGCTGCTCGCTCAAATTTTCCACTCGTTTTGGTTCACATTCCAGACATCATTTTTGTTAGTAGTACATAACTCACCACCTCCAAAATGCACAAACTCGCCCTCGCCCTAGGACTCTTCCTGAGCCCCGTCGCTGCGGAGTACACCACCACCCTCCTCGTCCCCGGCCTCGACCTCGACCCCCAAGCCATCGGCGGCTACGTCGGCAGCGTCATCGCCACTGTACCCCTCCCCCCCCTTTTTTCCATCCCCCTTCACACCACGCCACTAACCTCCCCTCCCAGGACGCCACAGCAACAACCTACGCCCTCTCCTGCCCGCTCGCCGTCGGCAACGCCTGCGGTGTCCCCGCCAGCCTGCTCATAACCCAAGGCCCATCAACACTGCACTACGCCTTCCCCACCGGCAGTGGCGACATGACAGCGGACTGCAAGCTCACGGGCACGCAAGGCGTGTGTAGCGGCTCTATCCTCGCGACGGGGGCGCAGCATGGGGTGGTCACGGTGGGGTATAAGAGTTTTGGGATGTATGATGAGGTGGTGGTTACGATCACGGGGGCGGCACCGGAGGCGACGGGGGAGGGGGGTGCTGGTGCTGCGACGGCGACGGGAACGGCGACGGGGGAGCCGGCGGGGAAGACGGCTGGTGGCTTAGGGAGCGGCGGCGGCGCCCGGGGGGAGGCGAGCAGTGCCACGGGTAGCTCAAGCAGCGCCGTCAGCTCGAAGGCCAGCACGGGGGGGATGCCTATGATCACTGGGCATGCGCAGTGGGTCATTGGAGGGGCGGGTGCGGCGGTGGCGATTGCTGCTATGTAAGGAGGATGGAAGGCGGGTTAAGAAGTGCTAGAGTATCACATTGAAAATGAGGAAATCCCTATAATGTTGTCTAGTCACCCCATTCTCTAGACGCTGGCGTGGCGGGGGGTTGCTTGCTGTGCTTGGGGGAGAGGTTAGTAGGATTGTTGTCTAAGATAAGACGAGGATTCTGAGGTGGTTCCTGAATAGAAGCTATTTTGTGATAATGTCCGTGGCCAAATCGCCGCCGTCCTGCGTGGTCTTCTGGCGTCCTAGCTAAATCTGGATCATAGACTCAAGAGAACTGGGCATCCCGTCCGCTCTGCCATACATAAGCTTGTAATCCACTTGCTTTTTACTCTCAATCGTGCCAATAGGCATAGCGTGGAATCTGAGCCCCTTACCACCTTAAGGGGTGAAGCGAGGGTGAGTAGGGTGAGCAGGGTGAGCCGAGGGGTGAGAAGTGTTGGTGGGAGGACCGGAATACGGAGACGGTGCCTCCGGTGGCCGGAACTCTTCACTTTGGCGCAACAGAACAGAAGGCTTCAAACAGTAGAACAGATCAATTGAATTTCAACCTAATCTACGGCTATATGCTTAAGAATCTATCACAAGTCGTTTCTCATTTACAAAAGTCCAGGGCAGTAAGCGTTAGCGCCCTAGTAACTTTTCTAATAGAATCAACTGTTGCCCACTCTGTTGCTGCATGTGCACCGCCTCCATTAACGCCAAAGAGAAGGGCTGGAATCTCTGCCTCAGCCAGTAAAGCGCAGTCGGTCCAAAATCTTTCTGGTCGTAGTGTAGCTGGCATTCCTAACGCATGTTCGATGTTCTGGAGAGCACCGGAGACGAAAGGTTCGTCTTTACTGATATGGAAGGGGTTTCGAGACATTCCTATGCGAGTCTCATACTTGAAATTCGGCATTGTTTTGGTGAGGCGATCCAAGATGCGGCGGATTTCAGCGACAACAATGTCTGGCGTCTCTCCCGGAACTGTACGTCGTTCGATTGAGATGGTGCAAACCGCTGGATACGATGTAAGCTCCTCCCCTCCCTGAATCAAAGACGCATGAATAGAGCCGGTCCCCAAAATCGGATGACCAGGTCCTTTCAAGATATCTTGACTATATTTGTCTAGCTCCACAAGAAAATGCCCAGCTTTGCAAATCGCATCGATGCCTAAGTCTGGCCTGGAACCGTGGGCAGATCTGCCTATGATATCGACGTACAGCCATGTGAACCCCTTGTGGGCGAGGGTGACATTGAGGTTCGTCGGTTCGCTCACGATAGCCCCGTCTGCTCTCCACCCTGCCTTAAGCACCTCTTCGGTACCAATGCTGACGTCCTCTTCGTCTGCAACGGCAGCAATCATCACGTCTCCGGAAAGTTGAGAGACCTTTGCCGTTGCCAAAGCTACAAGTGAAGCTGCTATTCCGGCCTTCATGTCGTATGCCCCCCGACCAAAGACTGACCCATCTCTAATATCTCCGCTTAAAGGATTGCCATCGTAACCAGCCGTCGTCACTGTATCGATATGGCCGGTTAACAGGAGTGATTTACCTCCTCCGGTCCCTCTTGATACACCAACAACTGAGGGACGACCTGTGGTCTTCTCAAGCCAGTGCGTTTCGATGCCCCTGTGTTCAAGCCAAGCAGATATATAGGTTGCAATTTCCAGCTCCCCAGCGCCACCAGCTCTCGAGAGCCCAGGGTTGGTAGAATCGATCCGGATCAAAGCTTGTGTGAGCATGACTGGATCTTCGATAGACACGTCCATGGGTACGTCGTACTCTCGAGGTCCTTCGGTACATAGTACAACCACCACCGAGTCCTTATCCAACTTGAATATATCAGAGTGGGAGCGAGATATATGTTTCAATGCCGCAAGTGGTGCAGCACCACATGGCCCAGCGGAGACCCCAACTTCCCGGAGGTTCCCAACAGCTTCGTGGGCTTCGGCATCAGAGACGGTGACACTTGCATCGACTCCATTTCTGAGCACCGGCCAAGCTGTCGTTGATAGTGTACCGCAGTTCATCCCGGCCATGATGGTCTTCCGTGTAGGCACAGTAGTCAACTTATCCGCAGCCAGGCTCTTCCAGAGGCATGCCGCACTGTCTGGCTCTACAGCTAGGATCTGTGTAGCTCGGCCAGGAGTTTTGTAGTGGCTGACCACAGCATGCGCAAAAGACCCTACTCCAACGGGAGCAATTACAAGGTCAGGTGCTTTACCCATAAGCTGGACGTCGATCTCAGCCATCATGGTTGAGTAGCCTTCAACGACCCACTAGAGAAATGCATTGATTAACCATTTGAACCTGGACGGCGGAATAGGACTCACCTTTGGAATCTCCTCGTAGCCATCAAAAGCCGTGTCTTGAACCAAAATTGCCCCATATCGGTCCGCTTCCTGCCTCGCCATTCGAACTGCCTCGTCGTAGTCCCCATCAACTAAAACAACTGTGGCCGCTTCTGATTCCAGCAGAGCTATTGTGGCTTTGTGCAGGCAACGTGGGACAAATATCTTAGAGGAGGTTTCAAGAATGCTTGCTACCCTTGCGACCGCTCGCCCATGATTTCCCTCAGTGGCAGCGGCCAGTGTTATTGAAGCAGCTTTTACACTCTTGCGGAGGGTTGCAAAGTCAGTATCGATAGGAAGCTTGGTCTTCCCGATAATTGCGCGAAAAGCTGCCCAAGATGCACCCAGGATCTTGAATGACGGCAAGCCACACCGGCTGCTTTCGTCTTTCACATACACTGCTTTGACACCAATCTCCGCTGCGAGTTTGTCCACAGCTACCAAGGGTGTAGGCTCGAACCCAGGCATTTTCTTATGGAAGTTGGCTATAGCTTCGCTAGAGCCTGGCGACGCTGAAATCCATGTCTGCGCTAGAGGGTTCACGTACGGAACGCGTCTGGTTGAGCGAACGGCCATCTTGGATTTCTACAAGACAATGACTTTTGTTGGGCGAGATACTTAGTTGGTTGCAAGATGAGAAAAATCACTTTGTGGTTGGTTGCCATCCTTTTATAGAAAGCCAGGCTTGGCCATACATTAGTATAACCAAACTTATTCGCAAAGCAATGACTGTATTCAAGTGCAGACAAGAATGTAGGGCTAGATTACCTATTAATATAGGTACAAGTACCGGCTGTGCATATGATCTGCCCTTGAACGGCGATACTAGCAAAAAGAGGTTTCGGCTATTGAGATAATCCCATGAAATTCCGTCTATCTTATCTCTTCGGCTATTTCTACGTCTATTTGTTCGTCTATTTGTTCGTCTATTTGTTCGTCTATTTGTTCGTCTATTTGTTCGTCTATTTGTTCGTCTATTTCTTCGTCTATTTCTTCGTCTATTTCTTCGTCTATTTCGTTCGTGAATAATGACGTCTAGACGTAGTGCCCCTCGTAGCAAGAACGGTTCGGCTCCCACTCCCCTGTTTCTATTTCAACGAAAGACTGACCGTTAGAGCAGGTTGTTGGACTTGCCGAGCACGTAAGGTCAAATGTGATGAGTGTCAACCTATATGTGCCAATTGTGAGGATCGTGCTCTTAATTGCGACTATGCACCACGCTTGAAACCCAAACGCCGCCAGCGCCAGCGTTCTGATATTGAGAGGAGCCCACTAGCGTCAAATGACAGGGCCATACTTCGAGCTGGCCACGATTCCTCTGCTAGCGGGCCTATTATTAACAAGCCTTCGATCGAGTCATCTTCTGACCGATCACCTGTTTATAATTTAACCCACAACACTGCCGATCGCTTTTCTACTCACAGACTAAGTGTCGCATCTCCAGATGTCTCCAGAACAGTCCTCCCCTCCACAGCTGGCGATGAGAATGAGTTGCCCCTCAATCTCACTTCTAACGACTGGCCAATACCCCTGACTTCAACGGATTGCCAAGCAATCCATCATTATATCAAAGACTTTGTCCCCCGTATGGTGCTCAAGACACCACAATGGTCATCCTACTCTGCCCTCCTCCATCTGTGCACGAAGCACGCGCTCCTAGCACATCTTGTCGTGGCATTCTCGGTTCGGGATATGGCCCACGAAGACGACGCAGAGTTGGACATACTTGCCATCGAGCACTACCGGAAAGCCCTGGGGATGTTCATAGAACATCTGGGATCATCTAATAGAGAGTTGTGGATAACGTTTCCTGCTTTATGGTTATTTATTCACTATGAGCAGCAGTACGGCGATAGCCCTCGAGCCCTACAGAGGCATCTCGAAGGTGTCAGAGACGTCGTTGATTCTCATGGCTATGCGCTGTTTCCCGGATCCATCGGGGGATCCACCACAATGAACGTGGCCGGGGAAGAAATGCCTCGTCAGATCCTAGATCGACTTGCGCTTTGGACAATCTATCATGATGCTGCCGCTGCAACGTTTGGCTTTGGTGGAGGCCTTATACGGCTGCTGAAAGAGCAGTATCCTGGATCAATAGAACGGATACGGCCGAGTTCTAGCACGGCAATTAGGGATGCGTGGGGAAGTGGATATCCGCCGGAGGAAAACTTCTGGGATCTGCAAGTGATCCCTTTGGAAAATCTTATGCACGAGAGTATTTTGCTGAGATACGAACTATCTCTTCTCAGGCAAGGTAACGAGAATGGGTTGGATGCCAAGGGTTTGATCTCCATCGGGCGAAAGCTCAAACAGCTTGAGCAGGTAGGGAATCTAATATCAGGTGCTTGAGAGAGGTTAACGAATATCGTAGGAGTACTCGTCGCTTATAGAAGCAGCCCTGTCGAGGAAAATTGAACGGACCACAATTCTATCCAACATGTGCGTAGCTGCAGCAACCTATCTTGCAGTGGTTATACAATACGAGAGACTTGCTTTTGAAACATGTCCCTCAGCTGCTGTATCTAAGACGCTTCAGGCATGCGCAAGCCTTCACGAGTATGAAGGCGACGGCTATATGCGGAGGGTAGCATGGCCGATGTTTGCAGCTGGACTGGAAATAGACGATCCAATCCATCAATCCTGGCTTCTAGAGCGTTTCGATAATATAAAGGGCACGAATATGAGGCGTGCCGCCATTGTTTTGAAGGCGGTCTTTCTCGAGAAGAGGAAGATGAAAGGACCTGTGGACTATCTCTCTTGGATTAAGGCGGGGAAGTTTCAGGGATTTGTGATATAGAACATGTAAGATGGAGCTGTAATAGTAAAATCTGATAGCTTCCTAAACTCCTCTTGTGGCACAACCGAAATTTTTCACTACTTTCTGGGTTAACAGGTGATAGATAGACACCAAGCCTGCTTTGCCACTGTTGATTCGAAGATAGAACAGTTTATGCCGGCCCGTTGACATAAATTCCTTATTAGTATACTCCATCCCTTGAGGTACCCGCGCCGAAAGTCTTGCTAAGTATTGGTTTCGACTAGTCAAGGTGAGTTAGTTGCCTAATCGGCTTCTGTAGAGAGAAGTCACAGCTTCCATAAAGGCATAGGCATACGACCAGTTTGAGTCCGGCTCCAGCTTTCTAAGCGATGTGCTTTGGATTCTTCGGATCTATTCTCTCTGCTATCTTCAGATCTCGCTCACGCTGCTCAGTGCCGTCCTCCAACGCCTTGTAAACTCCGATTGAGAGAGCGGTTTCCTGGATTTGTTCTGCCCTGGCTTTCCTCACCTCCTGATACGCAGCTAGGGCGCGAGGAATATCTTCGAGAGACTTCGCGCGAGCTAAACAATTTGCCAGAGCTCCTCCATCGCCCACATTAGTCGCGGTGCCCTATTAATACAATCTTAGAGCATTTTTAGAAAAGTTTAATTTCACATACCAAAAAAAACACTCTTAAGCGATTCTAATTCAGGGTATCTTCATGCTCTCTATAAAATATTAAACATTATACCACAGCGCCAGCGCTACAACCCCCCCCCCCCCCCC